ATCTTAGGAGTCATAGGCTTCTTCAGCCTAGCCTAGATCCCTGGTCCCAGACATATTGACCGACCTATCTGCAATGTACACTACGTACATACGAAATGCTATCCTAGGCTAGGGATATGGAGACTTGAGTTGACCTGCCGCATTCGATATGTACGCACGAGAGAACATCATCTAGAATTCAAGACACATACCACAGGCTTTGGGTACTTTGAAACCCCGCCCGGCGGCGTTGTTTAAACCCTGAAGAGGAAACCGAAGCCACTAAAAATCATCGCCCTACGTATGATGTGATGTATATATATTTTGCTATTAACACGGCGCAGAACCGCCTCCTTTGCAATTAGGCTTCATCCCGTAGTCCAATAGTTCAATATGAATACGCGATAGTTGGCGTCGCCATTTTATCTCTTTGACCCCCTTTCTCAGACACGCCTCAAAAGCGGTAACGAAACGATAGCCTTTTCCTTCCTGGTGGGAGGAATCTATGCCTGTCCGTCAGTACATAACATAGGTGCTACACTACAGTAGTGGCGCTTCCCGAGAGCGGGCTCGCTCACATCGTCACTGATCATCTTTCCCATTTGGTGTTCCCCAACCGCCCAGCCCGAATTGGTCGTAAAATGTCTGATGAACAGATCACGAAACGTTTTTTCTTTTTTTCCCCTTTTCCGCCTATTCCTTTTAAGCCCTTAGCACTTAGCCCTTTATTAGTCTTGGGATCATGTTCCAGTTTTTTCCAGCATCGCAAGTGCTTCGTCATCATTCTCAGCTCAGCATAATAATGTACTACTTGCCGTGATAACCACCATTTTACGGGCCAAATTATCCCGTGCCATCTCGCCGCTCGGATACGACGGGTCAGGTTTATGGGAAGACAAACGCGAGCGATGGGCGCCGTCGACACTACCGTGTAGAGAGTCTGGATTGTTCCGCGACGTGAATTAAGTGTCGCCTACTACCCGAACACAACCCAAAGTGTCCCCGAAATTCTTCAGCCGTTCCCTGTGATAATTAAATTCCCATGTCATTCAAGTAACAGAAGTCATCACAACCCCTTTTTGGGCAAATATAATTCCCCTCTAATCTACATTAATCGACAGGATTAGTAGGTAGCCTTAACACACCGACGTTGATGTCTCCCTAATGTCTCCTTACCCTCCCTCTCCCTATCTAAACGACAAGTAATAGTAGTCTTCCGATCAGCACGTGTACCGCTTTTACCTTTTCATTACTCTTCCTCCTCCCCCCCCTTAAATTGAAATCCTCACACAATTAGGGAGTTAAATCCGGCAACATCTATACCCCATCCCTCCCCTTCCCCCCATTCGTCTATACTCGTCGTAGCATCGATCACTAAAGTCCTACTTAGATGGTCAGAGATGCTTGTCGCTTCCCTGCATCGCGTTCGAAGTAGCCTGCATAGCAGGATGGTGTATCTTACCGAGCCCGATGTATACTTCGCCGGCTTCTCATTAGTCAGTCCAGCCATCAGTCAGCTTTCCGTCTCCTTTTACCATCACGTTGGCGCCATCATGTCCCCCCTTTTTCAATGACGTTGCCGCCTCGTCGACTTGCACATGTGTCAGCTTCCTTGACCCCGGCTTGCATCGCAAATTCCCACAATACTACCTTGCCATTCCACTGGCGATGGAGGCGACAGATATCAGTTCACTATCTTACGTCGCCTAAGTGTACATAGTATGCCGCTTGCTCAGCATGCGAGGCGTTTACTAGGCTGTCGAGACAAGTTTCCTTTCACCGACATCTAGTTTTGTTAGCCTGCGCGGCACAACTGGCTCCTCTGCTTTCGCTCTTGACCTACCATCGCGGTATGATATATGGTTGGTGGGTATATTTATGCATCGGATGCAGCAGAAAGACCCCGCGAGTGGAATGTTGGCTAATGCGAGCCTTGCGAACATTATCACGATACCTAAGTAGCCTTTACCTCTTTATTTGTTTCTGCCGCTCTGCTTATCTTCGACTTGCCACAGTTCCTCGTATCACCTACAATTACTTCAGTCTTACATAGCCATTGAGGGGCAGAATATACACTCCTCATTCATCATTGGCAGGCAGGCGGCCACTTCGAGTATCTAATTAGGTTATCCTTTCTATCAAACTTAGCACCCAGACCCATAGATGCACATATACCCCTGGCTATACTATATGAAAGCCTCTAGGATTTTTACTCCTAGTCAAGATACACATAATACACGTGGGAGAAATCGAAAACTTATGATGTGTTAGTCAGAGGTGTCAACCTACCAGTCTATTAGGAATACAATAGATATACTTATGACTAGGCACGGACGTGTCGAGATCTTGCCGCAAGATGAATCCTACGCTGATAACAACTATGCCATTGGTAGATAGCGAGTCTAAACTATTTTACAGTCAATCCTTCTTCGACAGGTTATAGGTACATGTAGTTGACCACTCGGACGGGAAATTCTTTAGGACCATCCGTGACCGTTGGTAAGATATAGCTAGCTAATACATAACCGCAAATGCAAGTCACCTTTCTTGGTCAGGCTCTTACATATTGGACCTCCAGTGAATCTAAATAATAAATGGGAATTATTGTCAGTAGGGTTAGATGATATGATTTGCTGCCTATAGATTTAGGACATCGCTGCAGGTAGTGAACAGGATATGATGCTGCATCTCCTCGGGTGACCGACATTCATATTCTATTGACACTCCTAATACCATAGACCTATACCTTTAATCGATACGATAGAACATTATATTCATAATATGTGTTGTTGCTCTTAACCTATCATACCAGTCTTTATTGGACGGTACATGTCAATTTCCATATAGTGTTCTAGGACAATGGGCCAGTAGTTACCTGGTAGTTTCTGCCTGGTACACAAAGATGTTTTGTAAGAAAATAGTTAAAGCCGATATATTTAAATTATAGGTATAGCTCTATATTCGACTTATGGCAGGTATGGACGATATTCTACCTCGAGATGCGTGGTATCTACCTAATTATTACATGGACTTTTCCTTGAGGGATATTTATGTCTATACCAATACTTTACGGTCTATCACGAGGTGGAATCAAACAGTATGGAAATAACTTCGTTGTTCCGCAAGGAGCTCTAATTATCTAATAGTTTCTAAGTCTAACTACCCAATACATATTAAACGTATTCTTTATTCTAGATGTCTCATCTAGAATCCTAAAATAATCGTAATGATCATTATATATTTAACATTGAATCGAATACCTAAGAGTCAACGTCAAATTGTCATTTATAGTAGTATCCATATGTAGTGATAGGTTGGTAAAACAGGAGATGTTTATATTATAGGTTATTGGCAATTTTGATTGAGAATACTTCGGTTAGGTAGGCTTTTCAACATCTTGTTTTTAACTATGTTAATTAGTATAATTCAGAGCAAACGGAGTTGGTTGATTCACTATTTAATTTACATCTATCGTACTTAAAGCATACCGGATGTGTCTTTTATCCCTATGAGATAAATGCCATTTTACTGGATACATATATCTGTTACTGGTCTTTTCTATCTGTATCTCTCTTTGTTCACAATAATTATTTTGAAGGAAGAAAAGTTCGTACTACATTTGATTCTATAATTCTCTACCAACCCATAATCAGCTCCTTTGAATATATCCAACCCATCTATGTCTAATGTTCTAGGGCACAATAGATCAAGATCCAGGGTTTTAATACATCAAGGTATCATGTTCAACTCCTCTTAAATGTCCAGTACTGTCAAAGCTCATTCTCTATACCTCGCCTTTTGAATCATTGAAGATGAATTGAAGGTTTGGTATAAGATTTGCAAGGCCCGTAGTAACTGTTTGAGAAGCATATATTGGTTACCTGGGTAGGTAGGTAGTTATGCTATCCACGCCTGTACGTCTATGAATTGCAAAGAAAAATGGTAAGTAAGAGCTACCGCTCCTGATAATTTATATGTCTATGCCTACGCGAAGGCTCTATAGGTTAGTCTACACCCAATAGGGTAAAGTCTGCTCAGATCTTGAATTGCCTCATGATAAGTTTGACATATCCAAAGCGACTTAACGTTCATGTCTTAAGGTGACTATACCATAATCAACTTAGAGTATCCAAGGTATTATGCCGAGTGACTCCACGATACTTTTAATTGACTTATGTAGACTCGCTCAAATACAAAAGGGGTAATTCGTGGCATTTTACCTTTCTTAAAAGGATCTTGAACTGATATACTTGACTTTGTCCATCTACCTATATCTATAACTATACTGGAGTTTGTCATAAACTATCCCAGATACAGGTAATCTACTCGAATGCTGTAAGTAGTATCTCATTCGAGTTATATTAGAGTTTATATGATTGAAAATATTATAAAAATCATCCTAGAATTTAACCTGAGTCTTGACTAATATTTACCTCTAGTAGGGACACGCAAAGTATGGGTACCATTATAAAAGTTTCCATGGATCAACATCTACAAGTCCTATATCAAATAGACAGACTCGAAGGAATGGCAAATCGCTTTGTTAACACGAGAATATTATGTACGATTGATGTCAAGCCCAATATAGTATGCCAACCCAACTGAACCATGAGGGTGCAGCTCTTCTACATGCAGAATTATGATGTTCGCCACCCTTGACCTAGGCAGTAACCGACAAGTAACCTATCAAAACCGCCTCTAGGTTCGTGACGCCCTCTTTCTATGGCAAAACTACCAAGCCGTACAAGTTGAGGACCGATATATATCCCCCTAATACGTAATATGCTACACTCCTATCAGCCTTCGCTGCGCCGTTATCCGAAACCCGTCATTTCTAAGCACCCCTCCTCTGCTGGCAAAAAGCGATGAAGAGCACATTTAGACCAAATACAATTGTCGTTCCATCGTTAATATTTTGTGCCGGGCAATGCCTTAGAAAAAGGCCGCTAGAAGATACTTGGTATCCAACCGTAGTTGTTGATGGGAATTGCCAAAATGCCTCTGGAGTTGACGAACTCTCACTACGGGCTGGCCCATCCGCCAGCAACGTCAACCCACTCAGCCAAGCACGAACCTTCCTTACCCTCGACATCTACAATATCAGTATCGCAGCGGCAACGGCAACCAACACCGTTCTCCTTCTCTGGATCCCACTGGTCCCAATACTCGTCTTCTTCGACTCGTTTCCTCTCGTCTTCAGTTGTCTTCTCAAGGTAGGGCTCACGAGGAAGCTGGCGGGCAGGGGCATTAGCAGGGCAATGTTGGATAGTAGTATGTCGGTAACCGAAGTCTCGGAAATAATGGATGTCGCGAGGTGCTAGAAGAATACCAGCAGCAAGGGAATGGATAGGAGCATCGCCCCACTGGCATATAGTTAGTAAGACTGAATTGTATTCAAATGATTGGAATGACCTACTCGTTCCATCCAGAAACCACCACTACGATCCATCATCTCGAAGAAAGCCTTATACTCCTTGCTTCGGAACCAGCTGAGCTTCGCGATTTCGAAATTGGACCAGAAATGGCACATATTATAACTCTCACCCTCCATGGCTTCAGGATCAATCTCGGGCAAGTTCATTCGGCCGGGATCGCTTCGCAAAATTTCCTCAGGTAGTGGCGGCTTGAAGTTAGGGTCGTCCTCAGGAGGAGCCGGCTTCTCCGGCTTGGGCTCGACGAACATCTCCCATAGACCTTGAGACGTGATATTGTTCAGGCGCTTGTAAGCAGAAGCATATCGGAAAATGTTGGGGACAGTCTCGCGAAGCTCCTTAACAGCGATGGTGAAACCGTAAGTCTTGTTATATTCAATCATCTTACGGAATGGGTCACTGCATATTGGCGTTAGTAGGTGCGAGCAGAGTATCAAGGATTGAGCTAAAATAGAACATACTAAGTAATATCACAGAAGTACTTGATCTCGGGCTCCAAACGCCAGTACCATTCGTATTTGGCAAGAAGGGGGTGGTCATAGAAAAATCTGGACCGTATTAGCTAAGTTTAGAAATCAGCGTGCTTGTTGTTTACTTACCCAGAGTAGAATCGGCACATGGCGTGGTAACTCTCCAGGCCACCATACATCACAGCGGCATCTCCTTGTTTAGCAATACCCTCCTTTGCAACTTTCGGGTCTATCCAGTCTGGGTATCCCCACATCTCTGGACCGACCTTGCCAAACTCGACCGGAGCAGAAGTGTAGTTGCGAACGATGTCCTTGAAAGTCTGGTTGAAGTCTCCATCGTTCAGGAAGACATAGGGATAATGATACCATCTGTTGAAATGACGCTCAATAGACTTGATAGACTGAATGACACCATCAAGCTCCTTATTTCGGGCGAGAACGACAAACGCGCCATTGACTCGTTCTTTCGTAGTATCAGGTTCGAGACAGCCCGAGACGAATACTTTGTCATGTTCTTCGCTGATTTTTCTGTTACAAGACAAGCAGTCATTAGCAAAAGCAAACATAGAACTCCATATCAAGAGACATACCGAATAGCTGGTGGTGCGCCAGCAGGCATCAATATCCTCCCTGGAGAGCTGGGATGCCTAACAAATAGTACAAGGATAAGGACAACAACGATGCATGGAAATAGAACGACCACGCCTAACGGGACGGATATGCTGGAATTGCCTTTTAACCTGAGAGGTCTTCTGAAGAAAGCGAGTCGCGATGTTAACCTGTTGAGCTGAGGTCTCTTCTCGCCTGAGGTGGGAAGCTGAGGCGTGTTCATGGCTGCAGGTACACGCCTATAAGCGCGCCGAAGCAGATCCATAATGGAGCCTGACGACGCCCTCGCAGACGGCAGTCGGGGAGAGGTGGAGGTTGATAGGCGACTATATCGGTACTGGAATAGTCTTTCTTCTCGTATAATGGGTAAGTCGTTGATTATATCGTGGTTGTCGTAATCGAAAGATGGTTTATTCAATCATACAAAAAGGACCCGTTACCGCCGTCTATCCGTATATTCGTTTTAGTGAAATGCGCAGAGTAGCGAATGGCAAGGGAAAGATCCCCTTTGAAAAAGGTCGATGATGGTGAAGGTATTGATGAATAGGTAGGTTATAGATAGGCAAATAGACGGTCAATACGCATACGCGTCAGACACGCTACCCCCTTTTTTGATGTCGTTCAACCAGTCAACAAGGTTGAACTTTATCGTATCAATCTAGCAGATCGAAAAACGACTGCATTGGTGCCGTCGACAAAGTTTAACGGCGATAATTCATAAACCAGGCGCGAAAAGTTGCCAAGTGGCGACAATGAAAAAAAAAGGGGGTTTCTGGGTAGAAGTTGGAATGAAAGACCAGATACGGAATAAAATGGATACGAGGTCAAAAAAGTTGGAATGAGATTATGAGACGAAGGGGGTGTACAGTGGAAAAAAACCAATTAAGACTTAACAATTAAGCTACGTTTGACAAGCCAGTGAGTGAAATTATGCTTAGAATACAGATAAACAACCAATCAGAGTTTTTACATGACAAAGAATATGCACTGTGTAATTGGTACTTATCATCCCTTAGAGGCTGAGAAGATCTTTTGATTTAACTGGCTGAGGTTATTGCCTTAGTAAGGTGTTGTTATCTAGACCCACACATCGGCGTAGATCTTTTTCCGGGCAGCTGGGGCTTAGCACAAAGTGGCTCAAAGAGTGTTTAGATTCATTAGGTAAAAATAGATTTAGGGCCAACCCGAATTTTGGAGATTCCCCAGAAGTTCTCCAGAATTTCAATGTTCCAGAACACTGGCCATGTTTATGCGTGTCGCCATGTTTCTCGACGATTGCCGCCGTTCGAATCTCATACGGTTTCGGTTGAAGCATATTTAATAGGATATGCTAGCCTATTGACAATAACAGCAGTGGTGTGAGGACCTACTATCTTGCATATCAAGGCTCGTAACCGCGCCAACCGAGGTTTGTCTTCGAGCTCGTCATGACCCTACTCGATTAAGTTCGTGTCTATCACGATTCACGGTTCAGAATAGCATTTATTGACTTCCTGGCTTCGATTACTTGCTATTTCGTTATACCAACGTGAATAACTATATCTACTTGCAAGGAAGTCGGTTTCCTCCAACGTCGAACTTGAATCTACGATTTCGTGGGTATATTCAACTTAGCGCCATATGGAACAACGTATTTCATAATGTTCTAACAGGTTGAAGACATCTTCGAGACGAACAGTATCTTATGAAAGTCAACTCTTGAAGGTGTCTACGCCTGACAGGTCCTAAGAACTGCACGGTATCAGAACGTACTTTGTGATGATAATGTCTAACTATCATATAATATCTTAAATATTCGCAGTCCGATTCCCCATATTAACTTCCACACTATATACGGCCTATTTGCCACGAGCATCTAATAGAGTACGGTCTTGAAGAGGCGTGGTGAGGTCACTGGATATTAAAAATATCTTGTCTTCAAGAGTATATCGCCCAAGCTTACGACACCGCCTTGGTAGTTCATGCCGCTTGTTCCTGACGGGTTACCTATTTGATAGTGATGTTTAGGCGTGTCTATTCTATCGTCTCGGTTATTTGCTACACTACTCAGCGTCCTTCTCTACATCTGCCGGTGAGAGGCGAGTGTCTGCGGGGACCCCAGGCGAGACTCGATCTTGTGGAGTTGCATTTTGTCTTTCCGCCTAATTACATCAATAAAAGATCTGCCTCCGCAGGCCGAAAACAACAACACCTTATTTTGTCATGTCCATTATTACATATCCTATAGCTTAGGTCGACATGGTGTAATGTCTGCTATATAAGGAAATTTTGACCCCCATTGCCTAAAAGAGATCAACCTGCCAACAGCCTGTCCAATTAGCTCTCATTCCCCCTTGGGCGGTCATCTCAAGACCTACCTATTAATTACTTCAGAGCGCCAAGAATCCCGGTTCGTGGACTCTCCGCATTCAAGATGGCTTCCTACGGAGCATGGCGTTGCATCATCAGGAGTGGATTATGGGGGAGACGCTGTAGATCTGCTGCTATATAACACGATACTTCCTCTATAGCCTACTCTGTCCTAGCTCTTTCAAAAGACTTCGCGTTACGTCAGGTGACTAAGGTTGACTATTTAATTCTGTACTTTGTCATAGATCGTATATCAACATGCGTTTGTTGACGACGGCTTCGGCGGTGGCCGCTCTAGTGGGCCAGGGTGAGTAGTATTCTTGTTACTTGTAGTATAGAAATAATAGGGGCAAACACTAATACTAGATATGTCAGTTCTATCCCAGGACCCTCCAACATTCCCTTTCCCAAGCAGCTGCTCTGGCATTGCTGCTCCTAGATATGCCTTCACGGTTGATTCTGGCTGGGAAGTAACCAAGATCGCTAGCGGTCTTCGTCAACCCCGAACTATCATCTTTGACCCTCTCGGCCATATGCTAGTGTTGCAAGCCACCTCTGGTATTTCAGCCCATACTTTCGGCCCGGATGGTTGCATCAACAGCACCAAGACCCTCTTCCAAAACTCGGGTCTCAACCACGGTCTCAGCTTGACACCTGATGGCAAGACCCTCTACGCTAGCTCCCAGACGACAGCCTGGTCGTGGACATACGATGCCGCCGCCTTGACGCTTACGAACCAGAAGACCGTAGTTAGCGGCATTGGCCAGGGTATTCACTCGACCCGAACCACCCTCGTCTCCCCCAAGAACCCGAACCTGATCATCGTCTCCGTCGGCGCCGCTTCGAACTGGGATAACCCAACTATCGACCCGAGTGTCGGCCGTGCCATCGTTAAGGTCTTTGATGTGAGCAAGGCGCCCGCCAACGGCTACCAATTCAACAGCCAAGGCACCGTCCTAGGCTACGGTCTACGTAACGAAGTTGCCCTTGCTTTCGACCCCAACGGCCACGTATGGGGTGCCGAAAACAGCGGAGACGACTTCAGGAGAACCGTTAACGGCCAGTCGTCAGACATCCACATCGACAACCCTGCTGAAGAGCTGAACTACCGTAAGTTTCGAAAATTCTGATAAAGAAAAATAAAGATGCTAATGTTGCTACTATCGTTTAGTCGGAGACCCCGCCGCGCCCCTTGCGAACAACTGGTTCGGCTACCCGACCTGCTTCACCGTGTGGGAGCCGTCCAACTTCCGTGACAACACCGCTCTGAAGACCGGCTCGCAGTTCGTCGTGTCTCCCAACTCGACCTTCAACGACGCGTCGTGCGACGGCAAGGCCATCCCACCGCGTCTATCATTCCCGGCACACATGGCGCCCATCACCAACGCCTTCGACCCCGCCGGCGAGAACCTGTACATCACGTTCCACGGCAGCTGGGACCGACAGCCCGCCCAGGGGTACTTCGTCGCCGAGGTCCCCTTCAAGAAGAACGCGGACGGCGGGTACGAACCCGTGGCCGCGGCCGACAGCAAGACCGGCTACAAGAACATCATCGGCGCCCAGAACCCGGGCAGCTGCAACTCGCCCTCCCTAACCATGAGCTCCTGCTGGCGTCTCGCCGGTCTGAGCTGGGACCAGGCTGGCGAGCGGCTCTTCATCAGCTCCGATAACCAGGCCCAGGGCGAGATCTTCGTCCTGAGGAAGAAGGTCTAAGCGAAATAAGTAGGTAGGTAGTCAGCCACGCCGTATATAGTAAGGGGGTTTGGTTACTCTCTGGAGGAGATAAGAGTACGTTGGAAGTTGGCGGGTTCTCGTTAGACTTTCTATCTCCTTTGCGTGTACGTAAAAATTTAAGTAGGTCACCAGACGCTCGGTAAAAGGTTTAACGATACTTTGGATGTCGTGGTTTTTGTCTACTGTTGCCTCTTTTGCGTGAGAGAATATTATCTTCTGGAGTGTATAACTAGTACGAATGTACACTTTACCTTGAGATCATATATGATTTTTGCTGCCGTTATTCTATAGAGTGAATTGCTAGAACGGACAGTTGCCTATACACTTGCAATTTATGAATTAGCGAATGCAAATATGGCCTATATACTACTATAAAAGCTCTATCAATCAAGACAATTTACAGAGTCATGAAACACGGTCTATATTTCGAGGCGAGTGAATGAACAGAATAAATAGACTACCATGCTTATTCAGTGTTATCGTTCTGGTCATCCACTCAGGCTACTAAGCATGCTACTATACCATTATACATTGTACAAGTACTAAGTAATTATAGCTATCATACAAAAGGGACAATACATCATTATACGAAAAGTCATTAACATAACATTTGACTCCAAGCAACCTGGGTATCATAACATTACTCCTCCTTTGTTGGACTTGACTTCAACTTAACCCCTTCCTCTTACATCGACCTCTAATCCCAATCTACTGCAGCGCATACAACTTCCTCGGCTGCCCTCCCGCACAAGAGCTAAACTTCCACCAGCGGCCATGCCACGCGCCAGCAATATTCACAAGTCCCCATTTGATAGGAGCCGGGATAGGCGGCCAGTTAGCCCACGCACCGTCCTCAGTCGTGCCGTCTAGATTTAGCAGGAAGAACGGCACTACGTCGAGGGTCCCTGCTTTCGTTACCGTCGTCTTGCCCCAGCTCTTAAACGTAGCCGACGCATCTTCCGCCGCGGCAGATCCCGGCGCGGGGGCGTTTGCGTGGTCTGACAGGGCGGCAATGGTCGCGATCTCGCTGTGGAAGTGGGCTTCGAAGGGCTCCTGGAAGGACTCCATGATCTTGACGAGTTCCGCGCCGTCGAACGTCGAGGGCTTCGGTTCTACGCCCAGGAGGTACTTCTGGAACTGGGCTAGTCCGCCCAGGAACGCCTCGTGTTCCTTGTGCGTATCGGCCCAGATAGTATCGTCGTTGAGGACGGCCTCGACCTTGGGGAATAGAGTGGCTTCTTCGTCGTCATGGTGCGAGGCTACGAATTTGTGCCATGTTAAAGCGTACCCGATAAAGTCGGCCTTGTCGCCGGCTTTGACGTGCGGGGCTTGCTGGTATACCGAGTTGTAGCCGCGGAGGATGGCGTTGTGTAAGAGGGCCATGTGCGTGGCGCCGGTGGTGAATATATCGGTCTATCGAAGAGGTAGGGTAGTGTTAATTGGCTTATACTAATCTTGTTTGCTTTTGTGATATGTTGCCTAGAAGCAAGAGAAAAACGGAATAGGAAGAAATACCTTCTTGGTCTCAAATTGAGGAGTTGTCACCAACTTGATAGGAGCATCAGCCCAAACCACACTACCCGCCGTAGCGGGATCTAAAGCCGGAGCAGTCATGAAGAAAGGTGATCGTGTAAGGAACAGCCCGATTAGGATGGGAATAGCAATGAGTATAGGCCTATCAAGGATGCTTCGACGTGGTTGATACTTCACCGGAGGTTCCATCTTGAAAAGGAGTACAAGCTAAGCTCGAGGATGTCGTGGTAGGTAGCCTGCTTTTATCTAGGTATTATAGAGACACATACACAGCTGCAAGTGCAACAACCACCTTACTCAAGTCTCGCTGGCTCCAATGCAAACCGAGTGTTAAACATTGGTCCGGAAGCTTCCTCGTACGAGGAGGGAACATGCCATGCCATGCGTGACACCATTGGACGTAAGTGATAGCTAAGCTGGCCCCTGTCGATGCAGATTTGCTGAGTAAATATCTGTATATTATTGGATACCAGAGTGCCAGGATTAAAGCTAGCAGGGATATAAAGTGTACATAGAGCTCCGTGTTGGTGGGATAAAACCCGAATAAGATCGGAGTCCAAGCTCGGTATCATCGACGATCCTTGACTGTGTATGTATGTATTTCTCGATATTCTTGCTTAATATAAAAATACAACACTTGCGTCAGTTATAGTAGTAATTGCTAATCATGGATTATTGGTGAGGATCTATCCTATAAAGACAAATCATACGGGGTAACTAAACCTGGATATCCGTATGCCAACGGAGGTTTACCTTGGCATATTTGTAAAAAATAGGTACCTAGTCTATCACCGAAGTCCGAGGAAGAGCTATCAGAAGTAATGGAATTACTCTACCCTCCTCGCGCTTCGGAGGATTCGAGCCATCCCCAAGTAAGACCGGTAAGACATATATCCACCTCTCCATGTAAATAAATCCAGAGCTACAATATCACAGAGAGAGCATATTCCATTATCATCACTATTACATAGTAGGCATTAGACGCGGAGGTATACCTAACACTACGATTACAAATAATATTTTTAATTCATTACCATCTCACCCGACCAAAATCTGCGCTGCAACTTCGCTGGCCTTATCCTATGTAGGGCTAGGCTGGTAATAATGCGCGCAGTAATGGGTGACTTTTGTATAACTCGTCATCACCTCATAAGGTATTCCTACATGTAGAGAGGTATGTAGACCAGGCTAACGCCGTCGAAAATGCACAAGCCTTGAGTGTACTCGTACGTACTGGCATGCTGTTCTTATGCCGCCTTCTAACCTCGACCTCAACCTCTTTCTCCATCATGATAGTCGTCGACTGTAAATTTAACATTGCCTTACGCTGTAGCCTTATAGACTAGAATGAACCCCGCTAAGAGCAAATTACGCCTCCTGCTCGATCGCAAGCGGTGTAAAGGCAAATAAATGCATGCTTATTTCGCAATAACCAAGCACATCATATGCAACCCGGCCTCCGTGCGAAGTTGGATATAGAAATAAGTAATCTAGTCGTCTTCTCCTTCAGGTTGGTATCGTAGCTCTAACACCCATTTGTCGTCAAAATCGATACCACGACGTATCTTAGTTGCCACCTTACGCCAGATGACCGGACCAAGTCCGATGTCAGCCAGGTATACCTTCCACTCCCCTACCATGCCGATGTCTCTGTCATCGCCCGACTCCAGCGCCTTCAACAGACCAACTTTCGGTGCGCCAAGGGCAACTATATAACGGGGGTGGACGTAGAGCTTAGCTCCGTCGATGACGTTAACACGGCCAGTTTGAGGTTCGATACCACTTGGTAGATCGATTGCCATGACAAAAGCTTCGTTTCTGTTTGACCATTCCATAAGTTCATATGTAGTGGCCTGGTCAGACTTTCGTAGCTCTTCAAATGGTGTTGTAAGTCCTAGGAGTGCATCAATGATTAAAGTAACGAAACCTTGCGAAGCTGTCTCTAAGGTGTTACTAGCTTGGCTGACATGTTCGAAAAGCTCCGATTTGGTGAAGATGATGCCTCCAAAGTTGCGAAGGAGGCGAGCTTGTTTCCTAATATCTTCCAACAGCTCCCGCTCTCGCTCGATGCCGACCACACACACTAGGACGTTAATCCCATGGTTTCGAAGGTGGCGGGCGGCTGCTAAGGCACGGATTCCGGACTTATTATTACCAGCAAGAACAACTATAGTGGTTGTACTTGGCGGTGACGCTGCGGCTGCACGAAGTCTAATAGCAGGATCGTCAAGAACACGCATTACGACCTCTGTGATACCACGACCTGCGTTTTCGGCTAAAAGGTCCTCACTAAAACCAAATTCGTGACGCGCCACATTCTCCAGTGTTTGCATCGGGAGGTGGGCGATGGCTTCGATTCGACGATTAGAATTAACAGTATAGAATCCGCTAGGGGTTGAGGTACCCTGTTTAGAACATATTAGTTAAACTCATAAAAGAAGAAGAGCAGAAGAAGAAGAGCAAAAGAGAATAAATTTACCCCTGAGTTGACTCGACTCGAGCCAGCAACACTTGCTGTGGTGCTGGCCTTGCGAGACTGTGAACGGCGGGTCATGGACAATCGAGAATCTCCCCGTAGCCGAGAATTACGTCCGCTACCTTCTACTACGCTAGCACGATCGCCTCCGTTGGCAAGGTCGTCATCAGCTTCACTCTTCCAGTAATCGCCAGGGGCGTCTTTTGGTTTGGATGCTGATGATGGAAGATCCAATACATTCTCGCTATAATGAAGATTCTTCCCGCCCGCCGTTCCAGGCTTCGGTCGAGGGAGACGGTTGTGGGATACCAGGCGTTCGGCTTCGTCAATTTGGTCTTGCTCTTTCATTTCGTCAAATATTTTTCTCTTATCAAATTTAGCAAGACCGCCTTCAAAGTCAAAGTCTCCCGCTTCCTGTACGTCCGTAACGTCCTCCGAAGCCCAGCCATTTTCGATATTTCCCTCCACTCTACTTTTCTGGCTCTTCTTAAGCGCTGCGAACGGTTGAAATGACCTAGTAGATTCAAGGATCGGTGTCTCTCTCCAACCTGGACCTCGGTTAATTTGCTGTGCTGGGGAACCATTGCTATCAGCCATTTTATTCCTGCGTCGACCCCGGCCTCGTGCGCTTTTACGATTGTCTTTTCGGGGGTCGGATGGTTCGTCAGGTATAGTGGGAGCTACTTGGGCCCTGTGTTCTGTTATGGTGCTTCGCCTAGAATGAGGAGTTGGGGATATGTGCAGTTTCGCTGTAGAGGCGTTAAGTGTAGTAGTAGTAGCTGCATCGGTCACCTCATCCGGGGAAGAGTATGTCATGCGATCAGCAGGATTGGGGATGACTGGAGGATCTCGCTTCTCTGCAATATTCGGTTGAGCATGATAACGTGGGTCGCGGGGAGGAGCTGTGCCTGTTTTGGGAGTCAAGCTCAAGATTGCAGGATCTTGGAAGGCCGAGGGGGGCGCCGTTAATGAAGTAGGCGTAGTTTCAGCAGTTGTGATAGTAGGATTTGGGGTTAGGGATATATCGTTAACATTGCTCGCGCTGATGACGACATGTCCGAAGAATTGATTTGTGCCTACTACAACAGCTACTTTATGTTAGTCAATGTTCCTATTTAGACCACCTCTTGATGATATTCATTGTGAAACTTGGAACTTACCGTGATCTAGTGTAAGATGTTGCTGAGGAACAAGACCAGTTAAGATTCCCTGAAGACGTTGGCCGAATGGTTCTTTAAGGGTTACCATATAATAGCTACCCAGCCATTTCGATAGCTTAGCATCCTCAGCCATTGTCACCTACTAGGACGACTAGTAAACTCTTGGATTCCTTTAAAGAAAGGTAACTGTTGCTAGACGCGTCTAGTATTTGTGAAATCACATGTGGAACTCCTCGCACGACTAATCCTGCTACTTAATCTGTATCTCGCAGTACTAGTAGTCTTCTCGTTTCTCGGGAGTAGGCTTTATTCGGTCGATATTCTTAAACCATGGTCAGGAGTTCAGAGAAGTACACGAGTCTGTATTCCTTGAAACTTGTGGATAGGAACAAACAAGTATTCGTAACCTTGGAGACGAACGCTATATTGCTGCAACTCGGGAAATACCGTTTTTTACAACTATCACCGTTGCTGCGCTAATCGAAGTCGATACACGGGAAACCGAATTAGTCTAGAAATCAGTACGGTTACAGCGCTGAGAGGTTTGCTGCATCAGGTCGCATTAACATTCAAAGTTGTCGCAGTCCGTATAATTGATAGGTTTATTTAGCCGTGGTTACCTAGAACAATAATAGAGAACCACCTAATTGGTGGAAGTACAGCGGATGATCAGATTCGACATGAATACTTTGTACGTCGAACGGAATGCTGCCTCAGGTAGAAATAAGTCATTGTATATTTTTGATCTTTTGGTCTTTTGCTTTGTTAGACAACATTAGTCTAAGCTTCACTTATCGATAACATTCTATAGACCCACAGTGACAACACCAATCACATGCAAAGTTATTTCCTAGCTGAGTACGGAATATAGAGGTAGTTACATGTAATAGTTAACTAAGGTAACCATTTGTACAAGCAAGCAGGTTCATTCAATATACTCCACAACACTTCATGCGTATATACTAGCAACAATACTGCCCTCTAATATTTACTATTTATTTCATCTCGTTTCATGACTTTGGTAAGCTGGTGTCAAATAATCATGTTGCTTACCACAAAAAGTCGGCCGTGATGAAAGATGCTATTGAGTATATCGTTACACTTCGTAATTATGCAACCTTAACCGTATGCTGCCATAGCCTCTTCTTCATCATCTAGATCAATGATATCTATACCCTTCCCCTTAGAAGACCCCGAAGTTCCCTTGTTGGCAAAGTCTGAAATCGACACTGGTTTCTTTATCTTGATTGCAGATTCCGCGCTGTAAAGCCTGTTGTAAAATTGAATGACTCGGGGATGAGCCATAACTTTCTTACTGTCGAAACGCAGTACCTGGAGCCCCTGCTTGCTCACAGCTCGACTAAGCGCAACGTATGCCTGTCCCTTCTCGAACACCTTGCCGAGATCAACTTTGACCCTCTCTAGGGTCTGGCCTTGGGCCTTGTGGATAGAGAGAGCCCACGCGAGAATAAGGGGCAACTGTTTGCGCGATGCTTGGACCTCGCCAGTAGGTAGTTCAACCTTCCAATCCTCCGGGATACAAAGAATAATTCTATGAGTTCTATCTGTCGCGTTGAAGCGGACAACTGGATACTCTTTGTTGTCCTTTATTCCTTCAATGTCACGACTGTACGCTTTGATTTTCTTTTTTGACCGGGCGTCTGTCTCGCCTTCGTCAGCCGATCCAACCTCCTCATCGCGGCCACCCCAAATCTCAAATGTAGCTTCGTTCATAAACCCCATCACTTTGCCGAGTGTACCGTTCACTAACGTATCGTCCATATTCTTGATTAGCATGACCTGGGCACCTTTCTTCAAATCCACAGCCTTGGGAGCCATCATATTCGAAAGCAATCTCTCTCGTAGATTAGGGTCGCCTGAATCACTGGCTTCGTAACGATATATAGATCCAGGCAGATTGCGTAATCGAGTCTCGTTGGACCTCTCAACCTCTTGGCGGGTTGGGAATCTAAGGGCGAAGTTAGCAAACGGTATTTAAATACTTCTCTAGGGAGGAAGCCAGTACAATTCAGTCACTTCAAGACCATCGTCAAAGTTTAACGGCCGCGATAGATCCTTAAACGTTCGAATCGTATCTTCGCTGATCCGACCGAGACGCATCTCATTCAGCATATTGGCAAAATCTAACTAGCATTAGTAGTGAGACGATTCGGTGAAAGATATTATAACTTACCAGGGTCCTTTTGACGGAAGACTTGCGTTAATCCAATAGTATGGTCGATAGATGTGCTCCAGGTCGCGGCCTCGAATGCGAACTTGGCTTCCTTCTTACCACCATCGGGGACAGGAGGCAACTGGAAAAAGTCGCCCGTAATGACCAACTGGATTCCACCCCAGGGTCGACCGTTGTTTCGAAGAGTGCGTGCTATTTGTGCTAACTTATCAAAGAGTTCACCATCAACCATGGAAACTTCATCAATGATAAGAACTTTCGTCCGGAGCCATCTATTCTTCGCCTTGGGATTTCGACGAATCTTCTTGACAAGGGTTGGCACGTCTTCTTTACCGAGGCCGATACCAGCGAAACTATGCAGCGTTTGGCCACCAATATTGCAAGCAGCAAGACCAGTAGAGGCTGTTACGCTGAGACGTTCTGGATCTCGTATCCATTTTTTCTTCAGCTCCGAGATGATAGCCCGCATCAATACAGACTTACCAGTACCAGCCGGTCCGGTAAAGAAGACGCTTTCATTCTTGTGGACAACTAGATCGATTACATGCTGTTGCTCAGTACTTAGTGAAACGACAGAAGACTTGGCCTTACGTCCAGCGTGGTCTTCGGTAGCGGAACGGATCTCTTCTGAATCAAGTCCAGACTTTTTATTCTGATTCTTGAGCTGCTTCCGACGCTCCTTCATCTCGCTCTGTGTCGTATCCCAAAGCAAATCTTGGTTCTTTTTAGGGGCTGGAGTAACTGGGTGTTTCCTATTCTCGGTGTCATCTTCGACTGATGGCGCAGAAGTAGCAGCTGGCGCAGGTCCCCATGTTGGAGGCAATGCCCTTTTCTTAGGTCGAGGTGGACCAAGTTGCGAGTTATCATCCGGTGAATCTCGTTTGGACGGTCTCCGGGGGTTTGGTGGAGGGTGGCGATGCTCTTGCGGCGACGAAGACCATGATATTTGGCTAGTAGGCGGTTGAAGTACCGGGCTCGCACGAGGCTTCGGTGCGGCTGGCTGGGGAGGAAGAGACGCGGGAAGTTGGTAATCCAGGTCGATTTCCAAAGTATTATCGTCACTAAAATCATCTTCTACGTAGTAGGCAGATGCGCCTGCCTTATCCTGAGAAACATGAGCAGGCGCCGATGCTTCTTGAAATGATCCGGCATTACCACATAGCAAGGCGACGCTACTGGATCGTTCGGTGATGCTTCGGGTTGAAGTGACAGGAGAAATTGGTTTGTACTGATGGTGAGGTTGCTGTACATTATAAGATTTGGATTGTAACGGTTCAGTGTTGTTGTTTGCTACCTTCATAGACCCTGACGTAGCGCCTGACGACAAATTCGCACGGTTCGCGTGAGAGGATGATGCCCACCGAGTAATATTTCCATCTTGAGCGGAAGGGCTACTTGACGGAAATAAACTCTTCGCGAGGTTATTCTTGCCAGATTGTGTGGATGCGGTCGCCTTTTTTCTGTCTACAGCTCTAACGAACATGGTAATAAGAGGAGAGACTGAGAGATATGCGATTGCATGTGAGTGAGATATACGTGGAAACGAGTGTCGAGTAGGTAAGGGTCTTGAAGGCAGCAATCGAAAAAGACCAGCAGTCATATAGGAACCTCGAAATTGCTGGGTTTTGTAGACTTTGTTGAGTCAATTAAGTCCAACTAAGTCAATTGGACAGTGTTTAATTTACGAGGGAGTGTTTGTCCAAGGGTCGACAGCGTGTTCCTGCCCCGACTGCGACTGCGGGCCAGGAAATACATGAGACTTTTGTTGTAGGGGTATGTACCTTCTATCAAAAGTAAATTCAATCGTTCTGGTCGCGTTTGTACGCGTTGATTGAACCCCACACTAAAATTTAATATGCATGAGCCCAGGAGCCGCGCTAGAAATACAGCCAATAGAATTTAAGCATTATGTGGTTTGTGCATGTTGCAGCTGCTATGGAAATCTGTAAAAGTAAAAGGTACAAAGATACATACGTCATTCCAAATAGAGCCAACAGGCAGAACACCGGGGATTGTTAAGTGCCAGGCAACATTGCACCTTCTAAAGGCAAGTCTTTAAAAAGCATTTTTAACTCTTACATCTAATTTAATATATAACTTGTTCAATTCCCAATTTATCTAGGTATCTATGATGGAAAATAAGGAAATAAAATTGAGAAATGACATTGTATCAATTGAAACATTGAAGTGACTTATACCAGATTCGAGAAGTCAGGGAAAATGAGCCAGCGGCGTCGAAAGATACGGGATGCAGGCGCCGAGGATGAAGAGCGCCGCCAATATGAGACAGGAGGGCAAACGCTTCAAGAGCTAGATGCAAAGTAAGTTATCAGGAATCGGCTTCTAATATTTATCTACCTATCTTAGGCATCTTAGGTAACTAGGTATATAAGGTATATATAAACTAACTTACTTTCAAGATACCCAAATCGACCAAAGAATCACTCGAGAACACTATTTTTTTCAGACTTGTATAAGGATCTCTTCAACCCTCTGAGTGACAACAAACCGCAAGCCGGTCCCAAACTTGCACGCACCAGAGCGGCATCTCAGAAACATAACAAGCTCTCTCCGCACGAGCAGAAACGTAATATCATTGAGCGCTTCATATCAAGATGGCGCACAGAGGTAGGAAATGACATCTACCCTGCTATGCGCTTGATCCTATCAAATTCAGACCGGGACAGAGGGATGTATGGGCTCAAGGAGAGCAATATCAGCAGGCTACTCGTGAAGTTGATGAGAATTGACAGGAATTCCGAAGATGGCTATGATCTTCTACACTGGAAGATGCCAAGCAAGTCAACAGCCGGCCGGGCTGCGGGTGACTTCACCGGGAGATGTTTCGACGTGCTATCGAAAAGGCCTATGCGTATAGAGCCCGGAGATATGCGTATTGCTGAAGTTAATGAGATGTTAGACAAGCTGGCGGCCGCTTCCGGAGAGAGCGAGCAGCTACCGATATTCGAAATATTCTATCAACGCATGAATCCGGAAGAATTGAAATGGCTCATACGTATTATCTTAAAGCAGATGAGGGTAGGAGCTACGGAAAGGACCTTCATGGATCTGTGGCATCCTGATGCTCAGGACCTATTCAGTGTATCGTCAAGTCTCCGCCAAGTGTGCTGGGATCTCTATGACCCTAAATTCCGTCTTACAGATGACCAAACAAGTGTCACATTGATGCAGTGCTTCCAGCCTATGCTCTGTCACTATCAGATGTCCACCTCTTTTCAAAAGATGGTTGACAAACTCAACTCAATAAATCGGGTAGAAGGCGATGATGAGTTCTGGATTGAAGAGAAGTTGGATGGCGAGCGGATGCAGCTACATATGGAAGAAGACGACGATGTCCCTGGCGGCAAGAGATTTAAATTCTGGTCCAGGAAGGCCAAAGATTACACCTACCTCTACGGCGAGGGCTTTAAAGACGGTAATTCGTCATTAACCCGCCACCTTAAGGATGCTTTTGCTCCTGGCGTACGCAATGTCATCTTGGACGGCGAGATGATAGTGTGGGATCCAGAGCTTGACAAAGTGCTGAAATTTGGCACTTTGAAGACGGCAGCTATCGCGGAACAGCGCAATCCCCATAAAGACAACGCACCTCGACCAGTACTCCGCGTCTTTGACATTCTCTATCTGAATGACCAACCATTAACACAATACACCCTACGAGATCGGCGGAACGCGCTTGAAAAAGCTGTCCCGGGAGTACCATATCGGCTTGAAGTCCACAAATATGACAAGGCCAACTCAGCGGACACGATAGAACCGATGCTTCGGAAAATCGTCTCGGATGCCTCTGAGGGGTTAGTTATCAAAAACCCAAGGTCGATGTACACTCTCGCTGACCGTAGCGACAATTGGATCAAAGTCAAGCCGGAGTATATGAGCGGGTTCGGTGAGTCGGTAGAAGTTATTATCATTGGAGGGTACTACGGATCTGGCCACCGCGGTGGCGTATTAGGCTCGTTTCTCTGCGGACTTCGTGCTTCAGAAAACGACATCAAAGCCGGAGCGAAGTCGGAAACATGTTACAGCTTCGTGAAAGTCGGTGGTGGTTTCAGTGCAGAAGATCTCGCCGAAATTCGACATCTCACAGAAGGGAAATGGAAGCCCTGGGACCCAAAGAAGCCACCGAGCGAATACATACAACTTGCCGGTGGAGATAAATACCAGATTCTTCGGCCCGATGTTTGGATTCGCCCGAGCGAATCACTTGTTATTTCCGTCAAAGCAGCCAGCGCCGGAGAATCGGATCAGTTTGCCAAGGGCGTTACGTTACGATTCCCACGGTTCAGGGGCATGCGGCTTGACAGGAGCTGGGATTCGTGCTTAGATTTCCAGGGCTTACTAGATATGAAGATAAGAGCCGAAAAGGAAAACGAGGAGAAGGCCATGAAGATGGAATCGCACAGGAAACGAGCGGTCAAGCGAACTAAGAGGGAAATTGTCATCGCGGGTCAGGATAATGCCGCTCCAGCTATATTTGAGGGCCCGAAGACCAAAGTATTCGAAGGCCTGGAATTCTGCGTCTTAACGGATTGCACATCCCCGGTTAAGAAGTCAAAGACACAGCTTGAGACGCTAATAAAGGAGAATGGCGGCAAGATACAGCAGAGAGCCAATCCGGGAACCAACATGCTCCTTATTGGCGAAAAGAAAGTAGTCAAGGTAGCCAGCCTGATGAAAGCTGGAGACGTAGACATTATCAAACCGAAGTGGGTATTAGATTGCCTTGCACAACGCGATAGGGACTTCCTCCTCCCCTTTGAGACGGGACACATCTTCCACGCTACCAATGCCACGATGCGCCACGCAGAGGAGAATGTAGATGAATTTGGCGATAGTTACGCCAGAGATCTAGATTTGAAGGGCCTGAGACAACTGCTCGAATCGATGCCAAAGAAGGAAGTTATCGTCGAAGAGCCGTTTAACAAGGAAGAATTTCTCAACCAGCTAGCCGATCACGGTCATGATATTGGTGGGTTGAGGGGTTATATATTTAGGGGCGTAAGGATACACTTCGCAGCAACAGACGAGGTCTCTTCTATATCATGTCTCAAGCTGAAGAATTGGGTCAAATATGGAGGAGGGTCGATAATTGACGATCTGGGGGACAAAAGTACAACACACGTGGTAATAATAAGTGATAGTGAGACTGGCGAGATGGAGCGAGCGGCAGAAGTACGCTCATTCATTAGCACCCGAACCCCTGTCCCCAGGATAGTCTCGCGGCAATGGGCCGAGGATTGTTGGAAGAATCGGACTACATTAGACGAGGAGAGATATGCACCATTATAATGATTAAGATAGCCAATATAAGTGGCAAGTCTAGCTAATATTCATTTTATTCGTGCGGATGATCTATCATTGGTATCTTTACTTTCCTATTGTCAAGAACAAGCGATCTCCTACATCTCCTACACCCGGCTTTAGCATACCATTCGGTGTAAGCTCAGCGTCGACGCCTGCAACCCATATATCCACACCCTCAGGCCACTCCTCAGCAGCGCGCCGCACACCATCGGCGGCTGCGATGACAGATAGGACAATAATGCGCTTAGCACCCCACTCCTTGAGCGTCTGTATAGCAGCCACACAAGTTCCTCCGGTTGCAATGACGGGGTCTACGATGATAGCCAGACTCGACGCGTTCGTTCCAGGCTCGCTTGCCGAAGTAGAGACGTGATGCGGAAGGTTGTTGTAATATTCGACGGGCTCGAGCGTGCTGGGCTCTCGGTACAAGCCTAAGTGGTGTACGGGGACGGGTTCGGGAAGTAGAGTTTGTACCGCTTGGAGTTATGTATTAGGCCCAAGAGTTGTATGCAAGGACAATAATAAAGGATCAAGAGACACACCTTCTACCATACCAAGTCCTGATCTAAGGATAGGGACTATTGATAAGGCTTCCGGCCGTAGAGTCGTGGTAGTGTATTCGTACCCGATGGGAGTCTCGCCCTACGTGGAGAAATGCCGTGTTAACCATATATTAGGTAGCCTACCACTTATAATAGGTACAACATCCCAATGTGATATGAAGAAAATGATATAAGGAAAATGAACGAGACAGTTAAATATGAGGATATACCTTTGGCCCATCAACAGGCGTCAATGATGCAGCTAGAGCTTCGCATCCGAGGATCAAAGAGATGTCATTTATTAAAGACTTGACTTCTCTCGACTCTGTACTCTTAGACCGTAGACGACTTAGCTTAGCTACCAAGCACGGGTGCTTAGAGACATGGACGTTTGAAGGGAGCGACATGATGAATTCCTTAGGATTACTGCGTAATTATAGATGTTAATGTAGGAGAGAGTAAAGACGTATTAAGGTCTAAACAAGTAGTTGTCTAGCAAGTAGGTAAGTAAAGTAAGCTATACCTAACAATAGAGAATCAAGGTATGTAACCCTATAGCTCTACGATAGAAAATGAAGTGAATAAATGTATGTAAATTAGGTACCTATGTAGAAGATAAGTTTTGGGTAAGACGGGAAATGGATTACGTTAGGTTCAGGTTCAAGTTCAGGTTCAAAGTTAGGGATCTACGATAGACAGACCGCTTGACCCTTCTACATATGGCTTGTCTGGAATGATTAGGTAGCAGTAGTGCCTCCCTCACGTAGCTGTTTAGGTAGTAGCTGCTTAACCTAGGTACCTCCTATCAAATAGTACCTAACGCGGGGAAGAGATGCCTATCAATAGCTGCCCCGCCAATACTTGATACCTAAGATAAGGCTAACAGGTAGTTAATCTCTAAGTACCCAAGTAACGTTGAGACGCGTTCAGATTACGGAATAATTTCAATAACGTACATGTATTTGTTTGCTACAGAGATAACCGAAGGCTTGCCGTCCAACACGGTTCTCGTTATTACTAAATGCACTTAATGTATCTATCATATGGTCATCTAACTAAATATGTACCTAACCTTCAAAAACACCAATGACCAGAAATACGTGCCAAGAGGAGAATTAAAACCAACAACTGCATAACGACATTTTATAAAAATATCATAAATCAAATTTCAGCAATGTCAACGTAGCTACCTCTTAGTATAGTCTCGACTATTTCGACTATAAACGAAGGATAACTTTATTTTTTATTTTTTTGCTTTATGTTCGTTACTCGAACGTTGCACTTCGAAAATTTATGAAATATCATCACAAGACGAGACGGTGAGATGGATGACGTCCAGTCGCGTCTTCCATCTCACTCAAACGTCAATCGAGACCGAGTATCTAGTCATATCCTTCAGTCTGTGTCTAGTCAAACATTATCACAACGACCATCTTCGCCAGATTACGACGTGCCAGGGTCGTACATGAACCTCCATGACGTAGACGAAGACGCAGACCGATTAGATCCAGCTAAGCTGGTAAATATTAGGGAGCAGGAGCGGCTACAAGCTCGGGTGCAACGACGTGGTTCATCTACATCTCAATCTAACTACGATATCCCAGATTCTTATGCAAATGTACCCGAGTTAGAGGAGATAGCACCCATCCCGAGCCGGGATGAGCACCGCTTGCGTTCTACCCCTTCGCTTGAAGAGGGTAGAGCTCTTGAGCGTGAGTATTCAAGTCACCGAGAAGCCCAGCAGAGGAGAGATGAAGAGATAGAAACAAAGAAACCAAAGATAGAAGAGGTGTCGAGATTAGCAACCGAGATATACACCATCTCGTATCTCATCCTCTTCGCACTATTTGGCACTCTCGCCCGAGTAGGACTCCAAGCCCTAACATTTTACGCCGGGGCTCCTGTAGCTTTCAGCTCCGTATGGCCCAACTTCGCAGGTAGTCTCATCCTAGGCTTTCTAGCTGAAGACCGCATGCTCTTCCGTTTCGAATGGGGCACTCCGACCTACGAGCTACAGCTCCTGAGGGCGAAACAAAATGGTATCGACGAGGAGACAGGTGAATCTAACTCAGATAGGGTAGCTATAGACCTCGCTGCTGCAAAGAAGGCCCATATGGCTACCAAGAAAACTATACCGCTTTACATCGGTCTTGCTACCGGGTTTTGCGGCTCCTTCACGTCCTTCTCCTCGTTTATCCGAGATATCTTTCTCGCTTTATCTAATGACCTTCGCGCACCAGACTCAGGGTCAATAACTACTCCTCGAAACGGTGGTTATTCATTCATGGCTCTCCTCGCCGTCATCATTACTACTATTTCTCTATCAATATCAGGCCTATTCATCGGAGCTCAACTCGCGCTAGCCCTGGAGCCAATTACACCTTCGCTTCCCTTCAACTTCACCCGCAAATTCCTCGATCGATTCGCCGTCCTCCTCGCATGGGGTTGCTGGATCGGGGCCGTTCTCCTCTCTGTGCTCCCGCCAGACCGATTCAGCAGCCCCGGAGCAGCAGAAACATGGCGTGGTCGAGTAACCTTTTCCCTAGTATTCGCGCCGCTAGGGTGTCTCGGGCGGTTCTACGCCTCTCTCTACCTCAACGGGTATTTCCCTTCGTTCCCGCTCGGGACTTTCTTCGTCAATATATTCGGCACGGCGGTCCTTGGCATGGCATGGGACCTTGCGCACGTTCCCTTAGGCGGCGTTGTCGGCTGCCAGGTGTTGCAAGGCATTGAGGATGGGTTTTGCGGCTGCTTAACCACCGTGTCCACGTGGGTAGCCGAGCTGACGGCCTTGCGGAGACGGCATGCATATGTATATGGAGGTGTTAGTGTTGTGGTTGCGCTAGCTTGTATGATAGCTATTATGGGTGGTCTGAGGTGGACAGACGATTTTAGTACGTTGGCCTGTTTACATTAAAGGGATGTTTGAAATATGAATAGTATAATGTCCAGATGCTCATAAGTGCCTAATATATAATCAATTATCAAGATATTTAACAGTCACACAGTCTCCTTACATAAGGAGACGGTTAGAAACGTTAGATTCTGTTCTATTTATGCTCAATTGCTTATATACATCCTCGGAGACTGCGAATATAAAGAAATTATGCACATCCATTTGCAAATTCCCTTACCTCACACCCGCTGGCGCAGCACATTTCTTTTCCAACCATCTTGCAAAATTTGTTGAAGGTACATCGACTCCTCTCCAGAACATATCAGAGCCCCATATCACGATAGGGAAGTACAACGATGTAGATATAGTAAAGCTTATGGCATAAGGCCAGAGCCCTTCCTTTCCAATATATGCCCAGCAGATGTCAAGCAACCATTTACCAATTGTTCGGTTGCCAAGCCCGTGAACAAGGTAAAGAGCATAGCTTATCCGTCCAAGATATCGAGCTGGTCGAGTAAGGAATACAGATTGAACATATGGTAAGAAAGCCATTGGGCCGACAAGTAACATGGCACCGATTGCTAACCAAAAGCGACGGCGGTATGCACCTAAGGGCCAAACATATTTTGACCAGATGTAGCCGGGAGTTTGGGTGTTGTGGTCTCGAGGATAGCCGCAAAGGAAAAGACCAAGTATCATGGTCAGTATAAGAAGTCCATTTACTAACTTTCTTGCAGATGGATTCTTAGGCTTCCTCAGTAGCACTTCAATTTCTGCTAAAGACATCCCTGAGATGAATAGAGCGAGATCCCAACGTTTATGACCGAAGCAATGGATTATAAGTAGGCTTTCGACAATAAGTCGAACGGCAGTCCGAGTCTTTGCAAGCCCGATGATGAGTAGAAAGACAACCATCGAGCCCCGGAACTCGACAGCAATAGACCATAGTTGAGGATTATAGAACCCAGAGAAGTCTGGCGTCCACTCCCACGGGTTCGACTCCATGTCGAGGTATTCGAGATACGACGTTAGGCCATGCTCGAATGGTTTCCCATCCACCTTCTTAGGGATATCTATTATACTGAGGTATGCGCAGATGAAAGCCATCGTGCTAGACGCGAAGGCCGGGAGGAATAGGCGAATAGCCCGGCGAAAGGTAAGTGAGGTCAACCCGGAGAACAACTCCGGATACTCTTGGCGGTGCATCCGTTGAATGAATCGGTGGGAAAGTACAAAGCCTGAAACGACGAAAAATACCGATACCATAGCGGCGCCAGAGTAGATGATCCGAACGAACGGTAACAACCAAAACGACGTATTATTTTTGTATCCCCATCCTGAGTTGATAGAAGGGTAGGGAACGTGAGTCCAATGAAGAATAAAAACGATCAGAGAAGCGACACCGCGAACTCCATCAAGATATTCGGTCGAGTACGGCTTTTTTGACGCCGCATTTGACTTCTCTGATTCTTCGACTGATAATCGCTTTGCTAGAAAACTCGGCCTCATAAAGGCGAGACATTGCCAAACGGCTACCCGGAGAGAAATCGGGCGAAGACTCTTTCTCCATCTAGATGACCACCTCGTGCGATCCGTATCATCTAACGGTACTTGAGGGAGAAGGGATTCTTCATCTTCTCTAGTTGAGTGCCCGGGGAGATGCATGGTTGACGTTACTCAACCGACAATGCACACACTTCCTGCCAACCTATGAATTTTGATATAGCAACGAAGCTGAAAGTGTCACTGTCCCTCCTCCTTTTAGCGAATTCACTTCCTATCAGGAAAGATTGAAAACTTCTCTTCCTACTTTAAACCGGTCTAACTCTTGATAGGCTACTTGCCTAAGGTATACTAACTAGTTGTATAAGCCAAGAATATGCCACGAGATGACTTGGTCCACCACGTCCAGGGCTATTTGATGAGACTATTGAGAGGAGTAACAAGGTAAGTAAGATTGCAATATCACCATCTCCTATACTGACGCATTACCGTAGTGGATTCTTCGGCATGCGGTCTGATATGTAGTTGGGATATTAAAAACAACTGTTAAGAACAACTCACAGCACATAAAATCAGACAAAAAAAACACATTCAGCAATATCATTGGAAAACTAAAGATTTAGGAGAGGAGATACGGTCTATCCGAAAGGAATCGAATGCCAGATCCCGCATCCTTCCGTCGTTCGACCATGTTGAAGGAAACGTCGCACAGGGTTCGGACCAGAAAGCTACCAGCTACAAGATAGGGGATCATTTCTCGACACCATCAAAATGACGAGCCGCTGAACTGGTAAGAAGCCAAGTCGATCTCTAAGGATTAAGATTCTGCCAAGACAGTAAGCCTCCAATAGAGAGCAACACAAGTGCCGGATCTACAAATCAAACCTTTGAAAAGGCTTAGCATCGCATGTCGCCAAGAGTTTCTGCAATGCACGCCAAGATATTTGCCCTGTCCGCAACGTTGAAAGTTGGGTGAGTTGGGTGAATTTTTAGTGAGCCTATCCGGTCTATCATTTTGGGTAGTTATTCTTTTTGATATTCAAAAACCCTCGTCTTTCAGCTACTCGGAGCTGATCACTTCTATAATAAACCTAGCCTCCGGTCGTAGACTTACATTCGACCAACAAATAGTCTCCATCGCAATACATAATAGCCCCATTTGGAAGGTCTTTCAAAGGGGGTATCGCCGCACGCGACTTCAAACAAACGAGGTCTCGTGTGGCACGTGTGCACTTCCTTAGAAGAGAAGGAGATGAATGAGAGGAAGCCCTTGACATCACATTAGAATGTCGAATTTACATAACTAGTAAGTAAAGTTCAGGGCTAGATTAAGAAGCAACTCGAGGTAGGTTGTGCTAAGTGACGCAGAAATCGTTATAGGCGTCACTACATTACATACATAGTACTAACCTAACATCTCGCGTGTCTCCTAAATGTTGTGACTACTATGTGGTATGTATGTATAAACTGATTACGGCAATTGTACGCTCAAGCTTGTGACTGACGAGCCCAACTTTAGACTCTTTTCCCTGGCTCGAGAGCCCCGACCTAGTCACTACCGTGGATCCCATGTGGTCCCCCTTATCGTTACTCTCATGACGTGGGGGGGGGATCGCTTCTCAGCCTATTAGCTTGGCAGTTCTGGAAACCTGGACTGGAAGGCAGTTTTTTCTATGTCCCAGAAGTTGAGATCTTCGCTATGCATCTCGGCCCCTCTCCGCCTACCGTAGACCTTGCAAGTTACAACGCGCAGCTATGATTTGCCCTCTCTGAAATTTTCAGGGTGTGGACATGACAATTGTTAGCTGCTTGAAGTAGGAAATATGTCGTGTGCTGTCGATCCGTTTCCTATACAGTTCACTCTCCTTGCACTTCTTACCTGCTTATGAGAGTTCTTCCCTCATCTATCTCACCGAGAGACGCGACCATCGTGAGACCATATCCTCCAAACTGATAACGAGCATGACTCTCTAACGTCGAGATAGGCTTTCGCAAGGTGACGCCCCCTGTAGTCACCGAGACTAGGCATGTGAAAAAAAAAACAGCACGCAATTCACGATCGTTACGTTACGATAACTTATGTGATTCCACTCTTTTGTTTCTACAACTACATACGAGTCAGGGAGTTTCTCCGAGGGGGGGACGTTTTAGATACTCGAAAGGGAAAGTTCTATTATCTGTCGGGATTCGGGCCAACTTATCAGTGAATATTAGCGGAGGTTGAGACTACAAAGCAGAAAGGAAAGCAACAACATCTCAGGATGGTATGGGCTGGCGCGGTCTTGTCTATCCCCAGCCGGAGCCAAAGTCCTATCGACTACTCCAAAACCATGTTGTCGCCAAGAATACTACCGCGACTTTTCATAAATGTCCCGAATTCTCCTATAGAACAGGGTACATTCACATCACGGCGCATGCGGAGGATAATATCTTTGGCATGTCTCCTAGGGTTAATATGGGCGGTGGTAGATAAATGGAAGACGGTTCACTCGGAAGGGCAGAGCTATACTGCATTCCGGTTGATGCGACATGCTACTCTAGATAGCAAGGCGTCGCAATGGGTCGGCGGTGGCGCCGTAATGACATCTCAAGATAGTACGGAGAGCACAACATCCACATCTCGACCGGCGAAAGAGGAGCACAGTCTTTATCATGTGCTACCCGATGTCATCCGTATATCGTTCGAAGAAGCTGTCCAGGATGTTACCTTAGATGGTTGGGAAGATGAATGGCTTTCGGCTGGACATTTCGACGCCGAGAAGCACGGCCCACTGGATGAGCCGAAGATCGATTTCGTCTATAATTGGGTTAATGGGTCCGATGAGGCCTTCAAAAGTATTCGGCATAGCTACGAGCTAGAGTCACCCCTCAACGACCGAGATGGAAAGTGGATATCGCAACATAGCATTAACCGATATCGTGATTGGGATGAGTTGAGATATTCGCTCCGTAGTCTCGACGTCTATGCCAAGGGGTTCATTAACAAAATCCAGCTTCTCGTCAACTCGGTCGGTGGGTCATATCAAAAGGACGGCACAGAGATGCGTCCTCAGAGACCGACTTGGCTTAGAGATGACGATGAGACCAACCAGCACGTACAGGTTCTTAGTCACGAGTCCTTCTTCCGTGAGGCAGAGAAGAAATGTCTTCCCACCTTCAACTCCCTTTCGATCGAATCCCAAATTTACATGACTCCATCCTCGACAGACCAGCTCTTTGCATTATCCGACGACATGTTCCTAGGGATGCCTCATGCCGCCTCCGACTTCTACTCGCCTCTGTTTGGTCCGACTATGGGCTTCAAAAGCGATCAATACAACGTCAAACACCTCGGAGGTAAAAGTCAGATACCGTCATTCGGCGAGAAGCCATTCGTCTATTATACTTCGTACCTCCTCAATCATCGATTCGGTGAACGTAACCGTCACGTCCAGGCACATTTCGGACATTCCGTCTCGAGGAGGGTAATGAAGGAGGCGATGGCCTCTTTTCCTCAGCCATCAGCAAGGGGTGCATGCGAGCGATTTCGTGGCGAGTCACGATTCCAAATATACCCTTGGTATGCCAGCTTCCACTATACCATCGAGAGGTTCAGAGAAGCTTTACTTTGGTCCTTTATTATTTCTCGTTCGGACAAGAACTCGGATGGATACCTCGATTGGAAGGAACGTCAGCATATACTGGAGGTTGTTGAACCGGGGTGGCGTCAGCTATCTACCAACGACGCATCCAAGCCTGCAGCGCAAAGCCCAATAAGGGAACGGATGTACTACAAGCTTCCGCAGATCTTGCAGAAAGCAGGGCTTCAGCCACCTCAGGCAAACGTAAACGTATTGTGGACATCTCTTGACGGACCTGAGACGATTCGTAATGTTAAATGCAACGATTTCAGTCTCGATAAGTGTTTTGGCGACTCCTTCGCGTCACCGCTCTCAGATTCGAGCTCGCCAAACCCTGACTTTACGGCATCCAACATCTTCTCACGCCTCTCGTATCAGCGACCACAATGTGGCGATTGTCTGATCAAGTTTTTACTGGCGTCGCAGCCACGAGGATTAGAACCCTTACTCCCTCCCAAGACTACGAAGCCGCGTGAGCGCGAGATGATCATCAAGGCGCTCAAGAAGTACCAGCATACCATCATCGACACGGATGCGATGAAGTTCGTCATGGTGAAAGATGCGGAGCAGGCAGAAACAGAATTACTAGACCGCAATATCCGCAGAGGCAAAGAATATGGTCAATGGTGTCTCAACGACGACGTTATGACCGAGAGCGAGGAACAGGTCGGGCGCGTCCGAGACGTCATAGCACAGGTCTTCGAGGACTTGTGGCCCCTCAAGGGACGCTGGGAAAAGGGAAACTGAGAAGCTGAAAGAGCTCATGGTTTCTTTCTTACATGTGATGATACTAACAAACATACGCGGGCGTGATTTCTGGCTATTTCTGGCTATTTCTGTATTTATTATTGAAAAGATACCACATATTTTTGCACTGATGTACGTATATAATATATCCCCATGAACAATCTATGCCATTTAATACAGGCAATTTAACCACCATTATCATCTTCAACTGCATTACCCATCAATTTAATATCCTGCAAATTACCCACGCAGAATGAGAATGAGAAAATTCGTGGAACTTAGACGGACTCGGGGCCAAAGTAGAAGACCGCTTTTTCACCAGAGCAAGTATAAGTGTAACGTACATAAGTATTCGAGAAGATCTCTACGTCCTTGTCAGGGGCGACGCGTAGAGTAACACGACACGACTTGCGCACGACACGATGCGGCGTAACGTAGCGGCGTATGACGGCGTTGAATCAAGATTCGTCACCGCGGTGAGAGGGCCGAGGTAACATCGACGGAAATGCAAAAACCAAAGTTAAGGTTGAAGCAAAATAATTATGTCGGAGCTCAGTCGGAGGCAGCAACATGAATAAGTAAGTTATTTAAAGGGTCTAAACTTAGTCTAAGATCTCGTATTATCCTTAGTTAAAAGTTATTAAAAATATCTAGTTATTTAACCCAAGACAGGTACTTATACACCAAGACACATCGGCAAGTATCCGTGCCAGATGGAGTCTATGTTGGTATTCAATTTAACTAATTTCATGTCAACTATCCGTCTGCTGTTAGAGCAGATGAGACACTGAGTTGATGAAGTAAGTTTTGCCGAATAATGTCTCGCATAGATGCAGTCTTTCCGGATTATACGACTCAAGTTAGGGAAAGGGGTTATGGAGATGAGTCTAATATTGCTGGGTTCAATATACATTAATTGTTACAAATATAGATGTATCTGGGGGTTCACAATACTTTATAGACAATGTATAGACGAGGAGAATCAACTAGTAACACGAACAAATCAATAGTATAACACGCAAGTCTGATTGCTAGTATGTACTCAGATTAAAATATGCTCTTGACGCTCTATATTCCGCTCAAATACGCTCAAATGCTAAAAATTCGAAAGCAATGCCATCGTTACTCGACAACTAATCTCATAGGGCCATGGCAGCCCAGAATCCCACCGCAACCAACCCCAAACACCATTCAACTCGACTGCGGGGACTTGACGAATCCGTTGTTGTTGTTGATGATGATGCCGAATCGCCCACCTGCGCAGTCGTGCTTGCGCCAGGAGAACTAAGTCCAGACGGCGTCGTCGTACTACCGCTCGTTTTCGACGGGGCCGAGGAAGAAGCAGATGGCGACGACGAGGAGGAAGAAGTTTTGGAAGCTGGCAAGTCGCAGTCGCCTTTCACAGTGGACATGTCCGTGTCCTTCGTGATCTCTATTTCGTTCGTGCCGCAGTTCACGTATTGAGCTAGATGGATGGCGTTGTTTGTTTGGTCGAAAACAGCTAGAGAAACGGTTAGTGTTTTCCTAGCGAGTGACGATCACCCTTTATTATGTTATTGTAGAACTCACCATAAGCAGAGCGGAGCATGGTGTCGCCGAGGAGAATGAAGTCGTCGCTGGGCATGATACCCAGGTAACACTGCGTGAAGAAGGAGTTCTGGATCTCCCTGACGACCTCGTTATAGGGTACCTTTATCGTGACGCCATCAAAGGCAAAGTTTAGAGTGCCCGGTAGGTCGTTGAGAGCGCAGTCGACGGGGTAGAGGCCGTTGGCATCCGTAGCCTTGGCGCCAAAGTCTGCCGCGATGCTGTTTGCCAGCTCCGTCGGTAGGAGAGTGAGAGTAGCACCACTGTCTAGGAAAACAGCCATGGTGTTGTTCACGTATTCCTTCTTCGCGCCGCTCGGGGGCGTTAGGCTTAGGGAGGTCATGTTGACCCAGTACCTTGGTACTTGGTCCGGGGATTCTTCCGCGGGGATGATAGGCAAGGTCTGTAGAGTACCCGTAAACTTGCCCGTGTCTATCCCGCCGAAGATGATGACTCCTTCTTGCTCCTCTTTGCCTCCGAGAGCTAGACTGAATGCCTTGGTATCTGTTACCCCTTGGTCTGCTAACTCGTCTACGAAATTCTTGTAACGCGTAGTGACGTTTATTCCGTGGCCTATTCCTAGAATACCAGCAAACTCGTCATCAGTCTCCGTGGCAACTCCGAACTGGATCCCTTTCAGTTTCGCATCTAGTCCAAAAATCAGTTTTACGAGTCTCATATTATGATATACTTGAAAGAGCAACTCACCCGTGCCTGTGAGGCCAATGTCATCTGAGAAGTATTGGATCTTTGCTGCACCGATACCATACCGCAGGGTCTTCGTGCCAGCTAGCTGAGTTGCGGTAGACGAAGACGACGAGTCATAATGGCCTACTGCCTGGCAAAACCTAACATCTGCAGAGCCCGAAAGATCGGAACAATCGGGATTTACCCAGAGCTCGAACGAGCCGGTATCTAGTTGGACATAGACTTGCTGCGGCGGCGTGCCGATGTCCACTTTGATAATTTAGCAAGAGAAACAGCACGTAAGACGAGACGAGGGGTTACAAACATGAGGCGTAGTATGCTACATCTGATCTGTTGGCTAGAGGTACAGTAGTTATAGCTCGCTTATCCCCGAAGTCAGCAAATACATCTTTATTCGTAGAATGTATAACAGGTAGCTTGACATAACGGCTACTACGGCGTTCAATAGTAGATGCTTGGCAATAAGCTCCTATAACTAAGTCAAGGAGGAGGAAGAGCCGGGCTGCCATCTCTAGCACAATCAGATATTACACGCGAGTTCTCAGCATGAAATGACCACAGCTTCAAAAAAAAAAGCACGAAAAGGGACCTTCCAAGGTTTCTTCTAAACTTTCGCCTTTTGAACTTGTCAAAACCCGACTGGTTGGTCGTTGACTCAGCAGTTTACCTGTCAACCTTGTGCCTGTATCTGTTCCGCTTATATGAGTATGTAGAACAGGCGAATGAGCAAATGAGCGAATCCTTCGAGGGTATCCGAATAAGGCAAAGAACGACAGCACAGAAAATATAATAACGAGCGCGAAACCAGTCGGCAGACCCGGGAAAGTTCGTTATTAATAAAAGAAAGAAAGAAAAAAAAAAGGTACAGGAATATGCAAGAGAAAGCTACCAAGAGCCGACCGGTCGGACACCAAGAATGGGAAATGCAATGCCAATGCAATGCCGTAATGAATGAACGAAAGAGAAAAAAAAATCCGATGGACAAGAACTAAACAAGCAGACCAAGAAAATGAGATGAAGGTCACCAAGAAACGACGGCGAAGTTCAATTGGAGAATATCGCCAGCGCTGAAGACCCCGGCGTGCTTGGAAGGTAAGCTGTCCTAGTGCCGAGATCCTCAAGTAGCATAGCGCAGGGGCTACGGCGTGGGTGTTGCGGCTCTGGGCTCTGGGTATATAGCCAATAGTGAGGCCCGAACCACTTGGCCATGTTGGAGCAGTTATCTGTTTTATTAGCAGGGGCGTTTCAGCGTTCTTATTCAACTACCTATGTAGGTAATTCTGAAGGGATCGTCTTCGGTGTAGGGCTGAGGTGAAGGTGTTATTTATTTATTCGTAGAACATTGCGAATCAAGTCTTCGATTCGTACCTATGCACGAAAAGACGCTTCTGGTGGTGTGTGCTCAAAGTCTACCTAATGTAACGAGTTCATCCGCGATCGACGACAACGAGGAATATATCACATGTAGGTACCTATATAACTACCTAGGTACCTGAGTAAAGGCTATTATTATCAGACTAAAGCCCCGGGTTTCGTCTATGCATGAAATCAAATAGAAACTCTACGCTGTCTCAGTACATTCTAAGCTAGTGTAAAAAAGCCAAGGGGGTGGCACGAGCCATAAGGAGTTGCCAAGGGCTTGATTGAATACGGTAGTATTTATCCATTTTACGTTAGTCCAACTGCTCTTTTTCTGTAACCCTTCCTCTCTAGAGTATATCATGTTCTTGAGATACTCTTCAGGGCGAATGAATAAATAAATTAATAATTGTAATGTAAAGATAGAAGCTGTTCAAGTCGATCTTTTCTCCTTATTTTTTTTTATATTTACGTATCATATATCATAGTTATCATATATATAAACGTTGTTCGCCGTTCGCCGACTTATCCAAGATTACCGTAATGCCAATGCTTGACCGTGGCTTGGCCCGTTTGTCTCAGCAATAATTCACCTTGTCTCAGACAGGCGAGCCAACCCGCTCGCTTCCTACGCTGCGATCGCTGCCGAATACGCGCGTTACGCAAAACCGCCGATACGATCCCGAAGACGATAATAGTGTAGACCGGGCCGAAGCTTTATGGCTGGTCGTACAGTTGCATTCCGTACCTATCTTAGCTGCTAACGTTATCTATTGCTGTAGTCTTCCGCTATTCCAGAACTAATTGCGCAACGTCCTATATCGTTGATAAACTTTGGTACATGTATAGGAGTCCCCCATCATCGTATAAGTGGCCCAATCTTTCCCTCCAGGAACGTGACACGGTGGAAAGCGCTCGTAGAGAGCTCGAACGCGTACCGGTTCAAGTGGTCTATTCGAATGCGCATATAGTGTATAGAGTAAGTCAATATTCGTTACGGTAGTAATAAGCTAGCTAATGCAAGAGGAGACGGCACTATCGTAGCCGACAAGCTAACCAATTGTGCATAAAGCCCATCGTATGTATATTCCCTCTATACATATCAAAGGTCAAGCGTAAGTCGATATTCATTCTAGTCGTTCCACTTAGAGACGGACCTATAACATCACTACTAAATCTTTACACATAATTGCTCGTGTAACCACTTCTTATGAGTCACTGCCAGAGAAGTTGATAAAGTCCCCTTCTATCACTTAAGCACACAGAGCGACGTAAGTCAGCGCTGCCTACTGGCTTGTCATACATTACTTTACCTTGGCAACACCATCAAGGGCTAAAACTTTGCAAATTACTATAAAGTATTCACGTAACCAACAGAGATAGTCTCTCATCATCTTTACCTTTAGTGGCATCTTTTCTTTCCAACATCACTCTATCTAGGCTAGCCCCCGGATTTATTCATATATCTCATCAACCTCCCTTTCTCATATTCTCCGTGTCTAAGGGGGGAAGATCACTAGAATATACTTGCCACTCGCCTCTCACCATCACCTACTGCCTCAGTATATAGCCTTGCTGAATTGCGTAAGAAGCACATGTTTATCTACCCAGTAATGCAGCAGTGTTGTATTATAGACAGCATCTCAGCTTCTTACTTAACCTAGGCAGTTAGCTAGGACTACTCTTAGGTGAGCGCGTATATACTGTTGCCTTCTAGGCTTATGGCATTAGATATTTGATTACTACATTATATATAACCTATCTTGGCAGGTACTGCCCATGTATGGTGGCGTGGTACTATATCGGCAGGCTTCAAGGAGTCTAAGAGCCAAAGCTCAGGGGTATCCAGCTTATAATGCTTATAGCCGTATATATAGATCGGGATGTATGGCTTAATTGCAAAATATGCGAAAGTGAGTATATTTTCGACAACGTTTGAGTACCGCATTCCATAGTTTTATTTTTATTTTTATTTTTTTTTTTAAATATTTTTAATATTATGTAGTACAATATCTTACCTCATATCATATTGCGATCAGTGGTAAAGATGATAGTTCTTACAGAATATCGGGAGCATATAGGCCAATTATTACACGTGCTACTCAGCTCTATGTCTATGTATTAGCCAGCATCTTCTTAATCGAGTAAAGCTTCGGCGTTGGGGAATGCACCGTGATATCCGCTAACACCTAAGACATTTACTTATTCTGCCACTCTGCCTTGTTAGGCTGCTAGTATCTCCGCGCATTTTAGGTACGTCTGTCACATCTCCGAGAATTTTTTTAATATTGAACAAAGGCTACGCATACACTATGTACGCACACCGCAACTACGCTAGTCTATCTAGGAATGGAAGCATGCAAGGTGCTCAATTGTCACTTATATGTAATACCCCCTGGACCTGCTGACAGCGGCGAGTCTTGTCCGACAAATGGACAATCAAATGAATTTCGAAATAATGGTTACCTGAAACTACTGAGTGGATATCATGAGATGGAACGTTATCATGTTTGCTAGTGTTAGTTATTATGGGTTCAGGCTTCACTTTTTTGTCCTTGACCTATTCAGCCTCAGCCGTCTTATAACTTATAAGGAAGAGACGTGTAAAGGAATGACCTGAAGTTCGATTTCGACAAGTCATTTTTTCCCCTTTCCTATCTGTGGGCTAATCTTAACTCCTATAAGAACATCTTTATTCTCGATCGGAGAAGAGACAGTTAGAGGTATTAATCCAGACTGAGGCCGATTCCCGGAGACCATATAATTGAGTAGTCCCACCTCTAACATCGACTCTAGGCTAACGGATCCCTCTCCAACCACTGGGCAACTGAAAACACCAGTACTGTGCTTACTCTATTCGACTATACATACCATACCATACCATACATCACTACCAATGGGCGACATAAAAGCATTCTCGGGAGCTATGCCACCCGCACCTACTCCCTTTACCTCATCAGACTCGCTAGCTACCTTCAGGTTCCCGTTGAAGGCACATCTACAAGAACATCCAGAGTTTGACTCGATAGCTGTCGGTGCCGTCGTCTTCAACAACGACGGAAAACTACTCATTGTGCAGAGAGCAGCACATGATTCGTTCCCTTTGCTGTGGGAGATACCGGGAGGGGCTTGCGACTACGAAGACGAATCTCTGTTGCACGCCGTGGCGCGCGAGCTATGGGAGGAGAGTGGACTATGCGCTAAGTCCATTGTTACTCTCGTCGGCGAAGGTCTTCCTATCCCCTACCGGGGTAACCGATGCATGTGTAAATACACATTTTTGGTTGAAGTGGAACAGCATGATGTCAAGTTGGATCCCAATGAGCACCAGGCATTCTTATGGGTCACCGAGGAAGAAGCTGCGGTTGGCAAATGTGGTGACGTTGAATTCAAGTACACGACCAAGGAGCAGCAACTTACAGTTCGCGAGGCTTTCAAGTTGAGGAACGATAGACAGGCTTAGGTGAATTAGAGCGTAGAGTCCTGGGCTCTTGCATGGTTAGATTCCTAGATAGGCAAGAGGCTCGACCTGTTGGTGTACCTAGTTGTAGGTGCTTGCGTCGTACACAACTAGGATATATAAGCCAATTATTGTAAGGTATCATACGTGGATCTTATTGCTTTGAGCATTATCTAGACTGTTAGTCTAAGTCGTGATTATGGGGGACAGGCTGGAGGCTTAGATGGTATGTGGACTCTTAACACCCGTTTGTGATATGGTAGACGAATCATCCTACTCGCTGGATATGATGTTATTAATGTTTGTTATTGGTACTCTTAATATCTTTGCTACTTTATAGAGCTTGCCGACATAGGTAGTCAAAAGCACCACGTCTCTTGGCATATTACCGTTAAGGACTGACGCGCATGAAGTATCTATATCGTGCGCCACGTCAAATACCCATGTTCCGAATAGACGAGATCAGGCAGTAATAAAAAGTCAGAAGACCTCAATATGTACCTGTATAGCGTGTATAGTATGTAGAATACTAAATGCATGTCTCTCTTCTTCGTATGGGCATGCCTTATAACATCGGGATTTCGATAGACGTGATACCGAGGATGTAATTCTAGACTGTGGTGATACCCGATGGTCTAGACTTTGGTCTAGTAGAGGCCATATGACTTGAGATGAGAGATGAATGGCATATGAAAGGCTGCAATGTGTAATGATTAAGTATGAACAACCCACCAACTCAGGTACGTTACGGCTGAATAATGTGCTCATACGCATATGTAGAGACAGCTCAGACCTTTAGGCATATAATATGACAAGGCTTTGGCATGATAGAAATTTGATTGTAAGGTGAAAAAGGGAAAAAAAAAATAGATAGCACGAGACCTAGAATCTTAGGTTAGTAACTGCTATGTACTGTTTTGCTGCACGATAGATAGGTATGTGTAAGAGGTAACTACCTAGTTAAATCATGTGACTAACTAGATGACTAAACAATAGGTAGAGTGGGGTTTTAGCTCGCCTAAGCTCCCAAATGGGGGATGAATGGATTCTTGGCATTTTTCGGGCGCCCGGGGCAAAAGCAATTCCAAGCTTCGGAAGCAATCCTCAAATCAGACCACTCGCAAATCCCTCTTTTCTAAATAACCCTTCACAATTAACAAAACGTCACCGATCTCGACCTCAACCCACCACCACCTCCGATTGCCGCCGTTATGTTTTTACAACGCTCCGCCGTAGCTGTGGCACGCCGCGCCGTTGTGTCTCCCGTTGCCAGACGAAGTTTTGCAGTCTCGGCCATCCGCCGTAAGAATACCTTTGCCGAATTGCGCCCGAACGTGCATCGCATCGTATGATACGACCGTCACCATCAACATAACTGACTATGTACATACAGGAGATGCGAAAAATGTTGAGCCTCATGCTAGCATCAGTCAGAAGATAAAGTCTTTCAACGGTATGGCTTATCCAGCCTCAATTGAGCCATTCGACGTGGCGGGGAAGCTTTATTGACTTGGGCGTTATGCAATTATAGATATCAAAGGCGAGGAAGACTTGATCGGACCCGGTGCCGCCCCCGGTACCGTCCCTACCGATCTCGACCAGTCCACAGGTCTCGAGCGATTAGAAATTCTCGGAAAGATGGAGGGCGTGGATATCTTCGATATGCGACCTCTTGATGCCTCGCGAAAAGGTATGGGATTAGACCGAATCTATTAACTATATTACTACAAAAAAAAAAAAAAAAATTGGGCTAACGGAGCACCTTAGGAACTCTCGACAACCCTATCCTAGTCAAGTCTGCTGGTGACGAGCAGTACGCCGGCTGCACTGGCTCCCCTGCCGACTCCCACGTTGTCACCTGGCTTGGCGTATGTCTTCCTGGATCCAAACTCCGGATTCAAAAATTATGATCCTGAGAATAGCCTAACTAATATGCATATAGATGTCCCGCGAGCGACCCATCGAGCGATGCCCCGAGTGCGGCAGTGTCTACAAGATGGAATATGTCGGACCTCAGGATGACGGCCACGGACACGGCCATGATCACCACGGCTACGAGGAGCCCAAGACCTTCGCTGACTTCGTCAAGCCTAACTACTGGTGATCGTGTTGTATGACGTAAAAAGTCGGAACGGAGTTATGGCTGCATAGGAGAAGGCGGCAGGTGTAGAATTGTATATTGCCGAAGGCTGTATAGAAATCGATAAACTTTGCAGCAACTACATGGGTCATGCATATGTTGTGGTTCTTGGTTTAGTTATGCCCCTTGCCGATTAGAGCTTGCATAATATGGTTCGTGATATAATTTTGATTTGTTACTTGTGACGTTTCGAACGTATGACGTCGGGTATAAACTTATCTATTTATACTTGGGTTATGCCTGCTTTAGGTATTTTATCATTTATATCTTATATTTCCTTGTTGAGATTGATGAAAATGAGACAGGAAAGTGGAGAAATGTATATGCTTTTTATTTTGTTTTATAGTGTCTACTCGGATTCAACACTACGAATGGAAATTATAGAAATCATGGAAATCTACTCAGGAGTACATATATGCGGGAGTCCGTTTGTAAGGTACCTGTACGTATGTATCTTTGTTCGTGAAACCTCGGATAGCGGAATCCCCTTAACACGGCCTAGCAGGGGTAGTAGTATAATCCTGCCCAATGGAGTAACTAATGTGTAAATTGTACACGTATGTAACGGGCTAAGTTAGGCTACTAGAGATTGATGAAAATGCCGTAGGTGAAAAGTGAATGCTTCTATTTGTAAATCCGTACATAGTAGTAATAAGAATAAATAAGAGCGCCAAGTCTCATAGATTAGATCGGATACGGGAGCACGGAGTATGCAATGACCGAATGAACAAATGATTTTAATGATTGATGATACCAGCTTTGGCTTTTTAATACATATACTATGTAGTACCTACATATTGCGACTTTGGGTACTACAATACATTTTATTGGTACTCAACTCGTAAGACTACGCCTCTATTTATATCATTCTATGCAACTCTCAGCGAACACACATCCTCCCTCGCTCCAAATCCTACTTTTGAAAAGGTGCGTGTAATATATGTATTGTATATACTATGTGTGGTATGAATGGATGGATTATGCCTACTCCTTCATGCGATATTGTGGCTTTGTAAGTCTAAGCCCGAAGCCGAAGGGGGAGAAAGGGAGAAAGGGATAGAAAAGAAAATATATAAGGTACATCCTATATAGGTAGGTATGTATCTATAATGATCGGGTAATCAAAACGTTATGAGGCCGCCGTTTAAACAGCGATGACCAGCGTACCTAGGTAATTTAACATTCGACCAGCTTGTATTGGCGAACTATCGAACTATCGAACTATAGGAGGAGAACGTTGGATGTACCGGCTACGAATCGGCTTTAGTATTATACTACACCCCCTAAAATTCGGGTGCATAACGCGACGGCGTATTAATATTGGACCGTCTATTAAACATGATAAGATGGAAAAGTAACCCACCCCTTGCCTAAAATCTCCGTAGCCCATATTATGTAGGTCAAAGACGAGATGAAAAAAATAAAATAAAATAAAAAATAGATAGAAAAAAAGAGAAGAAACATTAATAAATTATTCTTTCGTCTTACTTCAACTAACTACCAATTGTAACATATCGTGTTGTCCCACGATATATGCATGTACTCCGTGCCAACGGGATTTGTACGTACTTGTGTAAGAGGCGTCAAATAAGCATGTCAAAATTCGATAATACATAATAACCTAGTGCTCACCCAACCCTTCCAACCTTTCCAACACTTCCTATGTAATACCCCCCAAGAATCATGCATATAGTTAATCCAGGTCTGACTATCTCTAATTTGACTAAGCCAACGTGAGGCATTGGATGGATGATATGATATGACGATACGATAGTCCCTGTCTTATATGTAGGCTAGCAAGGCTTCTTTAGTCAAAAGTCACTTATAATAGTGCACGGAGGGTAGGCACCAATTTACCAACTTTTTTTTTTTAATTTTTTTTTTACCAACCTACGCATCAATCTATTCGCTGGATCGTAGCGAGTATACGAATCGTAAACGTAGCTCCGTAGCTTGTGGCTCATAGCTCGTATAGTAGTAGTAGATATACCCTGATATACCCTAACCTGCCTAAGTTAACCTCGGTTGGTTGGTAGGTAAGGTAGTACCTATGTATGAATATGAGGGTAGAGGGTAAGGTAGTATGAGGCATGTAGCTATATATGTAGGTACCTGCATATAGGTACATACATGTACGCGCCAATGCATCCACATATGTGTAATGTGTAATGTAAAATGTATAATATATAGGTAATATATGATGTATAATGTATTAGGTACTGTATAATGTATAATGTGTGATGTGGATTACCTATCATTAATGTCCACTGCGATGTAGGATGTGCGTAGGTATACATATATATACTCGACGGAGTACATACCCTTTTTTTACCTTATATACATCTCTTGCGGCCGATGCGTGGGGAGGTTGTTTGTTTAATGTTCTAAGGTTCCTTGGTTTCCTATGCACACCCGTGGCCCCGAATCTAATATGTAATGCTAATAATGCATGGGGGAAACTTCTACCTAAAACGTCAGAGAAGAAAATTTAGTGTAATACCGCGCCAATAATAAGTCGGTGGTATTGGCGCGTTGCCGCCTATCGCATTTCCCCTTACTTATATACGTAATGTACTTCCCCAAGAAGGCGAAAAAAAAAGAAAAATATTTTCTTGACTTGGAAGTTAAAAGAGTTATAGATAGAGAAGAAAGCAATAGACGACATCCCTGTTCTCTCTCTACTACTAAAAAATGTTTGCTATGGGTAAGAGGTATTATTTTATTAGCGATATTTTCCAACATGGTAATTTGGAATACATAGGATTAGAAGATGGACATCACGAGGATATTTCATGTTTAAAACGTCGGCCCGTACATAAAAATAAACGACCTTAAAGTATACGTATAGCGGCATGTAGTAAAGGTAGTGGTAGTAGTAGTATGGAAGTATATCCCGTATGTATACGTACTTACATACCTACATATAACAAGGTAGATATACATTATAGCTATTAAAGCCATTAAGAGAGTCACCACCTATTACCAACATCCAACCTGACAAGAAACCTTCTAGGGAGTGCAAACTTACTGCTACATATTTTTTTTCCCCCTTCTCCTATTTCTATTTCCAATCAAACCTTTCTGCGTTCCTTTCAGGATTTCCTGTCCTCCCTCGAGTCAGTTGCCTGCACACGCCAACCACTCTTGCACCCGAGTCCTAGATAGCCGGTCTAAACAAATATTAAGAGACCTTGGCGTTTACATCTGGCGTTTACATCCATGGCTCCAATGACCATCGGTGTTAGTGGATATCCGGTAGCATTAACCCCCATGCCTCCCTAGGTATATGATTGTGCATCTTGTTGATTTTCCTTCTTCGTCACTTTCTTCTAGCTACACTTGGCCACAACCCTGCCAAGCCCCATCTACAGACCCATCTACAGACCCATCGCCAGACCCATCGCCCCGGCGCGTTCCCCAACGCGCATCAGCAGGCCGGCATACACAGACCAGCATTGAGCTAACATCTTCGTCATCGTCATTATTTAAAACGCGAATTCAAATACGGCGCAGTAAGCGCAGTACGACTGTTAAGAGAGAGATATATACACCTCGAGGACTTACAGAAGGAAGAAAAAAAAAACAAAAAAAAACAACAACTAGGCATCATCGCGACTAACAAAAAAAAAAAAACATCATCCACCGCCGAAAAACTCCGTCATTCCTTCTAGAGAAGTTCCTACATTGCCGGGACCCTGTTAAATGGGAGCCGCATCGACAGGCCTTGTCGAAACGGGATCCATACTTGGAGAGATCGACTGCACCCAACTCCAACTATTGGATTGGATCGGGTAACTAATAAGACTATTCGATTCGTCTGCCACACGAATTCCTAATTAAACACAGTCACCCTTTTTTTTTCTTCGGTACTAACGATCGATCCATATCCACCGCCCACTATTATTGATCGGTCAAGTCGGTATAACTCCCAAAGTAGGTAAGATGGAATAATACATACTCGCTTTTACATTTCCTCTTTCCTCTTTTACTCTACTACTATAACCTATTTTTTTTTGTTCATCCTATACTATTTCTCCAATTGTTTATTCACTTACTATCTATCCCGTCTAAGATACCTTGGAGATACATACCTGAAATACCTTGCTTCCGTGGTGTCTAAACATAGTACATAGTATGCTTGCACTAGTGTTATCGTGTTTTTTACACCAGCCTTGTTCTTGTTCTTGTTCATCTACATTACATCCCTAAATAGGATAGACTACTAGAGTTGGTGTTACTTGCTGACCCTTTTTCAAGAAAATAATAATTTCCCAACTGCGAGCGCAAAGAGGGCGAGTGTTCCTAACCTAGTGTATAAACGGAAGTATCCACGATACAAGAAGAGAGACAGAAAAAAAGAGGGAGAGAGAGGGAAGTGCCATTGATGATTGATTCGATTAGTCACTTTTGAGGCCGGTCATCAATAATTTCCTAATCTAATGCTCCATCTTACGGGTGCTTCTATAGGTAAGTATTTTATTATATCTCATCGAACACGTATATCAGTCACGTTCACATCCTGCATATCATTTTTTCCCTTTTCTTTATTTGGCGTCTCAAGCCCACCATCGTTTATCGTCTATCGTCTATCATACCTATTTTACCTTGGGTACATCATCATTAATAGGATTAGTGTGCCTACCTATCTTACACATGCCCATACATATATACGTACCTAATATACATACACACATATACATATACATATACACATACACTCATACATTCATACACGTACATATTATTCCCTTTTTTTTTTCTTGCTATTTGCCCGGGTTACCTAGTTCACACCTGCCCCTCCTATTTGATGATTTCGATGACAGCTGTCGTAGGTTGATATTTCCCGAGCAACTACATAGAAATCCTCATGGATGGCAACCAAACCCCCTAGGTAACCAACATTAAGTTACCTCTCTCGTCTCTCGTGCAACCCGTCTTTCTCTACACGTCACGCTAATAATAATAATACGCTACTTCTCATACTCATCAATAACATTACACGTTAGGTCTGACAAACATTTCTCCTCTAGGCCTCTTTACCTTAGGTATCTACTTCCACAAGTGCACATAATACCCACCTGAGAGATCGCTACATTTGTTTCTATATTTTCTCAGACACGATTCTCTGGTTGTTTAGAACATGAGCACGCGCAGACAAGAATAGGCGAAGCAACACAACGCGACAATATTTACTCTTCCATGAGTCAATCAACTTAGTCAACGACCTTGTAAGCATTGGACATACACTCTAGTCATAAGAGAGTACCGTCTTTACCGGTAAGTACCTATCTATCTCCCTTTTTAACTCTCTGCCCCGTCGTACCCCTGTCTATTATATTCTATCCATCTATATATCACAATGCAATCCGCGTCCCCACAACTACTATACCCATTACCATACCATATTATACGCACCCTACGTTCGCATTATTTTTTATTTATTTTCTTCCCTTCTTCTCTTCTCTCTCGTCATCATTGACCAACATTTCGGTTTATACTGGAAATTAATACATCATCACACTCCACCACCCTTACACTTATAATTCACCATTGCACTATCGCCAATAATATCACCAACAGCACTGTCCTACCGCCCTATACTCTCCCTTATCTCGTATTTAACGATACGAATAATTTCATTAGTACATGCGGATTGCATAAGGTCGCTGACGACTTAACATTCTCAAACCTGCTAACATATGTTACATAGCAAGTGAAAGTTCTGCTGGTGATTGGGTGGATGCGCGTCAAGATTGCACCATGTCCGCTAAGAAGGAATCTTTCGGAACGCATTCAGAGGACTGGGATGAAGCAGAAAAGAATCATCGGGAAACCGTTAAGAGCACGCGAGAGAAAGAGGATGTGAGAATTCAGCAGGAGTATCGTGTCCATGCAGACCAACTAAGAGCTCAACTCGTCCAGCTATATGACAGAAAGTCTCAGCTTCAGGACGAATTGCAGGCTATCGAAGGTGATATCGAGCACCATGAAAAGCAGCAAGAAAGACTAGCTTCGGAATTCGACGACAACGAAGCTCGTCTTGCGTCTCGGCGTAAAGCAGAAGACCAAGCGCAAGAAATATTCTTCGCTCGTAATCGTGAAGATGCGGCATCTAAGGAGAATGTACGACCTAAGAGCAGTAACGGGACTCGTCGTCAGCCCAGTCGTGATATGCAACCGTTGGCTAATGGCGCCGCTGGTTGGACTAGCATCAACGGTTCACGGCGTCGCGGTCGTCGCGAAGAAGAGGATGAACCTCCTGCGGACCCTGGCAACCTTCTAAGCAGCGTTTACCATAATCCCGTGGAAGAATCTGACTCGCTCAATGGCAGGTCTATGCCTCTACGTAGCAACAACCGCGCCCGACCCAGTCTGGCCTCAAATGGTGTGACTGCAGAGACTAATGCAGATATCCCCGAAAGTTATCTGGTTAACCGGGTAAAGGATAGGCCTCTTAAGCCTAAGCAGCGACACAGCCTACCTAGCCTTCCAGCAACAGCCCGTTCGCCTAGTGGTAGACCGCGTAAGTTTCCTAATCGGTTATTATCTTTGTTAGTCTTACTGATGATGTTCTTCTAGCCATCCCTGAGCTTTCCAGCGAGGTTCAAACAAAACCTTCATCTGGTCGAAGATCGTTGCCAAGCGCCAAGGGATCAGTACCCCCGACGGAAAGATCAACGCCGGCACCTATCGAAGGTCAAGAGATTACCCGTGAGAGGTTGGTGCTTCAGGATGACGGAAAAGTTATGATCGAGCCTCCGATGTATGCCGGTATCCCTCTAGAACGAATTGATAAGGGCCATCCGTACTGGGACCCCGAGTGGGAGCGGTTGGAAGATATCATGGAACCACAGCTGGATAAATGGAAGGAGAAGCTGGACCAGCTTAGAAGGGATCCCCTGTCTATACGACACACGGTTTTTCTTGCCAACCGCCAAGTTAATAGAGGCCAGTCCGTCGTTAATTTCCTCAAAGATGGGGAGTGGCACCCATACCAGTTTGTGGGCAAGGATATGATGAACAAGTTCTACAAGACATTCATCAACTACGATACGATGTTCCGCCTGGTAAATGTGCACGAAGAGCTCAAGAAATTCGACCTCGATATGACCCCTCTCGAATGGCTACGACAACGAATGTACGATATCGCGGAGGCACAGGGAGACAAATTCAACTTGTCTAAGACAACCCACGATTTGTATCACGATGTGAGCCTAAAGATTTTGAGAGAAAAGCACGGCTTCGGCAACATCGGACGGCCTTCAGGTTACAAGCTCAGAGAGAGAGATCCAGAAAAGGCAGCAGCCAAGAAGGTTAAACAGGAGTCAACCGGTTCGGTGAGACGCAAGGCTCGCCGATCAATTGGACAGGTTGATCCGGACGACACGCCTAGCATCGAAGACATGCAGAAGGGATCCGAGCAGCCGCAAGAAGTCTTGGAGCCTGTAACGCCGCGCTTACAAAAGCGTCAGCGCCTGGAACCGGCGCCTCTTCCTCAGCTTGCGCCGCCGCCGCCTCCGCCTCCGCCTCCTAAGCCAGAACCTGAAGAAGATGACCTCGAATACAGCGGTTGGACGTCGACGGATTCTTTTTCTGCCGGGCGAATCATGCATATGGACTGGCGCGTATACCAGATCAAGACTCACGACTTGACCACGAGTACCGAAGTCACCCAATACTGGACTTGGAAGCCGGAGAAGGGATTGTTCGAACATCAAGTGCTGCGAGACGTTCATCCCAAGGTGACGTGGGGATTCTACCAAAAGCCTATCAACTTCGACTTAGCGGTAGAAGAGATCCAAGAGATCAAGTACGCACCAGACAGCCAGAAGGTGCTAGTATCCGTCTCCGACGAGAAGCGCGGCTGCGTCTTAGCCTACTTCAAGAGGGAGCGAACCAAGAAGCGATTTTTGGCATTCGCTAAGAGAAAGGGCATTAAGCTCGTAAAGGGCACCGGGTAAGCCGATTCGACACGATGATAATTAATGTCATCGTTCTATTAGGACCATCGCTAACAGTCTATTCGCAGTCCACAACTCGAGAACTCGTGGGATACGATGGAGTCCAAGGCGATGCCGACCGAGGATTCAGATACATAAACGCATCCGATTGCTCTCATATCGTCTCTAATCCCTCACCCTTCGTTGATATTTTATTATTATTACATGTATAGATTTGGCCCTGCGGCATTCTACGAACGTCGGCAATCATCTGTCGACAGTGCGAAGGAATTTAATACAGGACCACCGCAAGGAAACCGGAGGCTTTTCATCGTCATCGTCATCGTCGTCGTCATTTTCTCGTCTCAGCAGCAGCACCAGCACCACCAGCAGGGAGCATCGATTATTTGCATTTTTGTGTTTTTCTTTTTTCCTAAAAATTTTTTTTTTTCAGTCTCCTCGCGGCATCAGCATGGATGAACTTGGCAGGGCGGGAAAATCGGCCGGACGAACGGATGGACAAAAGGGTGGATAAGGTGTGGAACGCACGCGCGCGCGCCTCTTCAAATTAAGGCGAGCAGGTTAATAACGAGATCTCAAAGTATTAAGAGAGAGAGAGAGAGAGGGGAGTAAGAGAATGGGGTATAGTGGCGACACACCCCTTCTACTATTTACACTACTCACCCTGTATTTTTGCACGGACATTATGTTGGGTCTGATCTCGCCCATTCCGATGCGTATCTGCATCATCTTTTTTTGTGTTTTTGATCCTTTCCCCTTTTTTTTTTATCTTCCACCTATTAATGACGAGATTGTACACTGCTCTCTCACGTATGTACTTGTATAGATAGGCGGCCACCAGCCACGGCTAGGAGATAACGGCGAAAAGGGGCATAGGCAAATGGACACCGCGTTGTGCTTTTTTTTCTCAGCCCCCATTGGCTTTTCTCTACTTTGTACAAAAACTATTCGCTACATATTGCTTGACTTGTGAAAAGTGAGAACATAAGAAGGAAAAAGCATGAATATAAAAATAGCTTTTTTTTTTAATACTTGATAAAACGTCCCTGATTCGAAGAGACGAGTTATGAAGGATGCGTAGGTGTAGGATATAAGATAAGAGAGAGGTAAGGGATGAGATTTGAATAGTAACCGTCGGTGGTATTTAGGATTGCATGCGATACGATGCGATGATCAATGCGATGATCAATGCGATGATCAATGCGATGATCGATGCGATGTAATACCTACATACATTACCTAGGTTAGATACGCACGAAGACTCAATAGGAAAAAAAAAGAAAAAAAGAAAAAGGTAAAAAAGGTAAAAAAGCCCCACACGTTCCCGACGTTCTGGCAATAAGCATGTATAACGTGGGCAAATCCCTGTGAAATATGTGATGCGTAGAACCATACATACAGTAGCGGCAGATCCGTCCAAGTCAGTCCATGTACCCTCGTGGCATTGGAACTTTGCGAGAAAAAAAGGGGGCGCGTTGGCGTGGCCCCCAAAAAATTACTTAAGTTAGAGGATGGGGATGGGGGATGGGGGAATGATGGGCGGCCTGACCGGCGACCCTGATTTTTTACATATGCGTTGCGTTGCGCTGCGCTGCGCATGCGCTACGCTAAGCTATTGTATGCTGCGCTTTGCCCATCCCTGCGCTGCTCCATCGACCGCAGGCCAAGCCGGGAGGAAGCGGGCTCTGTTATGCATTAGATACGCTATAACTATACTTACCTACCTAGGTAGGTTATGTACTTTGGAAATATTAAACTGTTTTTTATCTTTATTTATTGAGGTAGTTATTAATTATATATTATAGTTAACTTGATGATTCTTGCTCTAACGGTAAACCTCGTCTCCTGCTTAATCCATTATAGCGATATGCAAGTTTTTCACTAATCTATCTCTCAAGCCGAACCTAATCAATCTCTTTAACAGTTCGACGATAACGTCAACGTCAAATTCAATTCCTTTAAAACGTCCCCCCCGCCGAGTCAAGCCTACGGATCGACATCGCCGATAAATCGAAATGTAAGCCCCTTTACTTTCTTACCGCGAAGCTGAATTTCACATCGGACCACGTCGTACTTGTCGGTCTCGTATAGCTGGAGACATTCCTCCTGCTCCTGGTCTTTTACGAGGAATGCCTGGCCTTGTACTGCTTTGTTGTTTGGCGCATCAACCAATGCCTTGTACTTTCCACCCCACGTCTTCAAAACACCGCCTACTACGCTTGCAGGACAGTACGACGGGTCGATATTGATATTCAACAGTCGCTTCAAGACCGACGGGTCCGCAAGGGTCCCGTAGAAGAAGTACCACACCGGGTATTGGTTCTGTGCCGGAACCAGCTTCGGGTCGTCGTTGGAGCAGAGGCGATGCTGAGGCATAGTCGTGTCGATGCCGAGGGTCGGATATGCCGACTTTGTAGATAAATCCTTGTCTGCCCTCGAGTACCGGATAAACGTAGGTTGGAATATTGATCCCTGGTCGGCGATGAAGTCGAGAAGTTTTTGCTTGGTGTCTGCGTCAACTTTGCAGAAGCTTGTGGGCTCGCCCGAGTCGTCTGTGCCTTTATGTTCTTGTGGTGCTATGTCGAGACCGGCAACTGATTGCACTTGGAATACGTTATCGAGAGGTCCTTCGAGCTTAAGAAGATAGACCGATGGTCTAGTTTTGTTAGGAATAGGAATCTTTTGGGGCCTCGAGTTGGACGTAAGGGATGCCATGAGACTATGAGAGTGCTCGTAGGCCTCCTTGTCGTAGCCTTCTGCTTCTTTCTCGGCGCGCACAATATCCCAATGAGAGTCCGTAACGAGGACACGAGATAAATCCGCCCTGTGCTCTTGGATCTTCTGTATAGCTTGGGCATGTGTGTAACCAAATAGCGACTGCCATCTCTTGATATCGTCGCTATCTATCTCGTCTAGTTGTTGTGGTTGTTGGATAGCAACCTGAGCCATGGACTCAAGCTCGTCTAGGAAATCCATTGCTATAAATATGATAGCTACGAGGTTTTCTCGGTGTTTACAAAAGCTTCGGAAATGAATAACTAGTAGATGTTGGATACTACTAGAGGTTTGATAAGAGAGTTGGTGATTTATTTGTTTGTTGCGACTTGGGTATAGTCTTATAAATGTGTGATGGGTAGATGTACGGGATATTAGAAGGTCCTTTCAGAAAGGAGAGCGAGTTTATTTATATACATTCTCGCCTGCCTCCCAGAGATGTTCAACATATTAGACTTGCACTTCCTTATTTAATAGATTATAGTTTAATGCTACGAACTACCTAAAGTCTATTCATAATAAATAGAATACAGTACCTAAACATAAGCTTAATCGATGCGCAGGGCCGACTTAGATAGATTAAGAAGATAATAAGCTTGTGATTACTCTACCGCTTAATTATAGGACTGAAGCCATCCGAGTTTTGACTCCGAACTCTTAACCTACGATATAGGACTAATAATATACGACAACAAGAAAATGACATCATCCCAGTTAGAAACCTACCACCCCGGTCCAAAAAAAATAAAGATTCTTATACAATTGAAATATAATAACCAGCTAAATGACCGACCTTATAATCTGCACGTAGAGATAGATGCTACAGTTTAGAAGCTGATGTTAGTGTAGTTTATTCTTAGTCATCCCGGAAAATCTTATCGCACCTACCTATCCTTAACCCCCACTAAAATTTGCTATCGATTGGTGTATCGCGACCCGCAACTCGCAACTCTGCCCGTCAAATTCGAGATACTCTCATATAATATAATAGACGATACCTCTCCTTCCCATTGAAGCGGCAATTCCCGTCAAGCTCGACTCCGTTCCGTTTATTCTGTAACCGGGTCGACGCGGTTTGACGAGCGACTGAATAATATAAACATTCTCGTGCGCTCCATGTGAGCAAGCAGTCGACGACAAGATGCTGTACGAGCTAATTGGAATCGTGGGTTCTCTATTTCTATTTCTATTGCTGCTGCTATTCGACATTGAGAAATACATACTAACACAAAGTAATAGGTCCGACCCGGCAACCTCGCCGAGGTAAAAGAGTATGTTCTATTCCCCGTCTCCGTCCCCGTCCTCGCCATCCCACCACATATCAACTTCCCCATCTCAACCTCGACCTAAGACTACAAACCCACGAGCGAACGCCACTAACCACCAATCTCCCCAAAACAACAGAATCGTCCTAACAGCCGGCCAACTGATCCTGCAGCAAAAAGGCGTAATCCGCGGAATATCCAACTGGGGGGTCTTTTTACTCCCCAAGGCCACCAGCGTGCACCAGATGCGGCACCACTCGGGCCACTACTTCGCCATGCGCTTCGACGCCAGCGTCGGCACCCAGCAGGCCGTGCGCAACATGTTGGCCCTCGACCCCCGCATGATCCGCCACGCCTCCGTAAAGCTCGGCGACGGGAAACTAACTACCATGAGCCGGTTCGGCGGGCCCGAGTGGTCGGCCTAGGTTACCTACCTATCTATCTCGTAGATGATGAGAAGAGATGAGGCGAGGCTAAGGTCTCAGAGTCTGGTATCGGTTTGACTGCAGGGCGCGGGGGTGGGTGGTGCTGTATATGTATAATACATGTACTCACTCTACTCGGCCTTCTATCTTCCTATATTGGAAGGGGATAGATAGATCATTTCCCTAACCATGTGCACGAGAGCAATGGTTACGTATCAGAGCTCCGGTAAAAGAGGGCTGCTATATTAGGTAGCTGGGGAATAGCAACGATGACGCAAATTAGGGGCTTGGATGATATGAACTGTTGATCTAGTTGCGGGTTCGCTTGCTCACTGTATAAATACGGCATGATATGGGGAATATATCAAGTATATATACCGGAAGCATAAATACAGATATGTAAAAGACAACGCCAAGTTACACAATCGTGTATAATATACCCTTGGCTACCTCTAGCACTTTTCTAAGACAAAAAGGAAGAAAGGCGCAACACATTTCATCGCCGTACATTATCTCGCCCCTATTCTCACCTTGGCGGTCATATTGTCGAAAAAAATAGTATATGATACTAAAAACAAACCCTTACAAGAAAACAATACTAACTACGCTTTAACATACCACGAAAATATTCATAATAGGTATCTTAATTATTTATTGAGCCCTCTCTTTCCCTAGCATGTCTTGCTAGGTGACCGAGGGTGATGACGGTTTAATGCAAAGCAAATCAAAGCTAATTCCCTTGTCCCGTAACGCTGTAGCGATATCTCCTATATCGTCTCGCTTCTCGAAGCGTACTTACAAACACTCGCACCCCGATACTCTTCCCTACTATTCTCCACGTCAATATCCGTCCCATAGCACGAATACCAAATTGACTACCTTAGCTAGTTCAGGAACAACTAATCAAGCATCGACGTCCATCTCCGACGACTTGCGTTTATACCAGGCCACAAAGTCGTCAACAACTCCTGGCCAAGCTCCGTCCTCGCTCCAGAAGCTCAGTGTTTCGTCCGCCATGCTCTTTAAAGCGAATTCGAAAGTCTGATTCCACATATCGCGACTGACAGACCGTGTCCAATTCTCTCGCAGAAACGCAATCCACTCAGCCAACCAATCAGTACCCGTAGTCTGTCCAATCCATAGCACGCCTGGCTTCTTGAAAAGTAGCTCCCAGTACAAGATCGCGTTATCTAGTGAGAGTGCCCGTTGGTCTCCTTCTCGACCGACCACGAAAGCGTACCGGTAGACTTTACGAAATAAATCTCGATCCCTGCTTAGTGAGTCGGCAAGACGCTTGAAGTATTGCTTCTGGCCTTCGATCTTGACCTCGGCCCTTTTATCAGTTAGTTTCTCACTGCTAACTAGTATATATATATCATTGAATCCATTTGATTAAATCCTAGACAAGTTTATAATAAACTGCGTAACTACATCGCTCATCGGTGGTATGCAATCCATGAGACGGTTCGTAGATATAGATCTGCTTAAGGGGAGATAGTATGTGAAGACTTACGCCGGGTTGGCTTTCCAGCCATTTATGAAGCCTTTTCGGGTTATTTCGCCTATAGTAGGAGCCTGGACGAGTTCCATAGCAAGAAATAGTGACGCCCCTTCAAGATCGACGCCGATAGAAGTCAGATAGGCCATGGATGAATCCGCACCGAGTGCATCTTTCGGGTCCTCCTCAGTATCTATCTCTCGTTAGCAGGCTCATCTCTTAGATGTACATAGCTAGGCGCACTCCTGAGGCTGTCAAACAGTTTCGTAAGTCGTGATTCGTTGGTCGTAGTTGATGCACTAGCATTCCCCTGGAAGAACCTGGAGAGTAAATAATTAGTAAGAATAATTTCGGAATAAATATCATATATGCCTATGAGAGGTTCACGAGATGTACGACTAGCGAATGGACAAAGACAGGCCTGGCAGATAAACAATATAAGACAAGACAAGATAGTTTCGACATGATCTACACTATACATGACATATGATAGCATGGTGATCTGATCGACCAAGATTACTTCAACGTTATAGAGGGATAACTAGCAACGAGCTATTCTCAACGTCGCAAATCTTGACGCAAATTCCGATCGGACGCACAAGAAGTTGTGAGACCGTATTTCGGTTGTTTTCCACAATCGATGTTACAGCATCACGAACTTGCTGTCGTCCTATGAAGAATATACGCAAAACGCCGATGGTACACCCAAGGCACCAGAGAGTATCAAGCAACCCGTATAGAACACCTATAAGAGAAAGGAATAGTATAAAGATGAAAGCCACTCACGCATCAACGGCTTCGTTCAACTTGTATCCTGTGTTTTTGAGGTACTATAGAGGAAAATTAGTTAGCACGAGACCATCCCGAGAACGGATGTATTGGCGGGAGTTTGGGCGACAACGAAGGAATGAGACAGAGTAATTCGACCGCCATGAATACTATTGTACATAGAACTATCGAAGAGACATAAGCAGAGAAATAGAGACCAGAAAACATACTCTACTAGCAGTCTTATCCGAGGCCCCGGTTATCGACACGAAACTGGCTACCGCCGCTTTCTGGACAGCGGATAGCGGTGGCATCGCGACGACTTGTATCACCTATCAAGGGACGATTTCTGGGGAGATGACGGGTATATTGGTAGATGATCTCGTCGACTCGGACTCGGGACTTGGTCTCTCGATACTAGAGGATGTGATATATCTGGTTATAGTATGTCGGTCGTTTGTTCCGCATATAAAAGCGCACGTCGCGACCGCTTTGTTGGTACTAAATAGTCTGGTAGTGGGGGGAAGCTTCGGGCGGTTGGAATGCGGAGGAGGGGTGCTATAAATACTCGGCGGGGTGTGTAAATAAGAGTAATCGGATGGGTAATTACCGAAATGATGTTTCGACGAGGACATATATTAAAAGACCGTGTTTACCTTAGACTCAAATCCTATCTGATTATGTTAGTCGGTGTCTAGAGCAGATGGGAGAGTGGAGAGTAGAGAAACAATAGATGCACAGTTAAAACTGAAGGTATTTGGGTTATTCGTGGTGGGGTTAGGTACTTGTCTTAGGCTGAGTACGTACTACATACCGTATTAAGATGGAAGCAACGAAGAGACCTGGGCACTTTGATATATAGTTTGGGCATCACTGATCATCTTAGATAATCATACAAGGTAAAGAGTGGATCACTACTTAACTCGGAAATCTCAAAGAATATAATTAATAATTATGGAATTCACTTCACTTAGTTATCACGTACCAAGTCACCACCAGCCTCAAGTCTTAATCGGGTATTATTTCCATTCTCACATCACCACATCTTCTATTCGTCCCAACCCCACCCATCGAGTTACATGAACAATGTAGGCAATTTCCATATGAATTACTAATAATGTGTGTAATGGAAACGAAGGGTATCGTGTGATAACTGCGACTCCCTCCTCGATATGCTCCAACCCCCCCTACAAGAACTAGAAAGAAAAACGAGTACAGCATGCTATCTCACCAACTCCAATAATGGGCAATACACTCCCACAAGCCCTCCACAAGCCCAAATGTATGCAGTCTAGCATTATGCAACCATTAATATCTCAGCCTCAAGATGCAACTACTACTCGTCGATATCTTGTTGCTGCTCCACTGCTTTCTCTGCTCTGATCTCTACTTTAATAGTAGTCTTGCCCTTGGTTGTTCTTCGCCGAGAGTTCTAATCGCCAAGGGGCATACCCTCGAGCTCGTCGAGCAGACGACGCCAATTGTCAGCCAACATCTCTGAATATTTGACACGTTCTTGTGCCCAATCTTGGTTCCATCGGCTGACGTGGAACTGTGTCTGCTGAAAGTAGACAAGTTCGTCACGCAGGCACTCTTTCACAAATATAGAACGGTTGTGCTGGCTGACGATAGATTCTTTGTCCTGTATTAAGTGTTAGCAACTTTGCGTATCGGCGACGAATACTAAGCAGGTACGAACCTTTATAATGGCTTCAACCACTTTCTCAATCTCTCCTGGCTTGACCTCCGGCCTGGTTCGTAAGCCCGCGAGCTTCGTTTCGTTATTCTGGATCCTCCGTTCTAAATACGGGATGTTGTCTTTATCTAGTCTTTCTCTTCGGTCGAATAATTCCCTAATACTGACGAGTGCGTCGCGCTGCCTCTTTAGGTCTTCTAACACACCTGCATCCCATGCCTTGCTTTCATCCTCCATTAAGCTTTGGGTCGTTTGCAAGTGCCGGCTCATAGCGACCAGACCGTCATTTAAAAGAGGTACGTCGTTAGTATCAGTAGCGTAGGTATCCGAGCTCGCTTCGGTGAGGGATGTAAGGGACATAGCTAAGCGAGCGTGATCAGCTGCTACACCCTCGCTCCGCTTCACAAGGCGGTCCATGATGTTACAAGTTGAGATGTACAATTCGGCGGACCGTTTAACACCCTGTCTAGTGCGCTCGAAAAGCTCCTCCAACGAGGGTGGCAGGGATTCTTCAAGGCCAGGCGGTAGCGGCCGGCCGGTGAATTCATCAACCACCGAGATTGCTGCTTGTTTGCGCCATACTGTAAGTTCCTACGGCTCGTTAGCTTTGAATGTAAGAATGCTTGCTTCGTTCGGTTCATACCGTTGGGACAGTCAAGAACATTATAACAAGCTGTTCCTGACCCAAGATAGGGTGCCGGACCAGTGTGTTTAAGAACCTAGCTAGGCCGCGTCTTCGCTTTTCGATAAATGCGCCGTCATTGGAAAGGTGGTTACCATTGACTGCAACTCTCTTTGGTGGAAGTAAAGGCAATGCCCGAAATGGATATCTCTTGTGCAAACAATCGAGTAACCAGACGAAATCGCTATATCTGCGTATAACCTTGCTGCCGCGTCGCGAACTCGTAACCTCGTAATTGTGATGTTGGAATAAGAATAAGCCCTCTTTTTCCGGCATCAGCGAAACCGTGATGTTCTCATCAACCGCAATGCCAGACCGACCACCACTAATGGTCCTAGAATGGCCAATGGTTGCGTTAGGACCCGGATCGCGACCTTCTCTGTCTCCCGGAACTCCAAAAGGACTTGTCGGGTTATGTGAAGATGCTTCGCCGAGGCCTCCAGGGTTGTTTCCATCGAAATATCCCCAGCCACCAGGATGCGAAGATACAGAGCCGCCAGCAGATTGAGAACGAGCGACACCGGCTGGAGCCATTGTAGAGGTGGTAAATTCGGAGGTTGTGCGAGGGTGCATATCAGGGGCATCGGAATTTCCGTAACCATTGCCGTTCAGCAGATTAGCATGATTGGTACCGTTGGTCTTGGGCGACTCTCCGTGGTTATGGTGTTTGTGGAGATCGGATGAACTCCACGGGTCGTCTTCAGGACCGTCCATAGATGATTTTCTACCTCGGGATTGCGAACCGAAGGGGATAGGTAGATTTTCGGGCTGCTGCGGTGGTTTTGCTGCAAGTTCTGCAGTATCTGGAAAGATGGATTTCTTGGCCGACACTGATGATAATCGGGCTTGCGGCAAGTCTGCAATAGGTTGGTATTATGATTTAGTAGGATGTAATTTCTCGGCGAATAACGTAAATATCCCCGCAAGATGATGCACAGGGCAGCGCAGCGCAGCAACGAAGATACGATAAGACCGGCTAGCCCATTGGACGCCAAATGCGATTCGCTAAACGAACGGAAATACGGCGACAAATATATATATAAAGTTGATTTCTAGGGGAAATGAAAAGTAAAAGAAAAAGAAATAAAAATATTGTGTAAAACACTTACTACGTCTTCGTTCATCAACACCGTCTAAACTTATAGATTCACCTTCTTGCGCAAGGCCGATAAGAGCCATTAACACGTTAAACTCATTGCGACCGATCGTATCAAGGCTACCAGCCGGCGCAAGTATCCCCATTATCTGCGCTTGGTCGTCGGCACCTAACTTAGCTGCAGCAAGCGTCTTAGCGACGCCCGACGACGTGATCTTGCCGGCACTCCCATCCTCTTGTACAGCCCTATCGAATGCTTCGACGTAGCTATCTGGTACGTCGACACCGTCAAGGAGTCTCCGAAGAAGGTCGGCACGCGATTGTTGTTTCCTAGGTGTCGGTATATCCCAAGGTGAAGCTCTACCGCTGCCGAAATCATCATCATTGAAGAGGGTATCCGAAGTCGACCGAGTCATAGGACCATCATCGTCGAACAAGGACGTTCGAGATCGCGCCATGCTTGGATTACCGGAGGACAGGGTTTCGTTTGGAGGGGAGGTGCCAAAGAGAGACATGGTCCCGGTTTGACAAGCTGTTTTTGTTGCTGTCGCTCTCTAGAATCAGAGGTAAGGTGATCGGCAGAGGCGACAACGGTAGTGAGCTTGTGTAGAAGGAAGGGAATGTCGTAATAGAGGTGTAATAGCTAAAGGCTAGGCTGAACGAACCATGCAGTCGATTAAGAATGTAATGCAAGGGGCAAAGCTAGAAAATACGGATGAAGATGCAGGGACTATGCACGTACTCAAAAGTATATAGAAGAGGGAAAGGTTTTGGGATTGAGTGTCACAAAAAGCCGAACAAGAAGTTATTGTATCATACTGTACATTACACGCCCGTGCTGCCTTCCATGACTTGGGAGAGCTTAACTACAGCTGTACGGGTACGCCTGTGCTGAAACGCCAGGGAAGTACAGGTGGGACAAGGTGGGACGGAAATGGATCGGCGCTGGCAAGTGCGGAGCTGAATAGGTACATACATATGCATACATACATACATCAACTGCACCGGACTTGGTTCAACCATGCATACTTACATGTAGGTACATCTGCAACAGTGCTAATTGCAAATATTAATGCATTTGATGCATGTACATTTTGGGTCTATGTAAAGTAAGTAATTTACGATTTACCTGCATAAATAAATAGGGCAATCCAAGCATTGAAACTTTCGCTTTATCGTTACTTATGCAAGTATCGATAATATCAGTACTACATGAGGTTCAACACTTCAAAGACTCAAGCGACCACTAAACTGAAGGCATATTATATCTCCATTAAGTGGTTTGACATAACATGTATAATTGTGTAGATCCGTAGATGTTTCCGGTAATAGGTATATATACCTGCAGGCGTAATACATAATATAGTACATATATTCTTATAGCTTGTCCCACAGTTTTGTATCTTCTTGCGTAGTTCCCTTCTCCTTCTTCTGCCGCTTGAGGATCTTCGCCGGCGGGACCCTGAAGTACAAACTTGGCGACTCACCAGGCTTCAATGTGTGGCTCAGATATCCTCGGTGAGCAGGGTCACGGTAATATTCGATATCCCAACGAGCTGTCGGATCCGGCAGTCTGTAGGAAAACCCCTTCTGGCGGACCTCCTCTAGGACCGGCTGTACATGCTCTGGGCCGATAGGTAGGGGCTTATCGGTGTGAAAACTCCTGCCCAGCACCAACCTCGTTATAGCCTGCTTGGTATAGTATCGTGTCATGATTTTTCCTCCCGCTTTTTCTACTGCATCAATAGCCGCTGCTGACGCGCGAGAAACAACGATATCTATCGGCTGCTTCAGCGTATCTGCTCCCCTTGCTAATAACTTGATTCCGTCCTTAATCGTTCCAACAAGATTAGATTCTATCAACTCTTTTGGCGTAATCCGCTTCGTAGCATCGATACGGCCGGCATCGATCCAGTCTTGTAACTTGTTGAGATTGACTTCAGACATTACAGGCGCTCGTCTATCCAGTAGTTAGTTTCCAGTTCCAATTGAAAGAGGGAAGCAAGGCTATCCAGCTATACAGGTTCTCGAATCCAAGCTTTCCCCTCTGAACGACCAAAGGTGTTTGACCACCCTGGAACCACGGCTTGACCTTTCCATGCTGCTTTTGACCTTTATGACCCCTTCCAGACGTTTTACCCTTTCCCGAGGAGGGACCTCGACCAACACGAATACGTTTCTGATAGGCGCCTGGGTTGTCGGATAGGTTCGCAAGAATGGAAGCGCTACGGGACTGAATTGAGAGCGCATTAAACAATCCTATGAGCGACGAATTATTCGGTCGCTCAATCGAGGCCTTGCAGCACTGAGCTGTTAGCCCGAGGGGTATTCGTGGAGGCATCTTGCGACTCTTGCCTGTATTGGGAGTTTATAGTTAGTGGGCTGTCTTGATACAAGAATTTCCCTTTGATATATTTTTCTGGGGTTGCTTTTTAGTAAAAAGTGGTCTTAGCTTTTAGCTCCAGGTACGTACATAGTGGGGGTTGGTCGGCCTTTGTGGAGATACTCAGGTACTCAGGTACATCAATCAATCTCCTTACCCCTTAACCCTTACCCTTAACCCTTAACGATTGACTGGAGTTGAATAGTGAGTAGTATTAGTATGGTCTTTCTCTATGATAAAACTTTCATTCCTTCTACATTCGAGATATATTTCTTAGAAAGGGGGAGCTGTATAGTTGTTGACCACTTAGAATATGATGGATATAGAATAGTCATTCCCGAACTTATAATTCAGTATAACTCCTCCCGCTCGAGGATGTAAACCCTAAATACGCTTATCTATATAACATATATTATCCCCTTTACTATCGATGTCAACGCAAAAAGCTGCTGAAAGCAATTTTTCTACCTCTATCTTATTGGATTCTGACCTTCACGATCCTGGCTATCTAAATCCCAACCTTCCCCGCATTGATATACACTCCTATGTACCAGGTTTACCCAAAATCGATTCTACCTAATTGAGACTTAGTATATAATTGCGTGATAATCATAAGGTAGCATTGTAGATCTATCTGTAGTTAAGTCTTATCAAACTGCTGCTTTGTAAAAGGCTTCTAGGTAGTAATGAGGGGCGTCTCGGCCAGATCCAAAGCGACGCAAGTAAGCGGGAAGATAATAAATATACGGGAATATCATCTCTAAATAAAAAAAGATATTTCTAACCAAATTCCTTAGCATGTTAGCCAATACTAGAGGAGCATGGACGAGAAGAAATTAAAAATCGAGGCTACCTCGAATAACCCTGTGAGCATTTCTAATCCGACTCCTATTCAGCCAGAAGGACAATCAACCGCGTCCTCTAGAGATCTTGACGACGCATACGATCTCTATCGAAGGCAAGATGACGTCACCCTCGATCCTCATGAAGCACGTCAGGTGCTACGAAAAATTGACTGGCACATTTTACCACTTCTGATGGGAACTTATCTACTTCAATACCTCGATAAGTCAAGCGTTAACTTTGCAAGTGTCTTTGGGTTAAGGCAAGGGACGAATCTGCACGGCCAGGATTACTCGTGGTCTTTATCCATATTTTATTTCGGTATGATCTTTCGAGACAAACAGTAATTACGACGACTAATTAGTTGTGTCTACTTCCAGGATACTTAGTGGCACAATGGCCAGCTGGCTATCTGCTGCAAAGGCTTCCAGCCGGGAAGTTCATCGGTAGCAGCATTCTAGGTTATTGAATCCTTCCGCAATATATCTCTATAGTTGGACTAACGGGGTCTTAGTTTGGGGTATGCTCACCATTGTTACCCCGGCATGCAAGAATTTTGCCGGAATAGCAGTGAATCGCTTCTTGCTCGGATGTTTCGAGGCAGTAGTGAACCCGGGCTTTGTGCTCGTCCTTTCAATGTGGTGGAGACAGGATGAGCAGCCCATGCGATTGACTACTTACTATAGCATGAATGGGATAGCCGGGATTTGTGGCGGCCTACTTGGTTATGCTGGTGAGCTTAATATATTATCGAACTGAGGTTGAATATCTTCTAACATGCTTGTAGTATGTTATAAATTCATCTCTTCCTATAATTTCACTAATGTGTTGTATTCTTACTCTTAAGAGTATGACTTCGGGTACTCCCTTCGCCACTAACACATAATAGATTGGTCATATCACATCTGGCCTGCCTCCATGGATGTATATCTTTCTTGTGTTCGGTTCTATAAGCTTAGCTTGGGGCATCATCTTCCTGATTTTCATGCCCGATATTCCTTCAACGGCAGGGTTTCTGAACGAAAAGGAGAGAGTTATCGCAGTTGAGCGAGTAGCTAAAAACAGGCAAGGAGTGAAGAACCATCATTTCAAAACCTATCAGATGTGGCAGTGTCTCCTGGATCCAAAGACCTGGATTTTATTTGTCATGGCCATCGCAGCGCAGATTCCAAATGCTGCCCAGTCAAGTGTATCGTACCCATCTTTTCTTACCAGCATATATCAATGCTAACATCCAGTGCAGTTCACATCTATAATTCTAGAGACATTTGGCTTTGATGTGCTCCAGACGCAGTACTTGCAAATCCCAGGGAATTTAGTACAATTCTTTTCCCTTCTCCTATCTGGTTGGATTAGCTCTCGATTTCCAAACATGCGTTGTGCGGTCATGTTAGTGGGAAACTTGATCTGCGTTGGCTGTGGTGCAGCTCTTGTCGGATTACCAGTTGGCCCTGACGGCACACAGAACAGATGGGGACGGCTAGTTGCGCTCTGGCTGTGCTCATTCCAATCTGTAGGCTTTAGTTTGAGCTTGACAATGGTAAGTAGCAACGTAGCCGGATATACCAAGAAACAACTCACGGGAGCTTTCCTGTTCGTGGGCTATTGTGTTGGGAACATAATAGGACCGCAAACATTTATCGAAACAGAGGCACCGTTCTATACCTCAGCGTACATTGCGTGAGTCTTCTAGGGTTTGAGCTATACGTTGAATACTAAACCTTGTGCTAGGATTCTCATCGGCTATTCTGTAAAGACAGTAATGGTCATCGTACTGTACATATATATGTGGTCGGTAAACAGGAAACGGGATCGCGAAGCTGCGCTAGAGGGCTTTGGGCTTTCAGAAGAACAAGAGAAACAAGCAATTGAACAAGGAATGCAGGATGTTACCGAGTTAGATAATAAGGGCTTTAGATACGTTCTATGAGGCCATGCTGACTTCAAAAAGTATTTTACCAACTATCATTACTAGATACTTTAATTCTGGGGTAGTTGAGCATTTACGTATGCACTAACTACTAAGAATATATCTCCAAGTCTCTCTAGCTTATTTTAAAAAAGCTTAGAGAACTATCAAATCACCTTGTGAGTCTATTATGGTAGGAAATGACGAAATACGCATGTAAGAATAGTTCTAGTAGACCGCTTCTTATTGATGAGAATAGCGTCAGAGTAATAGCAAGGATAGCACCATCTATCGCGAAAGCCTAAAGGAGCAATTACTTTAAGGACCCCTGGGCTTTTTGCCTTCTTGTATTCCAAACGAGGTTCCCAAGATTAAACCTTTCTGTTTGGCCGCGCCCTCGAAACCAGACCTTATCTTAATTCAGTCAAGAAATGCCTTCTCGTCGACAACAGTTTCTTATAAATAGTTTACGGGGGTATTTAAGCTTGCATATCTAACCTTGTTGACTTACACATTGGTTAGGATTGGGTGTTTTGGGTACCTGATGAAACTGACCGAACAATCCTTCAACTAAATTATATAAATTTTTATTATCCCAACATTAAAATAAAATGAAGAGGAAGATTTCTGACCTCATTTTTTACACGAGGTAATTTTTGACAAGGAAAAAAAAACTTTTTCTAAGGAACGAACCTATTCAATTGTCCAGAACAAATTGATCTTTTTGCCGCCATGACATAGATTCGAACCCGGGAACTACGAAAAACCCCTAAGGGATTTTTCTGCACCGTCATTTCCTTGACTACTGCGTCGTGACCATTCGACCAGTGGGTCTCGGATCAGGAGGTGATGGTGAGAGCTCTTAATGTATATTATAAGTAACCTGCCATCCACATTGCCGTCACGGCTGCCTAGCAACCCCTCAAATAACTTAGGTTAGGTTAGGTACTTACAGTGGCATTTATCAAGAGCGTCAGGAAGGAGACGCCTGAAACACAGACACTCCCATAGGGAATGCATGGCCATCTACCAAGTTCATCATAGTCCGTTTAGAATTTGTGCGAATGTGGTATAAGAGAGGGGTATTCCTAATACGAGATAATATTGTCATACAACCACTATTGTCACTTGTCTTTCCTGTTAGTCGAACATGTATTTTATACATCTACGACTACCTAATACAAGGGGGGTGTTTGTCTAACACCTACGCTTACATAGAGAAGCTATAGAATTTGTTATAACAAGTTATCAACCCTATCTATCTATTACTTCACTGGGGACCAACGTTAATCGCCTGTTAGATGGTTTTTTGGAGATGGGTGTGGGAAAGACCCGAGAATATCGCGTAACCAAGCTTATATGGAACTAAATGGTGGATAGTAGCTAGGTATACACAGCTGGCTTTGCAACAAGAAATCCTGTATTGGATGGATATGACTAACGGTAGTATGGACGATGCTGGAACCTAAATGGTCGGAAACCTGTGGATATCATATCTTGATAGGCCGCGTATGTGGATACTGATGATACCTGTGCTGGTTTAAGTATCTCTATATCTTGAGATGGTCCGAACTCCTCTGAAGTCTCCCTTGAATTGGCCCCCATTTACCTCAACGGGTAACTTCACCTGCTCCTACACCGAATTCCGTGTTTTGGACTCAGGTTTGAATCCTTGACTGGACATGAATATGAACCTTGATGTGATGGAAGCTCTTAATATGATTTAGCACACCTAAGCGGTGAACACTCATGAGGAGTTCTGAGGGGAGACAAGGACGACACTATCCCCTAGAGCTAGGTATTAGATAAGAATAAGTTAAGAAAAAAAGGTAAAGACGGACCTCGCACAAATAGCATCTCGGACTTCTTAGTTGTTGTCTGAAAGGAGGTTAGTAGGATATCCTAGAGCATATTAGAGAGTGCTTACTTTGATTTCCTCATCGTCGTCATCTTCGTCTACCGTATAGATGGTTTCCACGACGTCACCTAAGACTAAATTCATATGGCTGTCATAGGCCTTAGATGTACCCAGTTAGATAAACAGAGAAGAGTTAGCATGGGTTGATAGGCTTCACATACATGAAGGCGTCCTTTCAATTCACGATCGCCGCGCAACTTCACAAATACAACCTCGTCAAGAAGGAGGCGCACAAGATCGAGAGGCTCAGATACTGAGCCACCAGCGGGGCCCTCTTCACCACCAGCCATTATTATTATAAGATTATGTCAAATATAGGCCAATATGCCCTGACAATGTGTTAAAATTGTTGAAGATATGTGGTTGAAGTCGGGGTTAGACTGGCGTGGAGGTGAGGGATGCGGTATATGAAGATTAGATGATTCGATTCGATGTTCGCAGCTTTGTAGAATGGAACTTGGTGCAATAATTCAATAATTGCTAGTGAAAGAGTGATGGGCTTGGCAAACCCATAAAAAGAAGGCTTACCTAATATAATCTAACAGCCACAAATACTTAGGTACTTACATCTGTAGAAGCTATGACCACTGTAAAATCACTACAAAATATTTTTACTGTTAGTGTAGTTCTCCATACCCACTACTATCACACTAAATTAGAGTTTACGGGGAAATACTCCACTATATCCACAACTCCACATACTTCATAATTCCATAATTCCATAACTGGGCAAATCCAACCCAACACAGCTTCAATTATCAAAGTTCCCCGCAAATCACGTTTGGTCTATTTATCTATCTGACTCTCCTGAGTCAGTAGCCTGTTCACACCGGTCATGATAGTACTCAATAGCTCTCATAATGCCCCCCAGCACTTTGACGGTGTCGTTCGGCCGGCACCGAGCCTTCTCTTATAAACCTCTTAAAGGAGCTTGTTCGAAGTTTATTAGCCCCTATCAAAGTCGATCTTCTGGATTACTCTCTCTTATAGATACTAACAGTGTTTTTCCGTGTAAGAATATATACAGCCCTACACGTGGCCTTGCAACGGCAGTCCATTCCTCCAATGCCGTTTCAAGCGAGGACTTCAAATTCTTCAGTGACCTTCTCAACCACACTGAAAAAAAGCCACAAACTAAAGCTGGCTATAGCAGTCCTATTTCTAATGATGAAACCCCTGGTGTAATATTACCTGGCCCGTTTAAAAGAGCTCTTGAGGCAATGCGACAAAAAGACACCCGGAGACTACTTATTTATCTCGAACAAATAACATCCATGAAAGAAGCTGAGCTTCATGCAGCCGTTGCTTCACTTCCTAGAACTACATTCACCGAGCTTCTCCGAGCCTTGGACCCATTTGTTGTTGCTAAGGATGCCGATCCAACGAGCCAAACACACATATCTGCTGGAGCGTACCAGATGCTAAATTTAGGAGCCACTATTGACCTTTGGGGAGTACGAAAATTATATTCGAAGCTACTACGCCAAATGCTAGTTCTTCTGTCTGCGTTGAAAGCCTCAGGCGGTATTCTACAGGCAGAAGAGTACATCTACCTAGTTAGGTGTGCAGGTGCTGCTGTAGACCCTGCGGGAGTAAAATGGATATGGAATGAGATGGTCCGTACCCAGACTACAAGTTGGAGGCAAAGTGGGATATATGCCGAGTTTGTTTCCGCACGCTTCCTCACCAACCCTTTATATACAGGCTACGATAAAACCAAAAGGATGGTCACTAGCCGAAGTTTACATAACTCCAAATTTATCCTTCACTGGGCACAGATTCGAAAGATGGATTACCTTAGATACAATACCCGACTCAAGAAGCTGTATTTCGGACTCAACAAGGACACCAAGCATGCCGAAGACTTGATACGAATGATGAGGAAAGATAACGCGGCTAGGAGACTTTACTTCTGGATTCATAGTCGTGGCACCTACATGACCGAATCTTTAGCATGTGCCTTGATGGTTGCCTTTGGACGGGCCGGGTCTTTACAATTTATTAGTGCTAATATATTAGATCGTCATTTCGGCATTAAGATAGGTAATATAACCCACAGCATGGCAACTGACATACGCCAAGGCCACAGCCGTGTGAAACCTACTGTGCTTCTTATGGAAGCCATCGTGGAGACATATGGTTCAAATGCAGAGATCCCTCTTGCCTTACAGCTGGTCCAACATCTATCAGTGACCTTTCGAATTCCTATCCCTGCGTCTATATGGAAAGACCTCATGGAGTGGACCTACATTATGGGCTCTGTACCGCTGTCTAGGGGATGGAAGGCGGCCAATATGTTTTCTAAAGTACCGAACGCAAAAGTAGTAGAGTTCATCTGGGATATGATGGTTTCTGAGCCGTATAATATACAACCCAGCTTCGACCACTACAATATACTCATTCGGAATCTTATAGCGCGGAATCAGTTCGGCAGATTCATCCCATACATGAGGGAGGCAGTTGATTTATACAACATTCAAAACCAAGAGTATAGGGACGCGGTAATTGAGTACACCCAAATGATTAACGAGAATGGGGTGCGTAGTAGCGAGACAGTGCATCGGTACCAACGGGCTCGGTTTAAGAAGGCGACTATGCGGTACGCCATCCAAACATGGTGTCGACAGTTCCTTGCCAACGTACATGCATTCAACCCTACGAACCCGCTTGTAGCCGTAGCCGTCCCGAATTTCATTAGCGAGTTCAAGACTTTTATGCCAAACCCGGTCTTTTATCGCACGTCTGACGGATACGTCACTCTCTTCGACCCTCTCCGGGAACCGCAGCGCTTAGTCCCTGTCGAACAACTTCCTATCACCATACAGGTGAAGACTAAGTTGGGCGAGGTCGTGTACCTAAACTCAACAACGAAGAAACACGCCACTAGGTCTCGAAATACCTTGGCGGGCCGAAAGCCGATATCTCACTTTGACCTCGAGACTCTCCTTACGACCACGTCCCGGGCGAAGCTGCCGAAATCCTGGGAAAGGCCGGCTATCAAAGAAGAAGTAGAGGAGTCAGAGGAATCAATGGCTGAAATCGAGTCTAGCGAGGAGTTGCCGGAGCCGCTAGAGGTGGATACTTATGATGATGATGACGACTTTTATTAAAAGCAGCCGTTTTGTCTGTATCTGTATTATTATACCCACGATATATTTATTTCGTATTTACACCACCGCTGTTTTTGCTATACCCCAGCAGCGGCGATAACATATATACAACCCTTCTGGCGGGATTTTGAACATGCGTAATTTACAAAGATATATTCTTCGCTTCATGGTGAAACATGACTCGTAGTATGAGACCGATGCATGTTATTTTCACATATATTAAATATTAATCATTGGTAACGACATAGAGGATGGTTACGATTTAACCTTCTCTAACCTCAGGTCATTTATGTACATGTACCGGCTCAGCGCGATCCAACCCCACCGGAACCAGACCATCTGGCTCTTATGCGCCTCCGTCATAGCCCGGCGCGCCGTCCCGTAGCTCTCCCGACCACCGGCCAGCGCGCTCACGCTAACTAGAGCACCCGGGTTTCCCTTATCGCTCTTCTTATTAACACCGCCAGGCCCGGCAAGCGCAAGCGACATGACAGTCGCGAAAATATCTAGGAACCCGGTATACTTGCGTAGGAAGCTCACGCTGGTCAACGTGTATAAGTCTACGGGAGATGCCCAGCCGGGCTTGCCCCGGGTTAGCGAGGAGACGAAGGCACACGCGCCGTGGTATAGGGATATGTGATTTGGGTGCGAGGATACGCCGCTGGAGTCGAAGGTTATGATCGCGTCGATGGTGGCGTTTGGAGCGGTTAGGTTCTCGGAGGAGGACTTTTGTGTGGCTAGGCGGGGCGCGAAGGCGCTGCTTAGGAGGGCGGAGATTTTGGAGGATTCCCAGGTTGTGGTCATGGAGTCCGGGAAGTCACTGGGAGGAGGGTGTTAGCTTTAGTTACTGTATTATGCATGTATAGGACGGGTAGTCTCTCACGGGCTATCGTAGACTAGGACATCATCCTCGCGGGCTAGACCTAATAACATGCCGCTCTTGACGAGCTCCTTCTTGCGTGTCTCGCCGAGGCCGTCGGCGTTTCCGGAGCTTAGGCATAGGATCTTAAGGTGGTTGCCGTGTTCGGGGCGGGTGAGGGCTAGAACGGTAGGCGCGAAGAACATGGCTTCGTCGTCCGGGTGGGCGATCAGCAGGCAGATACGCTTGCCGCGTAGCATTGGTAGGCGTGTCTGCGATACTGATGCTGTGTAGATGTATAGGAGCGGAAGGATGACGGCGAGGATGCCGAGGGTCGATAGGGATGGGAGCGGCATGTTGTAGCTGTTTGGTAGCTCGGTGTCGTCGTTGGTGATTTGCCTTTCGTCTATAAGAGTAATGTATAAGAGTAGATGGTACAATATATAGAGAAAGCGGTCACAACTAATCTAGGAACCTAGGCCATATATTGCCAGATTGCCTAGGAAAATCCGGGGATATTGAACCAGACAAGTTCAGGCTTGGATCTGAAGCATTACCCGTTCTTAACCCTATCGGATGGCCTGAGAAAGTGACGATGGACTTAAACCGAGATTCATGTTGGATGAAATTAAGAGGAAAAGAAGCCCCTCTGTTGCACCTCTTTGAAGGTTGATTATCAATTGTTGCATAGGCTGATTCGTATATCTAGTTAGTGCATATAAAATATGGATTCTACAGCTATTCATTGGCTACTCGAATCCCTGTCGAGCTTACTAAACACCTCAAGCTCATGGCGGCAGGACGGGAGCTAACCCTTATAATCGTACATGTACATAATTTTTTACGTCGTATCACTAACACGCAACTACATATACCTAGCAGCTTAACCTCTTAAATATTTATTAATCCTAAGTTACAATTCCGTCAACTCTTCGCCATGGTTCGAACTCGAAAAGAAAAAAAGGCGGCGGAAGGGATTAAGCTATCTCATCCCGATCGAACCGCCGCTCCCAGCGAGGACACATTACTAAAGCTTGCTCAGGACCGCAACCTCTTCGAGGAAGCTGAGAGGCAGAAGAGGAAGAATGCGAAACATCGTGATTCCGATGACGAGTCGGATGATGGGGACGACATCTTGTCGTCTACAGCCGATAGGGTATTAGAAGCTATTCTCTGGAGCATTAGTTTGTCTATGCTACATTTCACTCTCGATGTGCTCGTTCAGCATCAATATGCGATCTCCATCATATGGCCTCAGATCATAATTCGATCAGTACAAGCATCTATTGGTAAGTTTCCCTCGCAATAGTAAAGCAACTTTATATTGGGCTGAATTAATAAATGTAGTGTTCTTCTTGCTCATCTATGTACTTCATCCACACGTCTCGGCTCCATCTTTTGTACCTGGACTACCTGTGAGATTTCAGTATCCTCTACGGCAAATACTCTTCCTCACTGCGAGTGTTACTTCCGGTTGCTATTTAGTTCATATTTCGAATAGGTATAGCTATCTCGCTGTTATGAAACAATCACCACCTTTAGGCTGTCTCTGGGTTTGGTCCGTCATTGAACTTGACCTGCCATATGCCGTTCTCTCTTTAGCTTGTATCGGCGGGTTCTTCTACCAGGGCGGGTATACAATAAAGCAACCGTATTAATAGGTATCTTGAGCGAGGCTTGAATAAAACTGTACAGTCTCTTTTTTTTCCTGCACGTGGTTTTGCCAAGCTTAGATGTACAAGACTTTTAGTCCCAACCTTCATACCCGGCAGACCTACAGGGGTCTTAAACTTGGGGGTTACAGAATGTCACCTTTTCACGTGATACCTCTAACCTTCAACTTGATCTAGCCCCTTTTTGCCCCTGAACAGGAAGTTGTCACTTTATGATAGCTATAGAATATATGATTTATATATACCAGATTTTGTTGTACTAGGAATTTAGATTTTAATATACCCCATTTAATAGGTACCTAGGGAGAATTGTAGTGAATTACCTAGTTATTCTTAAATCAACAATCATGTTCCATTTACAAAAATTCTACGAGCATAGCTAAAACTAAACCACTGATACATCTACGAATTCTTCGTTTTGGGTATCTTAGCGGTCTAGGCAGTAATATAACACTCTAGTCTAATCGTGAGTGTATCGCCTGTATTAGCTATTAGTCAATTATAGGTATCTAAATTTGGAATTCATTGAGCAAGTGAGCTGACTTATGAACAATGTGTGTGGTAATAAAAGTGATTGTATCCCGTACCTTCTGTAGGCAGGTAGCTATTTTGTTTGTTACAGGTTGTCACGTACCATGCCGTTGCCGTTCGTGCATGCAAAGTTAGGCTTCTAATCAGTAAACCACTCTATCATCTCGCCTAAGACTTAAGGGGGCTCAGTACCAAGGTACCGATGCACCTTCCAAACACGTATTAACTGATTAGACTTTATTGTATCGATTAGTATCACCGTAGTCACTGTCGCTCCGGGCCAGGTGATTTACTAATAATTTTTTCAACCCGCACACTTCATAAATATTTCCTCGCCCGCAACCACAACATCCGCAAATTCCTCACCACATCATCGAACTTCCAGCACCTCTTAGAATTCTATCCAATCTAACCGTCTAACATCTTCATTCTCGTCAAGATGTCTGGATGCTTTCCTAAGTTGGCCTTTCTTCTGGCAAAGAGACAGGTATGTTGACGTTTAATTTACTTGTCAGATCCAGCAGTATTCATCTTGACGCGTCTATACTGCAACATGTCGCGGCTTTCTTTATTCTAGCTGCCTGAATTTCCTCTTTCGCCTCCCATTTTTTGTTTACGTCTTCACGTTTATCGTCCTTTCTATCTACTTACCACCCCCTTTGACATAACTTCCCCCCCTTATGTCGGCGACAGCATGATGGTCAAAGTTAGAAACCATTGTACTTCTTTACCTCGAGACTATTTCATATTAACAGCACATGTGTTATCAAACTACTACTATCTCCTTTCAGTCTATCCCATATTGAAAGCATAGTCTCCGAGTTTATTTTCTATCTTCAGGAAACTACGTTATCAAGACTATATACTTACACTTCTTTGAAGGAGCAACAGGCTGAGGCTGCCGCTGCTGCTGCCGCTAAGGCCGCCGACACCAAGGCCGCCGACACTAAGGCCGCTGACACCACTGAGGCCAACGACGCCATGTCGAAGCCTGACAAATACAAGAACCCCTCTGAGAAGGGACCTGCCGTCCCCGGCACTGCCAGCAGCTCCGTTTGGAAGCCGATCACCTTCCCCTACACTGGCACTGGCATCAAGCGTTCTGCCAGCGGTACCCACTGGGTCTCTCTGGGTTCCCCGAAAGAAGATGGCTTTGCCGCGTCTTCTCACGCCGCACCGCCTCTGTACATCACTGATGACCTAAAGAAGAAGGATCAGCCCGTCGAGAAGAAGGGAAAGCAGTCAGCCGGTAGCGTAGGCAAGAAAGACAAGAAAGCTGCTGACGAGACCCACATGTTCAAGGGTGGCTACATTGCAAGCCGCGTGAAGCCTGAGGACCGTCAGCCGATCGAATAGGTATGTCCTGTATTTCCCTTGTGCTGTACGTTTTTATTCATAATGCCATTTCTTACTGAAAGAGCCTACTAACACTTTTCGTTATCGGAATAGATTGCAACATTGATTCTCCTTACCATCATATCATGATTCTACGCTCGTTTACCTCGATTCTCCAGATCGAGCTTTGCAGCTGATCCCGTAAGGAAACATTTCGATACTGGCATTTCCAGGCGGGTTTGCATTGCGACGAGGATTTCCCATTTCGGTATCGATGCAGCTGATGATCATGATCATGATCGTAACTACGAGGCACAACTTTTTGGACTGACTTTTGCGGTTTGCGTTTTTCGACTTAGCACGTGCGGATAGGCAGGCATTATGGACCACGAAAAGATCACACGCACACGCACACGCACAAGTAAAAATAAGGAGTGAGAAAATGTAAAAAAAAAAAAAGGGCATTGACACGGCATTCACATTTGCATCTTGTTTCGTTACGGACGCATTCAATTATTGGCAACTAGTTAGCAAGTAGTCAGAGTAGATACCACCAGGTAGATACTACAATTTGCACAAATCATTTGCCTTTGAGCTTCGTGCTGGGTCTTAGACGTGACATGACATTAACATATCTTGACAAGGGCGCTAACTAATAGGACAAAACATAAAATTTATAGGACGCGAAATTATTTAACAACACATCAGGTCCATGCTGCAAGTTTGTGCTTTTCTCTACTTGCTGTAAAGGCAAACATACCTAGGTACCTATGTCCTATTGCCGTAAGTGTAACAGATCCCTTTCTCTATTCCTAATAGGTCATACCCCTAAGCTAATACTTCTGTCTCTATGTCTAGATTAAACCAAAATATTTTAGATCAAGGGCTATGCCAAATTTTATATGAGTTTGTAATTAAAGTGACAAACTACACCTTGAATTGAATATACTTGGAAGAGCTATTTGGACACTGACATACCTTCATCACAACCACACAAGCCTCAATGATTACCCCCTACTAAGCTCTTCATATCCAGCCCGAACCAGGCTCTCAGGGCCCTTAACATCACCAACACCAGTCCAGTAGAACAACCCAGCCAGCCCCTTTCTCCTCACATACTCAGCTTTCCGTCTTACTGTTTCCGGGACGTCAAAGCTAACAAACCCCTTACCTGCACGGTCAACATAGCTTGCAGCCACTACATGATGATCAACAGTTGCATCCCTGATCCACTCGCATGGAAGATCATTGTAGTCAACCTCTGCAGCTGACTTGAAGGGCTGCCCAACCCCACGAGCTCCAGCAAAAGACCTTGCGTATACTGGCACACCCAGCACAATTTTGCGAACTGGGAAGCCTCGTGACGCTAGGTACTCAACACCGCGGTGGCATGAATTCCTCAGGGCCGGGTATATATGCTCTTGTAAGCCTGGTTGAGGTAAGAGCTGTGCATGGTGGCCTGATACATCAGTCCATGGGCCATTGAAGTCGTAGCCCATTAGATTCAGACTATCGAGGAGTTTCCCCGCTGCGCGCATGTCGATATTCTTCAGGCAATACTCACCAGTCGGTAGGGCTGTAGTGAGGAGGTACCGTGGCGAGGGTAGCACTTCTCTCAGGGCGCGGAGTACGGCAATATAATTTTTACCTGCTTCTGGTGTTGTCGGGTGCTCCCAGTCAATATCTACGCCGTCGAATTGGTACTGCTCTACGAATTCCTTGCAGGACCTCGCAAACGTACTCCGATGGGTAGCGTGCGCGGCCATGGCGGGAAACTCGGCGCTGCCGCTACCACCACCGATTGATACTAGAGTTTTGAGATCAGGCTTTTGCTGCTTTAGTTTGGCCAGCGCACGGAGGCAGCCCTTCTCCCCGTCGACGTCTTTGGTTAAGTCTGCAAACTCGTCCAATAGTTTGAGGGTTCCATCTTCGTTTAGCCGGACGAAGGCATAGAAAATCTGGTTGACGCAATCTAGCTGAAGAGATGAAGGGGGAAAGCCCTTATAGACTCGCCAGCTGGGATAATATACGGCATTGATGAGAGCTTCGTTAGAAGACATAACGGAAGCTTTAGAGGTAAATAGCGGAAACATAGGCATATACTTGGTTAGGGACAGGGTAGTAGGAAGAAAATAAGATTTAATTAATATTATAGAGAGTGATCTCAGGTATAGGTTAGACTTATAGGGGTGAAGCTATTTAGTTTTTGATATGCTCGAGCTAAATGAGGATGAGTTAACCAAGTTGATGATGTTGTGTAGAAGAGCTTGCATCCTTGATGTGGCTATACCTTAGGTAATTAATCGGTGTACTTACCTCGAGTAACACGAGGACTCGTATTTTGGAGGAAGTAGGTACATTAGGAGGTACATTATGTACATACAAACATCCTATTGAATTTTAAAGTTCAAGCCGAATGTTTCTGATCCATGACAAATGTCTCAATTCTAGCCAGCGGCTAATACCATCTTTTCTGGACACTGCGGAAAGTTTGAGTTTGATGTAGTTAGGGTTATCCCAACAGGGAATAAAAGCCTTGTGGTTTCTTATTGCAGTTGGTGATGGGAGGCCTTACACTTTCAATATTCATCTTCAATATTACCGGTTGCGACTTGCTGTCTTTCTTGTCATAGCGAAAATAAGACAATAATTTCGGGCTGTATAAGCATGCGATAAATTAATATAACTATAGTTAATAATAGTTACAAGTTTAGAAATTGATCTGCTCCATAAATCGCGACGTTGTTAATGATATTAAAAAGGAGATTATTATTCGAGTGGTTATGCAAAAACACGTAAGGCTGATGATATAAATGGCGGTTAATTGCTAGAAATAATTTTGTAAATTCTGTAAAAGAGGGGTTCAATTCTTAAAAGCAATTATATAAAACTCCAATACCCAATTAACCGAGTCATTTCATTTGAACCACCCCAAATCCTCCAACTTTTCGCTTGCTCAGATGGATACCCTTTGATAGATATGCAATTATACCAGGTGTAACTCCATTTATGCATGAATAACATGCCCATCCAACCTTTGATCTTGTCTTAGCACAATGCTCCACAACTCATCATCAATCATGATTTTTCTAGTACCCGTTTAATAGCTCATAGGTGCAACACCTTTTCTTTGTTGTCTTGAGTCGGGATGCATCCAGGCATCTATGGGCACCACATTTCGACCCGAACATTTTGAACCTCGTCGAGAACCTTGAAATCCATATTTTTTTGCTTGAAAGAGACGATAATCATGTCGAACCCTTCGAGGCTTGACTTGTTCCAGTCACTCATATCTAGACGGGGAATATGAGGGATAGCACTTTGCTCTACCAATGCATCGGCAAACATAACATCGACTCGCCCCGAGTCAGAGAGAGTTTGAATAAGCTTCAGCCCCGGTGAGTTGCTAAGATGAGACTGGCCAACTTTAAATCCTACTCCGACAACTAGTACTCGAGGTCGGAATAAGCTGGATGTTTTCTCTGAAAGTGATATCCGTGATGAGGTATCAGTACTCTCGATGTGTTCGAAGTCGGACTTGTTACTAAGATAAGTGTTCTCGTCATTGGCGGGAGTTTGAGTTGAGGCATTGTGCGGTGCCTCCCGGAAAAGGGCATCCAAAGCTCTTTGCCCGATCTTCTCCGGTCGTTGCCACATGGTTTCAGTTGCCATCTTCAAAAGAGGGAATGAGCTGTTGGCCATGAGGTAGTACGGGTTGACTGGGATGCAGTGGCCTCCAACACCAAGACCGGGAGTGAACGGAGTATAACCGAACGGCTTGGTTGATGCCGCTCTGCATACCTCATAAGGGTCAATGCCGTGGCCAACGCAAGCATCCGCCATCTCGTTAGCATACGTGATGGCGATCATCCTTTGGCAGTTCTCATATAGTTTGGTCATTTCTGCCGTTTCCGGTGTTGATACGGGAACGATGGAGTCAAATACACGCGAATATAAACGGGTAATTGCGGCAAGAGATCCGGGCACAACATCGTCTAATCCGGATATGACCTTGGGAATTGTGTGCATGGGCGGGTCAGTTCGTCCAGGGTCGACTCTCTTCAAAACTGTTAGTAGGTTTACTGAATATCGTGATATTGCTAACGTACCTCTGGAGACATGCCCGCGAAAAAGCCTTTCTCTTTAGCTAAGGGGCCGAGTAGCTGCCTTGTCATTCCGATGGCAACAGAGCTTTCTATCACCACTGTTGATCCTGGCCGAGCATATTTTCGCACGTTTGTTAACGCACTTCTGACATATGACGTGTCGATTGTCTTGTCAGCTTTGAGAAGCGTTGGCACTGAAATCAGGAAGTGGGTAGCCTTGGAGAGGTTCCGAGGATCGAGGGTGAAAGACACCCGACTTTCCTCGCCTCCATACTCCTCTTCTAGTCTTCGGAGTTGCTCTTTTGATACGTCGAAACCCAGCACGTCGTAATGACTCGAAAAAGAGCCGATGAGCTGTGTTCCAACATATCCGCACCCGATGACAGCCACAAGAGGCTCCTCATTATCATCGATTCTGTCAGAGCGGACTAGACCCAAGTTTTGCAGCCTATCAACTTCGCTAAAAGTGTCAACTTGAGGAGTTCTGGGCGGCGAAGTTTCCTGGCTCGGCTTGTTGCTCTGACCGAAGAGGTCTACGGTCAGGGGAGGTTCTCGAACAGGGAAAGCTGCTCGAATCTCTTGCATGACATCGTCAATAAGAAGAGGATGCATATTGGAATTTTGCATGATGCAAATAATAAAACGAGTGGATTTGTCAACTATAAGAGAAGCGAGAGGAGCTTTCTCTAACTAGAAAACACCGAGAAGTAGAAGTTGTCACAATGAGAGAACCTAAGCGAAAGTAGGTCGATAACGAAGAAATATATTCTGATCGAAACAAGAGATTCGAGGCAGAATATAACGTATTGGATCTTTGTGTTCAACCACTACGCCTGACTCGAGCATAGGACAAATGTAACCTTCTTTTCTCAACAATTGTCTATTCTATTGCATACAAACTTACTTCATACAAGCGTACGTACGTGCAATATGCGATCGATCTAGAGCAGTTGCTTTCTTTAGCTCAGACCCGACATAACGAAAGTTACCCAGCCTGATGGGCACGGATTCGGCCGAGTCCAATCAGACTACATACAGAGTTTCGCCCCATCCAGCCCGAAGAGTGACGTACCAATGCTGAGAATAATATCTATGTTCTAGGTCTAATAGGTGGGGTGCTTGTGTTCGCGAGTCATTGCGTCGCGATCAACCTCTCAGTTATTCCATCTCGACATCGTTAGTGTCGTCCTAGATCTGGGGTCTACACTATTTACACTAGTAAGGGCACAGGGCAAGGGGCAGCAAGCTAACTGTAGAACCAAGGCTATCCTATCGAGTCCCGTCCCTATGCAGATGATCTACATAGAGCCGCACACGGCTAATCGACCGGCCGAACCAGCTATTGGCTCCCTGCAAATCAAATATTCCGACAAAGATACTAAGTTCACAACAACCATTACGGTTCCTGACAAAGCGGTTTATGTAATTCGGCCAGGCCCTGAGCACAGCAGTTTTTTTGAGTTCCGAAGCCTACCTAGGTACCTAAGTGTCCAGAGAGTTAGAGCACGAGCATTGGCTCGGATTGAAATTATATGTTCTCACCAGGGACTCAACTTAAAATCATTCTAGCATGATCAGATATACCCATTTTACCGCTAAGGCTGAACGTGGGTCTGGGGTCTCCTCTCTTCGCTTATTCTATTTTGAATCGATGCGACTGGTCATCTATGATAACGCTAGCATTATTCACATCTTTGGGGCTATACATACGCTTGATCTGCTAGTCGTCTGTTATGGATCTGAGGTCGAGAACTACTGAAGATTCTGGCCTAACTACCTGACTCGAGCAGACACGATATGATATCTCTTACGGAGCCACCGTCTGAATTTTGGTCTCCGGTATTATGGAAGCCTATTATAGAGCGTGTTGCATAGGTCAATGCGACTATCTGAACCCCGCGAGTCTAACTACAGTCAGAAACTCAAGTCTCTCGCCACGAAGCTTGTCTACGCAAGTACATGCATAGGTCTGTGTGGATATGTTACCCGTAAAAAGATGGCGGGTCCGGCCAGTTCTCTAGATCTTAGAGGTTTAGAAATTTTCAATAAACACGGTCACCACCCTAGACACTATGTCGGGATCCAGCCCGAAGCTCAACTGAATCACTGTATTCTTGGCTTGCGAAATAGCAACTTCATCAACATCATCTTGAAGTTTCTTCGTATTCTGATATTCCGCTTCTCGGCCTCTGACGACCATAAGACGTCAGAGGGGTAGGGGCTATAGAAGAATACATAGAGCTAGTTGTTCCTAGATGAAATTTGGCTCCCCTTGACTCTCTTGCCTTGAGGAAGCTGCAGGAGACTTCATTAGTCATTCATTAAAAGACAGCCAGGGCGTTTGGTGTCACTCGCTCTCGAAACCCTTTTCGTCTCTTCAACTCAAACCACTTGTTTCGTTGGTGCCGAGCTACGAGCTTCTCGACAGGTCTATTCAGAACGCGGACGCAGTGTCTTCCCGTTCATTATATTGCCAATCGTCGGTACTAGTGACCTATCGGTTCACCACGGCGGCTACGCCAGGGAGAAAACATCATGGTCTTCTTTAACCGTACTACAAGAGTTAGTTAGCCGCTTCTTCTATCGAATGTCACTAACAGCAAATAGGTGGAGAGCAATCCAAGTACAGATGGAGGAACGAATTCGTCATCTTCAGAGAATCCCTTCTCAGATAGACATAACCGTCCTTCACAGTCGATCAGTCTTAGATCATCCCGAGAGTCTACTCAGAATGAAAAGGCGGTGGGAGCTGACTTCCAACAGGAAGCTCCGCCTGTAATTGGAAAAACTACCGGCGCCCATGTTGCGATTGGAACAGACCTGAAACCCAAACAACATGGCATAGATCAGAACCACCTGTCACGGACCACGTCAACAACCACATCCAATTCTGGCTCACTTGAGGAAGAGCGGGCGGCCATACTCGAGAGTCTACCTCCTCTGTCGGTTAACGAGACAGCTGCATCTATAGCTGCCGAGGCTATAGATCCCGAACTCATAAAGAAGGGTAAAAAGAAGGTTGCCAGGCACAAATATTTCGCGATATCTATCATATTCACTCTAAAGTAAGTTATTCGTCTATCTTACTACGAATAAGGAACTAACACATGTTAGCTTCATGTTTATCTTTTCCAGTTGGTACTGGCCCAGATTCTATTTCATATACCTGCCTTTCATCTCATTGCCTCTCGTCTTAAACTGCGTCATGATTGCCGATATCATTATCTGGTCGTTGAAGAACCTGGTCTTCAAACCGAAAAAGGTTATACCCGAGACCCCGGAGGAAATGGTTCTACTCATGCCCTGCTACAATGAGACTTATGAGGAATGCAGCAGGTCGCTTGACTCACTTGTCAATCAAGTCAACGTCGGTCATCACAAGCAAGCGATCATGGTTGTTTGCGATGGCAAGGTTCGAGGGCCTGGTATGGACAAAACTACAGGCGATTATCTCAACGAAGACATTTTTGTCGACAAAGTCGAGCGAAGAATGATCCGCGCAGCATATGTCGCCTGGGACGGCCAGTCCATGGATGTGGAAATATCAAGAGGAATGTATAAGGGTTTGCCATTTTTCTGCATCGTGAAGCAGCAGAATCAGGGCAAACGAGACAGCTTGATCGTTGCTCGTTCTTTCGTGCACAACTTCAACCTACGCGACACGCGACCGAAGGTCGTCTTCTCTCCTGAGTTCTTTAGGGCAATGACAGACTTTCTGATTAAAGATGCGGGAATCAACCATGTCGAGCTATTAATCGGCATGGATGCCGATACAATATTTGCGGACGATTGTCTCAGTCATCTGGTTGAAGAATGTCATTATCCCGGAACCGTCGGCGTCTGCGGCTACGTCTCGGTAGACTTTTCAACCCATAAGTGGAACGTGTGGTCTATATACCAGTCAGCCGAATATACTATCGCTCAAGGCTTACGGCGACTTCACCAAAGTCTCTGCACCAAGAAAGTCTCTTGTCTTCCGGGATGCTGTCAGCTACTTCGGGTTTGCGAGGAGACATGCGGCGACTATATTCTCATCGAGGAATTCGGCTACCATCCCAAGCCAACAGATGGCATTATCAAACGTATCCGCGCCACGGCGTCTGAGGACCGGAACCACGTCTGCTTGATGCTTATGAAGTTTCATAAGGCCCGTACACGGCAGGCCCTAAGAGCGTACGCTTATACTGACGTGCCACATTCACTCTCTGTCTTCCTCAGCCAGCGGCGCCGCTGGACACTCGGCGCAACAAGCAACGATCTCATGTTGCTAATGGAGGCCGATTATAAGTTCAATCTATGGGAGCGTCTTGTCGCTCTTTCGAACGTCTTGACATGGACGCTCAACTTTTTTGTTATTGCGAGTCTGGCTTGTATGGTGTTCGCATTTATGCGTAAGTCCTCAGCTATCAATTTTGAATCTAACCATAGTAACATATACTAATATTCAACTATATAGACCAACCTTTCTGGATTATCATGATTTTTGCTTCTATTATGATCGTACCCCTCTGCTACTATCTTGGCTTGGCCGTATGGCTGTGCCAAAGTTGGCTAGAGCGCGGTCAATACCTCTTAGGTCTAGCCATCTTCACAACCTGCGGTCCTTTTATCAACATCTGCGTCACTCTATACGCATGTGTCTACATGGATAATTTCGGTTGGGGTAAGACGCGTAAGGTAGTCGCCGAGACGGGTGAAGCCGAGGAACCAGACTGGCAGGCACAACAAGAGCGTTATCAGGATGCGCTCAATAACAGCGAGAAGATTTTCGGCACTATGATTCCTGACGAAGAGAATCAGCTACATCCAGAGGTCTACAGGACACCGTTTACGGTACCCACCCCGAGCCGTACGACTCCTTGCAGGGTCGACAGCGAGGCGATACAGCAAATACCTCAGGGACTACCTACGGACCCATCTGCACGTGGGATTGATGGTGATATATTACAACTACCACCACCTACACATCATCCTACCCACAATGTTTCTTCACACAACCCCCGTACACACAATATTCCTACGATAATTCTTCCTACAGACACTTCTATAGACAATTCTCACGTCTCTGACACCCACCAATTTAACTAGTTCGTATTACGAATTATAGGAGATAAAAGGACTCTCGTCCATAAAAGTTGGTTGATAGACGTACGGCTTCTACTCATGTCGGAGTCTATCCCTGCCATTCCCTTTCATTGCAAATTTTTTTAAAGTATATACGGCCTACAGCCTGACGTTGCGAAAACTCAAAAGTTGAGGTGGCACTTGGTGTAAGTGTTGAGATTACGAGACGCTCGATGTCTACTAATAAAGCGAATGTGTTAATACGCATATCCGTCTACCAGTTCATGATAAGGTAGAAATATACAGTTGTCGGATATGGATACTATGGCATATTAAAAGTACCTAGATTTAGAATTATATATATTGGCCTAACCGCAATGCCCCAGAGACTTCGTGGCTCTAGTAAAATTTAATTATAATATACAATATATCAAATATAATAATATCTGTGTTCTGTGTAAAGGTGTGAAGGTGTGTCGATTAATCTAATATATTACTCAGCATGTGAGGACCAGAGTAACGAAATCTCCGTTCAGCTAGATAGACCTATAAGCAGAGCAGAATGACCTTGATGGTTCCTATTAGCCACAGCAAAGGCCTCATCTTAGAGTCACGTATCCAAACAGTTAACCTTCAGCTTTATACTATTAACTCAGTACATAGTGTTTAACTTTTCTTATGGAAAGGCGACCCACGAGCCTCATCAAACCTTAGCTACCTAGGTATGTTCTCGGTCTATGGACTAACCTAAAGGCCACTGGTCGTGCTTTACTCTATCTAAATCTATAAACCGGTATGGTTTTCACTAACAGGTCTGAGGCCTGTAGCACAGCCCCCAGTTCCCAACATATCATACTCTTAGATATTGGCCCAAAACACGTATATATATCAGTCCTCCCTCCTGTTCCATTTCAGACCAAGACCAAGATCAAACAACAAGCTTACAATATTTTTTTTTTCCTACAAATTTCAAATAAACATTAACAATTCAAGATGGGTTTCGACAAGCACGGCGACACGGCAAAGAAGTCGATAGCCTTTGCCGTTCTCCTCCTAATGGTCATAGCTCTTACTATCAGTACCATCATGGTAATAGCAAATGATACCCAAAGCAATGTTAATAGTGTTACAACCAAGGCTCGCGATAATGATCCGCCTTCAGTTCTTGCACGAGGAGACGAGTAAGTATTTCCTCTGCATACTTCACTCACCAGCAACATCTCGACTAACAGTGCCAAACAGCGATATCCCCGACGGAAAGCCCCTCTTCAACATGTCGCGTCCGCACATCGGCGACGTCCCCTACGGCCAGGCCATCTTCGCCTGCGCCAACCCGGGACAGATCGCGCTGACGTTCGACGACGGCCCCTATTTCTGGACCAACCACATCTTGGACCAGCTGGACGGGCTCAACGTCAAGGCGACGTTCTTCGTCACGGGCAACAACCCGTTCCTAGGCCGGCGTATCGACAAGGGTTCGCAGTACGAAGAATTGATCAGACGTATGCGCACGAGCGGCCACCAAATCGCCTCGCACACGTGGACGCACAAGCACCTCGAGGACATCGGGCGCGAGGGCCGCTTCAAGGAGATGGTGTACAACGAGATGGCGCTGCGCAACATCATGTACACGCCGCCGATGTACATGCGTCCGCCGTACGGCGAATGGCGCGACCCGGACGAGATGGCAGACCTCGGGGCGCTGGGGTACCACGTCATCATGTACAACGTCGACACCAAGGACTACAAGCACAATACCGAGAAGGACATCGAGGTGTCGATCGGCCTGTTCAACGACGCGCTTAGGGAAGACGGCAACGGCTCGTATATCGTGCTCGCGCATGATGTCCGCCAGTGGACGGCGCTGAAGCTGCTCCCGGCTATGATCCAGACTATGTACCAGCGGGGTTACCACGCCGTGACTGTAGGGGAGTGTCTGAATGACTCGGAGTTTAATTGGTATAGGGATCCTGATAAGGTAGAGAGCTGATCGGAGTAATAGGCGCTGTGATGTGCTGTGCTGTGCTGTGCAAGTTGGGAGGGAGGTAGGCAGGCGTTTGGGGGGGCGTATGGGGGTTTGTCGCTATTTTCTTCCTCGGGATCCCCTGATTATTGTGCCTACTTTAGTAGATGAAAATGGGGTTTACATGACAATAAGTTCGTGTGTACCCGGGGTCCCGGTGATTTAGTTGGACTTGTGTTTTCGTTATGCGGTTCTTGACTAGGAGGAGGTATCTATTCAAAAGGTAGTAGATCTTGAGATGACTCGAGATTCACTTATTTAATTCTTAGCTATAGCTTTGCTAGTAGTTATGCTATTTAATATGTCTATTTCATATGTCTATTTGATAGTAGCTATATGGTCTCCTTTCACCTGTGTACCCGAATGTGGTTGGAATTTAGGTGGCATGTTCAAGTTCGTCTACTTGTCTTAGTCGAGTCGACCAAGACAATACCAGGTGTGCTCTCTTTGTCTAATGTACTTCGAGCAGACTAAACTTCTCGGGTTTTCGACTTGATTCCTGAGTCATAATCGTATAGTCCTAGCGTATTCCTCGAGCTACTCTTACTTGAGTTAAAAAATGTTGTGAGAAGTCATAGCTCTTCATCTTTCACTTTCACTTTGACTCCTGCTCTAGCGACGTCCGACGACGCTGACGTCTCTCAGCCGCAAAACTCATCGACGCCTCTACACTACTAACCGAACTAATGAGGAATAGAGTATCCGTGCGGCAACATGGAAGCTAAAATCACCATCTCTTCTGAGCCGCTGATTGGAGCGCATATAGAGAACGCTGACGAATTAAATTGTAGTATGTATATATTCTAACTTGTAAGTCTCGCGTGCCGGGTTTACACCGCTATGTATTAGCTGTTCCTGGAAGAGAAAAGTTTTCTAGGTTACATTAGGAGGTAGGTAGGTAGTTAGATAGGAATGGGTTATTATTGGTATGTGAATGAATTATTAAGTAGGCCTCAAATCCAACCAAACGGGATTCAAAGCGAATACAATTATAATAAAGTAGTAGGTATGTAGGTATGTAGGTACACGGATGAGCTTGGTTGGTCTTTAAGTGGTGTGGCATGTAAGAGAGCCTCTCGGGACTTAACAACGGGTGTCAAGAAACTAATCCCTGTTTGTGGTGGGTTTCTTTTTCTCGCATGCTGGCGTACATACATAACATAGTGAGACCTTGACCTTCCCCTGTCTCCCCCCCTCTAGTGGATAGCTTTTTTTTTTCTTTGTGGAGGAACCATGGGGTTAACCAATGAGGATGCCATCTCCCCCTCGTTTCCCCTCGTCTCCTTTGTGTTGGGATCTGTGGGACTATGTCATCTTTTTGTCCAATCTTCGTCCAACCCGGGGATGCAGAAGTTGGAGATTTGGGGCTGCGGGGTTTAAGTCCGAATAAAACATCGCATTGTTTTCCTCGTAGCCCATGCCCTATTCCTTGTCGTGCCCCATCCCTAGCGAGGCAATTCGGCTTGATGTCGGGTACGAGACGCGGCGAGGACCGTGGACTCGTGACCTGCGTTGCCGAAGCTATTGGTTCCCACGCGGCGGTTATGCTGTGACGTTGGTCTAACTATATCTGGTATGAGATTGGGCGACGTCTTTGTCTCCTGGCTAGGTACAGAATTCAAAGTATTGTTCGTTGGGTATATATCATGTAGATCACCCCCCTCTTATGTAGGCTTTTAGAAAACCTCTCACAACATTGGCGATTGTTCTCATAAGAGGAGACGCATACGAATGTCTAAGTGAGCAGTAATAGATTCGATCTTGTATTGCTTCAAGCAAGAATGGCCAAGATAGAGAGGCTTCCCGGCACCAATGTCGCCAACTTCCTAGAGAAGCGACAGCTGCTTATTGCGATCAATTGCATCGCCGCGCTGGTGCGTATTATATAACATTCCGCGCCCTTTTGTAATAGTCTGCTTGTATCTAATTCACCATAGTCTATCTTCTTTTTTGGATACGATCAAGGTATGATGTCTGGAGTAAACGGTATGTATAAGATGAGATCTTATTATTCCAACATTCTCCTTCGTGTACGGTAGCTAACACTCAGCAGTAAGTGGGATAACCCTACTATTTCATCTTGCTTGAGCAAGACCTCAAGAGTTTTCAAAGTAGTGGGATTATAAAACTAACATAAGATATTTCGCTATGCTAGAATTCTAAGGACTATATCGATCTCATGGGCCTCGGATACGTCGATCCGGACACAGATGAGCCTATTATCACGGACAGTCTGCTGCAAGGCGGTATCGTCTCAGTCTACTACCTAGGAACTTTATTCGGGTGTTTAGGCGGAGGATGGGTTGGTGATAAGATCGGTAGAATAAAGACTATCGCCTTGGGATCAGTATGGGCCGTTATAGGAGCGAGCTTGCAATGCTCGGCTATGAATCACAGCTGGATGATCTGCGCTCGTGCTGTGAACGGCATCGGAACTGGTATCCTAAATGCCATTGTCCCTGTCTGGTGAGATATTCTTTACCACTTATATAACATTACCTATCTAATTATATCTAATTCAACTCCTTATTAGGGCGACTGAAACGGCGGAACACACTTCGAGAGGTCAATTCATCGCCATCGAGTTCACTTTGAATATCTTCGGTGTTGTCGTCGCTTACTGGCTCGAATTTGGCTTATCATTCATCGATAATGGTAATTCAGCATTCCGATGGCGATTCCCCATTGCATTCCAAATTATCCCACTCCTCGTACTCCTAGGAGCGGTCTGGTTCTTCCCGGAATCGCCTCGATGGCTTGCCAAGGTTGGGCGAGTTGAAGAAGCCCGTTTCATCCTGCATCGACTGAGAGGGTCAACGGGAGAGGATCTCCAAAGGGCCGAGTTGGAATTACACGACATCACTAACATCGTCGCCCTCGAATCTAAAGAGTCTCAAAAGAATTCGTATATAGATATGCTCTTTGGTATCGGCTCGGGCGAGTTGCACACTGGACGACGTGTCCAACTTGTCATCTGGCTGCAGATTATCCAGGAATGGGTTGGTATCGCCGGTGTCACCGTATACGCGCCCACTATCTTCCGTATAGCTGGTTTCGACACGTTTAAGAGCCAGTGGATTAGCGGTCTGAACAATATCTTCTACATGTTTGCCACGCTCATCTGCGTTTTTACCTTGGATCGTATCGGCCGTAGGTGGACTTTATACTGGGGAGCTGTCGGTCAAGGCATTGCCATGTTTCTTGCCGGCGCCTTCTCTAAGCTTGGCCAAGATGCGACTGCGAATGGTGAACTGGATAAGGCCAGCTCTTACGGAGCAGCTGCAGCGTCTTTCGTATTTATCTTCACTTCCGTTTTTGGTGCAACCTGGTTGACGGTACCTTGGCTATACCCTGCCGAAATCTTCCCTCTCCAGGTCCGAGCAAAAGGAAACGCCTGGGGTGTTGTGGGTTGGTCGATCGGAAACGGATGGTTAACACTTCTGTGTCCTGTCATGTTCGCGAGTAAGTTCAGCTCTCATTCGAATTTAATACAACTACATCTAACTAAAATGTCTTAGATATTGGTTCCACGACACTACACATATTCGGTGCGTGCAACATATTAGCTATTCCAATCGTCTGGGCTCTCTACCCTGAGAGTAACCAGCGGACGCTAGAGGAAATGGACCTCTTATTCGCAGCACCTACGCCATGGGTTTGGGATGCTGAGAAGACGTTTGCACGACTTAAGGAAGAGCGGCCAGACCTTATTCAAGCTGCTAAGAGAGGCCAACATGTCGTTGACCCTGAGGCTGGTATTCTAGCACATCCTGCATCCCCGAAGGATGAGACGGCAATCCATGCGGAAAGCGAGGAAAATGCGTCCCCGTAGACGGACTATTATGTTCAACTACGGTGAGGCATATCAACTTCTAGCACGACTAATTATAATTTCATCCTCTTCTGATATCTTTTAGAGGATTGGTATAAATAAGACGGGTGCTTAAATATAGTGAGGAAAGTTATCTAGAAATATAGACTTTAGCTGTCTAAGACTAGAAACGGTGAAAGAGTATCGATACCCCCTGGACTTTAGCGTATAGCCTGAATCAACTGTATTTCTACCGTTTAAATACTGTGTAGTGACAAACAGATTGGGACGAAGTTCAAGTATTGAAACCCTCTTCGTGATCTCTGCTTGGCTTCCTTCGGCGTGTCTTGTACGCAACAAGCTTCTCATCCTTCCCGCTTTCAACTCCCGAGATCCTTTTCTCACCCTTAAATTCTCATATACACATAAGCAGGTACTGGTATCTTATCCATTATTTATGACCTAGCCCATTTTCCAACGACACTCGAACAGGTATTTTACTCCAAAACGAAAACTCCTAATAGGTGTACACTCTCGGGGAAAGGTTTCCGTGATATATAGCTTCTCCTAGCTTGTATTATTATATGTAGGTGACCTATTATCCTATGTCGATGCCTTTATAGGGGTATCAAGCACTATCTAAGTTCATTAATAACCATAACCAAATATTACAAACGTTAAAAGTATAACCACACGTACCATAGAAAGCTAGCTGCCATTCAGTCCAGTATCTGGTGTACCTATTCAGAAGCAATTCCTTCGCCATTTAAAGCCGCAGCACCCTCAGCAGCCGCCTCGCCTTCTCCCCCGCCGAACCCGATGGCACCATCACCGACTACCAGTGCGGGTGAATAGGCTCCTAGGTTGATATTTAAGGGGGCGCTGATAGATAGGCCGACGAGAGTGGCGAAGATAATTGTAAATGAGGACTTCATATTGCGTTTTTGTCTTTGTCTGTTGGGGTGATCCGGTTATAATAATAGATGTAAATATACGAGTCGAGACTAGAAGGAGAGATGAATATCAAGAAGGTAGACGATTAGCCCAAGAAAGTAAATATTATAATATGGTGCACCTGTGCACTTCGTAGAAAATACAAGAGTAGAAATAAGTTGAGACGAGAACTAGCTGTCAAGAGAAGAAAGGAAAATCCATAAAGATGGGGGGAGATGTCCTGATTCTTATCATGTTCCCCAGATCTCATCTCATGAATACGCAATTCAGCCAACCAACTATCACACATATTTTCCCCTCAAACGCCGGGTCTAAAAATAAGCATTCTGGTATAGGTACGTTCGGACGTTTCGAAGCCTCACACTATTGTTGAGTCTGCCAAGACGCGCCGCCAAGGGCCTCAGATCGAGCCAAGCCGTGGGATCGCCATTGTATCTGTCGCAACCCCACGAGTAGTCACACACATGATGTCTGGGAATGAAAACAACTAGTCTGAATACATCAAAATACGCCAATTAAGCATGTAGAAATAATGAGGGAAATGAGACCCTAGCTGACGCATTGGTAATTCACTAGTGGGCTACGATGACTGCCGTGCTGTTACCACGAATCTATGTTTCAACCTAATCGGGGCTGTTGAATCAGACAAGCATGTTCTTAGTTGACTACAGAGAGACGGTTAGCTAGATGATATTATAGCAGTCATCTGCTATATACACAGGTAGTATCGCCAAGGTGTGTCACTAAGACGCCCTTGGTTGAATATCATACAGCTGAGAATAGACGTCTTGTTGACTCCGAGATTTCTATCTAGTTCTGTATAATGCCAAGGGTCTAGCTAGTGATATCCTCAGAGTCTATCTTATCACTAGAAGCTTCAAATCATCAGAGACAGGTTGCGATGTATTAACTCTACTTTACATTAGCATTATCCTTTCATCTTGCACATAGATAGGCCTTGCAACACCCTATATCCAATAAATCCTCCTATCTCTAACTCATTTCCACCACTTATAAATCCGGCATCTCCTTCAAATAACTCTCCAAGCCCTGCAACTCAACCCCCCTCTGCGCATTAAGCGTCCTCTCCATATCCCACGCCACGCCCCTCCCCACAGCCCACACGTTCGTATACTTAAGCATCCCATCATCCGGCCTCCTCCTCAGCTTCTCCTCCAAGCCCTCCACACCCCACACCTCCCTCGTCCACTCCCCTCCAAACCTCCTCTCCACCAGCTCCGCAATCCGAGCATAAGTCACCGTGTCCCCCGCGATATAGACCACCTGATGCGAGACATCCCGCGGATCATACGCCACCTCCGCCGCCATACGTCCGATATCCGTCGCCGTGGTAAGCGACAGCCGAGCATCCCAGGACCCCAAGGCGCGCAATGTCCGCTCTTGTAGGTCGACGACGCCGAAGGTGGGTAGGAATAGGAAACTCATGAACAGCCCCGTCGACACGATGATCCAGTCCGTATCCTGCTGCGAACGCAGCAGCGAGCGCACGCGCAACTGCTCGTCGAACAAGTCCTGCGCGCTACCACCCCCCACGGCGTCGTAGTCGATGCCCCATTGCCAGGGGAGGTACCGCCGCACTTTTGCCTGTAGAACTGCTTGTGTGAGTTTGGCTTGGGTTCCAGCTGGTAGGCCGAAGCCCGAACACGATATGATGGTATGGTATTTCTTGAACACCTCAGCGAGCTTCTCGGCAGAATCGTCCGCTAGGTCTCCCGCCTCGAAGGTAGCGCCTAGAGACTTAAGACGGTCGTTCTGCGCTTTTTTGGCTGGGTCTTGCGAGGATATGCTAGATTGCCGAAGTAAGATGGCGATGGGACCGCCGTTGCGCTTGGGGTGCGCGACGAGGGATTCTAGGACAGCCGTGCCGAGCTCGCCGGCGCCGATGAGGAGGATAGATGGGGAAGCGGCCATGGTATGTGACTTGTAGTAATATGCCTCGTAGCTTCACCGGTAGAAATATATCGTTTAGAGAATACGACAATATAAATTCTTTATTTACTAAAAACAACCAACGATTATATATATGTCAACCAAATATCACGACCCCTTTATACCCTCAAAGGAATAAGCCAAACTACGCACGATGACAAATAAACCCTGCTTGCGGTTGAAAGTTCTAGCATGATTTGAGGTCGAGCTACAAGGTAACCAATAACCAATCATAACTTGACAATAAGACGATCCTTAGTTTGTAATTAGTAATGACAGCCTTACACTCTCGTGGAAAAAATGGCAGACTGGCGAGGTTTAGGAGATAACGGAGGTTAGACTATTCGACCCGCGACCCATCTTATAAGAAGATGTATAAACTTGATTAACCCCGAGGGGTCTGGCTTGGCAGGCATAATTGAATCCTAGGTCGAGTGGAACTGTTTAACTCTGTACGGTTAACCTCAGCTGATGTCTCTACTAAGTATTATTGGATTTGACCTTTTTATGATATAAAAAAGTAGCTAACATGTACCAGATAAGACGATCAACTATGGTATATATCTTTATATATTACTACTCATCAAACGAAGAAAACGAAGTCTCATGTTTATCCGCTAGCAAATCTATTTGCCATAAGCCAAGGCTATCGGAAAACACCCCCTCTACGTAATCGCAACACTCACTCATACAATCTGACCCATCCAAGACTTTCACTCCTAGAGCATATGTGAATCTTGGGCTATCTCATATAGCTAGCTCTTTCGATACTGATTAGATTTACTGTCACTCTAATCCAAGACTCTACCGGCTAGGCTTGAACCGCTTTTGTCCTTCGTCTGCGTCTTCTTCAACGCTTTGCCTAGGCGAACCTCGTTCAAGAAGGCGGCAGGCCTACCGCCGCCGGAAGGAGTTGGCAAAGCACCTGGAGCTGGCGGCGGTGGTGGAGGGGGAGGCGCCCCGGGAGCCCCAAAATCAGGCATCGGGGGAGGTGGCGGCGGGAGACCTCCTACACCTGCCTCTGGCATGGGTGGCGGTGGCGGGGGTGCGGCAGGTGACTCCGCGGCCCCTCCAATAGGGGGAGGGCTGAACGGTGCTGAAGTTACAACTGGCGAAGCTCCAGCAGACTTGTCACCCGTGGCCGATAGTGGCCGAGGAGGGCCCATGGAGCCGAAGAGAAGAGAAGCTAGCTGAGCAGCACCGGCGGCTGGACGCTCATCATCTGAATCTTCGTCATCCTCTTCGTTTCCAGAGCCCCATTCATCGTCTGTGTCTGGCCGTTTTCGAGAAGGAGGTGGCGCTGTTTTGGCCTCCTGGGTTATTCGGAAAAACGGATTAGTGGACACTTCCGGCTGGGGAGGCGGTGGTGGAGGGGGGGCGGGAGCAGGAGCAGCTGGTGCAACAGCAGGGGGAGCCGCAGATGACTCCGAGGACTGAGATAACATTCGGCGGTAAGGGTTGCGACTCTCCGATTCCGAGGGCGGGCTAGCGACAACTGAAGGGGGGGACATTACAGGCGGCGCGGGGGCAGGAGGTGGCGTAGCTTTACGCTCTAATTCCTGGCTACCGAGCTGACTGCTACCAAGAGTAGGAGTAGATGCTTGAGGGGTGATCTGCTGCGGACCCTCGTCATCGTCCGAAGAGGAAGAGTCGTCCTCCATCGCTGCGAGTTGTCTCTGAAGTTCAAGTTCTCTTTGGCGTGCAGCTTCGATTTCGGCACGTTGGGCTGCCAGTTTCGCTTCCTTCTCTTTCGCATCAGCCATAGCGGCTTTCTTCTTTTTCTTTTCCTCCTCTTTCTTTAGCTTGCCTTGCCGGACTTGTTCCTCTAAAGCCTTCAGGCGGGCAGATGCAGCATCGCGTTCATTGGCGAGTTCTTGCTCCTGTTGTCTAGCCTCGTCCCTATCAAGAGTTAGTCTGAATAACGAATGGAAAATTAAGGTGGTATGGTACGTACTCCATTTGCTGAGTAGCTCGCTGTTGCTCTTCGTGCTCTTTGGAGAGACGCTGCTCCTCGGCTTTCCTAGAGCCCTCTTCCTCCTCGGCTCTCTTTGTAGTAGATGTGTCTTCATGTTTCCCACCTTTCCTTGAAGGAGGCGGAGGTGGTTTCTTGGTTTCCGCCTTGGGTGCAGGAGCAGGAGGAGCCACGCCTTGCTCCTCGGCAATTCTGGCTTGCCGCTCTTGCTCGCGTCGGGCATCCTCTTCTTCCGCTTGTCGGCGTTTGGCCGCACGTTCTGCCTTCTCACGTTCCAATTTCTGGGCGGCAGTCTCCCCGGGCTTAGAAGCCGTTTTGATTCCAAGAGCTGCAAGGCGCTCGGCCATACGCTGCTCTGCTTGCTGTTTAATAAACGCGGCCCTCTCCTCTGGAGTTTTATATGATGAGTAGGACCCGCCAGCGGGCGCTGGTGACCGGCTGATTGGTGGCGTAGCAGTGTGGGTTGCTGACGAAGGGCTGCCTAAACGAGCTGGTGGTGCCTCTGCTCTAACGGGCTCGGCCGTGGGTGCTCGTCCGCCCTTACGGTCCTGGGCCCTGACTCGAGCGGCCCGGCTCGAACGTTGCAAGTCAAATATGAAGTCTCGCACCTCATCCTCCACACCAAGAGCGTCTTCCCATCTTCTTTTTTCGTGCTCGTTGGCAGCACTTTGGCCGCCTTCTTTGAGGTTCTCTCCAATACCTCGCGAAAATTCGCGAACGCTCTCCTCTACGTCTCGGACCATGCCCTCGTTGATATCCTTTTCGTTTCGAACTTTGAGGCTCTCTTCTTCTAGTCTCTTTGCCGCATCCCCTTCGTTATCACCAATATCTAACTTCTTACCCGTCAGCGCAGCAGTCCTCTGCTGCATCATGGCCTTAGCTCTAGCCTTAAGACGGTCCGACTCGGTGATCGAGCCACCAGGTCCAGTGCCAATGATGTTAGAGGCGCTTCCAGGATGCGCTTTCGCGTCTTTAAGTCGGAAGAGTTCAAGCCTAGCCTCGGCGATAGCTTTTTCAGTCTTTCTAACCTGGGAAGCCAGTTCGGGAATCTTATCGGTAAGGTTCTGTAGCTGGCGCTTCAGAGCCCTCCTCTCGGCTTCAGAATCGCCACTTGCAAGAGCAGCATCAGGATGTGCGTCAATATCGTCTTGGATTCGCCTAATGCGACGGTATAGCTCCTCAGCCTCACGCCGATCACGCCTATCAAGAATATCATCCTCCTCGGCGGCGGCCTCGTCCTTGAAATCCATGGCATCTAGGAGGACTTGCTTTTCTCGAATCTTCTTTTTTAATTGGTCAATGGAAAGTTCGTCGTTAGATGTAACAGACGAGGGCGACTCTGGCCGGGGGGAAGAATTTCCGATCCTGCGTCGTGCGCTCGACCGGTACCCAACTTGGTCGTCGTTATTCTTGAACACTGTCGCATCTTTCCGTCCAGCATTTAACCCACCAGCATTCCCTTTGAAGGAATGACTCTTTAAGTAACTGACTCCCGTCTTCTGGGGAAGTAAGGCGGTGCCCGACGTCTTACGGAAGTCAGACTCTTGGCTTAACATAGACTTGATAGTACCAAGTGATTCGGTAAAGTTGCGGGTAGACGGCGGTACAAGCTCGGGTGGTAAAACATTAGGAACGGGATAACCGTTTAGTTTTCTATAGATCAAGTGCATAGCTACGGCAAACTCATCAAGGTTGAGTTTGCCCTTGTTTCCGTTGTCCGCGAGGGTCCATATTCGCTCAAGATCAGGCTTCTCGAGACCGCTTTGGCCAAATATTTCTATTGCCTGATCTCCTCCGATAAGACCTTTACCTAGACCATCCCACGCCCGGAATAATTGGTCATATCGGGTCTTCTCGTCCTTAGTAATGGCCCACGGAATCACTGCGTTGCCAGATAAGCCGGCAGTGGTATAATTTTGCTGTTCGCGACCTGCCTGTGGCATCATTCGGGCTTGTAGCGCGTCGATATTAGGTAGTCCGGTTGCTGGGGCGTTGACTAGACCCCATTGACCAGGCATTCCAGTTGGCTGCGCATTGAGAGGAAGTGCACTGGCGGGAGACAACCCTCCAGCAAAGCCCGTAGGCATTGGTGGCATTGGCGGCATAGGCCCGTTGTATCCGGTTGGTTGTGGGTTATTCAGGCCTCCTGGAAATCCAGTCTGCTGTGGCTGCATTGTTTGACCGGGATATCCCGTCATCTGTGTCTGGAGTAACTGGGAATTGGACGACATGGGCTGAGGATGCTGAATCGTCGGTGGCGTGGCAGTATTCTGCCTGGTGAAATCTGCAGTATTAGTCGCACCGGAGCTAGCAGCTTCTTCCGCGATACTAAAGTTGATTATATCGACCATACTTGATACCTCATTCTTGATATTATCCGGTAGACTTCCAGGGAGTGCTTTACCCACAAGCTTCAGATTGCAGAGGTACATAGCTAGCGCAAATTCCGGGAAGTGTAGTTCGCCAGATCGAGTCGTATCCGAAAGAGTCCTATCTAGAGGTTAGATAATTCATAATTGGAAAGTAATAGTAGTATACTATACCATATGTGTGATAGAGAATCTCCATCGAGTCTCGATCGCAACAATAGGTCCCGGGCCTTCTCTCCAGACATTGTCATCCCGTCACCCACGGCCGATTTGAACAGCGTCTCAAACTTGGCTTGATCTTGGGCTGTGATAAAGGATAACCTAATGTTCGGTATCTTGTTTGTAGGCTTCTGAGATCCTCGACCCGCCGTCAGCGACTCAGACGCGCCACCAGTCTTGAACGATGCAGCCATCGCGCTGAAGCCAGTCGGTTGAGGATTGATTGCCGGGGCCGGAGCTTGTAATTGGGACGGGGCTTGCGAAGTGGCTGCTGGCGCGAATGAGCTTTGGGACTGTTGCTGGTTGAATTGGGCCTGAAATTGCGAGGGTATCTGCGGTACTGGCGGAGCACCTGTTTGAAAGTTCTGCTGCTGAGGAGCTTGGCCAGGAAACCCAGTGAACTGAGGCTGGAGGTTTACAGGCATAGGGGGTTGTTGCGGCATTCCTTGAGGCATTCCCGTCTGCTGCGGTTGCATGCCTTGCGCACCAGGGAAACCTGTATACTGTTGGGTTAAGGGAGCCTGCCCATATCCCGTCGGCTGCGGTGCGAATGGACTTGGCTGCTGCTGTCCTGGCTGTTGCTGTTGAGGCTGTTGACCTGGAACACCGTACGAGTTGCCATACTGCTGGCCGGGTCGTAGGCTGTTACCGCCCATGAATGAATTAGAATTGGAATACATGATGAAATCCGATTATCTCTAGACTAAAAATGGTGTTGCTAGAGAAGAAAGGAGGTGTTGGAGGCACAGACTAGGGAGGTCCTAAGGTCCTAAGGACCTAGTAGTGCTGCTCGATGATAATGTTAAAGAAGCAAGAAAACTTGTAGATACTAGAAAGTCTGTAGATTAGAAGTATGTTTAATTGTTGTAGATGACGAAGCAGCCGAAGCAGCTGCTAGTAATCAAACGGGACAAGGAGTGGCTTGGCATAATTTAGGCGCACGACCGCTAAACACGAACCAGTAACAGGCTTGGTTTAAAACTCAATGGCTGGGTGTACATACCTACGTACCTACGTACCAAGTGGATTTTTTCATATATGCAGCCCGACCTCACGTGCGTATGTATTTCAGGTACCTGTTTAAGCAAACCAATAGGTACGGCGTACGCATCCCTATAACTTACATATGTGTTGTATAACAGTCTGGGTGTTTAACATATAATTGCACTCACGATTTGTTTATATCAACCTTAGCCATTAATCAATCATTAGGTAGATTATGCTCATCTGCTTTAACTATTCTTTCACCCCCGTATTTACTACTTTATCGTCTCTATTATTATACTACGACTTCTATTACTTGAATAGCTAAGTCATCTTCACACATCTCCTTTTTCTACCTAACGTTGTACTGCCTCTGTTATCAACTTCTCCCCTAGTGCCACATGTCACAATGTAGACTTTGCTGAGACTCGGAAACTAGTGTCTCCAGACTATCGGCTTTTTCAATTATTGTCTCTTACTGCGCAGCCGAAGTAGGGAATTGGTCGGCGTTCTTCTTGGCCCACGCCCTGAAGTCGATCTTCGAGGCGGCCTTCTTTAGAGCACCAGTTAAACCGAACTGGGTTGAGATACCCTCAACCCGATGAGTCGAGTTAATGTTCTTGACCAGAACAATCTGGTAGCAGGTGGCAGAACCCTGTCGGGAAGCGATGGTTGAGGACGCAAGGAAGTATTCCCAGACCTATATTTCAACTTGTTAGCCACATGATATACATTAGGTACTACTTCATGGCAAACTTACGCGGAACCATCTCTTTCCATACTTAGCCTCAACCTTCTCGCGGTTGGCCAACCAGTTCCTATACCAGCGCCACAGAGTTGCGGAATAGTGCACACCGATCGTATCGACTCCCTTGACTTCCCACCCAGCACCTTCTAGTCCGCTAATGAAAAAGTCGAGAGGAGTTGACGCGTCAGCACCGGGGAAGACGTATTTGTTCATGAATAATCCCCAGATAAGATCCTCGTATTGCCAAGGCTTTCGGAGACCAGCAATCTGTAGGAAGAAAACTCCGTCATCGTCGAGCATATCATAGACCTGCTTTAAGAAAGTACCGAACTTGCGAACACCAACGTGCTCGGCCATCTCCAGACATGTGATCTTCTTGTATCCGCCCTGGGGCACCGGGATGTCTCGGTAATCCATGCAGAGAATTTTGCTCTGTTCCTCAGGGATGCCGACGTTGCGCAGAGCCTTGTTACCCCAAGCAGTTTGGTTGCGGCCGAGAGTAACACCAGTAGCATGGGCGCCGTAGTTGACACTTGCAAATCGTGCGAGGGTACCCCAACCGCAACCGATATCTAGTAGTGATTCGCCTTCCTGCAAGTCAATCTTCTCGCAAACAATAGCTAACTTGTTGTCCTGAAGTTGTTCTAAGGTCTCCTCGGTATTGACGTCTGAAATAATGCCAGAAGTGTAGATCATACGAGGACCCAAGAACCAGCCGTAGAAGTCATCACCACGGTCGTAGTGGTCACGGACCTGTTCCTCATCTTGATGGAGTTAGCCGGCGGTTATCATTAGCAGTTAATTCTAGAATATCTTACCTTGACTCCTCGAGTGCATGATAACCTCGGGGATCATGCCAAATAAGAAGTACTTGCAGAGGCCCCAAGTAAATCGGAAGCTTGCCCAATCGTGTCTGTATTCCATGACTTCAAGGCAATCGCCATTGAAGTCGACATCACCGTCGAAGTACATTTCGTAGAAGGTCTCTAAGGGAATCTTGTTCTTGCCATGGTACTTGAGCTTATCAGATTGCTTCTTGAAAGTGAGGTAGTGCTCGATTGGTCGCCCAGGATATCTAGCTTTCTCGTTCTTTCGAGGGCTTATGGAAGAGATAGTGAGCCAAAAACCAGCAAGAATAGGGATGCTGGTGAATAAGGCGAAGAATATAGCAGTCTTAAGACCACCTCCAACTTTCCATGACATCCAAAGAGGGACACCGCCCATCAAAGAGAATAGCAAGAGATTAGAGAAGGTGTCAGCACCAGCCGAATCGGCGGGGAGAGGGGCATTTTTGATAGATGGATACTAGAAAAGTCATATTAGCCTCCGGAATACTTTAATAAGACGAGTTTACCGAATCCGTGGATTCCGATATGAAAGAGAAGGAAAGGAAAAAAAAATTACATACCGATGTGGTTCGCACACCGCAGTCCTCAAACTTCTCAAAGGTGGGAGTGGGAGCTTTAGGAGTTTCGATGAATTCGAACTCGGATTCGCTCCCATTAACACTATGAGGTTTTGACATAGTGAAGATTGCAAAGCCAATAAGGGCCGGTAAAGACTTTGCGATAACCTTCTTTGTGTCTTATGTCTTAAAGAGTTGAAGAAGAATTTGTGGGAAAAGCTTGAGGTAGTTCAGAGTATTTCTTGCCCTTTCCCACTTTCCACAGACCGCCCTCCTTCCTGCCAGGCCTGCATGATCTAAACCCGATAACCAACCCGATAACCCTTTTCACGAATTGGCGTCTCTGACTGGCTAGGGACCCTAAGCTAGAACCACAGTAGATGCCGTTCCGTTGTAATCATAGTGGGGTTGGCCACGACTTAGAGCTCCAACGGTGTGAAAACCCCCCACCTACCTTTAGAATCCAGCTGTTCTAAGCTGTCCTAAACTGTCCAGGTACTAGGTCATCCCCACTATCGAGCTGACGTTAAGCCTCCAAAATTTTGAATAGGGGTCAACATCTAAGATACATCTACATATGATACCAGGATACACAGGTGTTTGACAAGGAAAAGCAAACATAGCCACGTTGATTTCTACTTGGAAGTAATACTATGTACTATCTCAGCTACTAGCTAAATTTGATAGGCAAGGTATAACCCTTAAGCAAATACTCTCGGACTCTTCTTTCTCTACAAGACCTAGTAGAAAATAACATTAGAACCCACCTCTCGAAATTCTAGTACCTTGGCGTAAAGGCCACGTTGTTCTATACACTAGAGCCGATCTACGGCATTGCGATATAGATAATGCACTAACATCTGTAGAGGTTGTCCTTAGTAAGATATGACCTCTTATAAAGACATCATAACGAAGCATAGCTGTCACTCTAGAATTAAGACTAAGACTGCGACTTCTCGAGATATCATGGACAATCTGCTTCGGAGATGGGCAGTAACATCTGTTGTTGTCTCGTATAGATGTCAAAAGAGCCTGTAGCTCACACATACGTGTAATAGCTAGAACACTCCATACCACCAGGGCTTAATACCGTACAAGGTAATAGCCAGGGATCGGCCAGGGGAATAATATAAAAACCAAGAGAGGCAATGTCCACAAGATAATTTACCATGTAGGACTACACCGACAATAACGTTGTAGTTCTAGGTCAAATGCAGAGACATAGAAGCAATCGTGTCCTCAAGGCCCTGGATCACGGTCATACTACTTAGGTGTCATTTCGTTTTAACTATACCAGCAATTAGTTATAGGTTCCAGAAGAGCCCCGTTGATGTGTTGAGCACCAATTTGGCAGAAGCTGGTATTATGAATAGCTCAACACTCCTAATCTCAACGATGTCTAGTCCCCTACGTCAGCATCACATCGAATAGTATGCATCAAGGTGTATTAAATAGTTTAACAAAGGGCGTATTACAACCTCTAATTTGATCTGGCAAGACACCCACTCGATTGATAACCGGGTCACCAACGGTCTTAGTCGACGGAACTCATTCGGTAAATATCTCATCTCGAGTGGCAGGTCCCGTACGTGGTGTTGTGTTCTGTGCATTAATGGACACGGCCAACATTCACCAATAATGGGAAGTCGTGTTGTAGATATAGGAATGAGGCGACTTTATGCGGTCAATATAGCGTAGTGCACTAAGAAGCCGCTGGTATTCCATTCGGTCGAACTGACCGGGTATTAACCAGCTCTTTCAGCGCCCATAACTGCGTCCGGAATGTCTATGGCTATCCCGATCGCGATCACGATGATGGCTATGGCCGTGATCTCGTCGCTCGCGTTCCCGTTCCCGTTCGGACTTGTAGCTATCACCACGGCGATCATCACGGTCTCGTTTCTCCTTTTCTTTATCCCTCCTATACTCATTAAGACGGGGTCTGCGTTCACGATGCCCATGCTTTCGGGCCAACTCTCCCTTTCTAATCTCTTCATCCTCCTTAGAACCAAGTCCCATCAGATTTGGCCGCTTTTTAACTTCTTTCGGCTTCGCACCGCGCTCCTCGCCGTTCCAACCCATCCCACGTAGCATGGCCGCTCCAAATTCGCCCTCAGGTATCTGATCATACTCGTCTATGGTCGACACCTCTGCAGCTTCTTCCATCATACGACGGTAAGCGTCCTGTTCCGAAAGCGTCGCGGACGTGTTTTGTCTTGATTTGCCTTCGATAACGAGGTCTTTTGTAAATTTTCGTTTCTTGCCCAAGAGAGCATCTATGGCATCGGTATCCTCGTTCGTAAAAACTTCAGATTCATCACTAGGATGAACTGCTCTACGGCCGGATGTTTCATATCCTTCATCTCTTGACGGGCTTTCATCTAGATTTTCAGTATCGCCTTGTACTGGTTTCCTCGTTACGGTAAGACCCCATTTAATTTGCTTGTCCTGGTCGGCTGGATCCCTCTCTGCAGAATCGCCAAATCCCGCTCGCCTTGATAATAAACCGTCCTTAGTGCTCTTCTGGTCTCTTAACTCTGCCTTCCAGTCACGGTTTTCATGGCCGGTTATCACGTAAGGTAGATTGGCGCGCCCCGATTTGTCTGTCTTCGGATTTCGCCTCTTAGCTTTAGGCTCAGATACATCATCACCAATAGTTGTGATTACTTCATGACGAGCTTCGTCGTCGCTCCCGGAATCGGATTCATGACTGAGAATGTGTGGTCGCTGACGTTTACCTAACGTTGATAGCGGTTGGGAATGTGTTTGTGTTTGTTTCTTGGCCCCGTTGGTAGATTTCGAGGATGACGATGTACCAAATTTAATCGCTATCCGCGGAGTTGGCTCAGGCATTTTTGTTGATCCAAACAGCCGGATGAGTCGGGCGATAAATGTAGCTCTTCAGTATCGACACGCGAAAACTTAGGCAGCGAAGAGTTATTGTTTGGTATGTTGCTGGCGACGTAAATCTGATGTGAAGTTGTACATGAACTGACTGGCTTAATCCTGATCAGGCAGCGCTTCAAATGTGGCTAGGAGCCTTGCGTTTCCGGTTTGATTATCTAATGAAATGTGGCTCACCTTAGACCAAAGCATAGGTACATGTAGGTACCTAAATGAGGTACCACTTAGTACATGTATTACCTAATACCTACTTGACGCAACTATGTATAAATATGTGTTTCGAACAAATACCTACATCTATTAAATACATAGACGGACTACGTCTGAAGATAATCTAATATGGTCAGAGCACTCTGGTGGGTACATGTAGCAAGCAGGCTGCTATTTAAGCTCCAATAGGTATTTAAGTGTAATAGATACATTAAAGTGCTAGTATGAGGAACGCGTTAAACGCCTTACACAACTGTGTACCTTAGGTACCTAATGTATAAGGTACTTAGCATATGTAAATATGTACCTTCCAAGTTACGTGGATGAGGAGAGCAGGAGGGGCAAGCAAATTCAGTAATAGGGCTTATAGCAGGTACCTTGGGGAATTTAGGTAGTAGCAATAGCACTCGGTAGAATGGGTCACCACTGTGTATCGGTCCAGCCAGGCCTATCAAAATGCCCCTGTGCACTGAAGCAACCAGTATCATAGGCTTACCCATAGCTACCATAGGCCGTCCATAGGCCGTCCATAGGCATCGTCCGCCAAAAGGAAAGCAAAAAAATTAATCTAAGAGACTTCTTGTTAATGATCGCGAAGATATAATTCAATTAGTACAACACAACGCCATCATTTTCATCACTTAATTATATCGGATTCATCTCCAGTGGTACCATTAAGCCTGGAGAGTCATCCGTTTTCATGTAAAACGGATGTCGCGGCGGTCGATGCTATGACTGAGGTCGTGCCCGCCGACCGCACGAAGCTTCTGCAATCCAAGCGGGCAGAATGCAGGTCAGTTATATATTCGGATGAATAGAGCTAATTGATCCGATACTCATGATATATATTTTTATAGTGCTATCGCTCGTTCAAGAAAGAGGAAGCTCTGCGTTCTGTATGCGGTCGCCACGACTACGGATGGCCTCCCACAACGAAGCTTCGCCGATCCAGACGCGCCACCAACCAACGCTGCCGAGTTACATTTTCTTGAAGGTTGCGATATCTTACAGTATGTTTAGACTTCGCGTCCTTTTAAATTTTTTTTTAATCTTCGATCGCGTTTGGGATGTTGGGAATTAGAAAAAAAAAACTTGCGGATTTGATGGTTTAATTGCTAATATTATAAATTAGAGGGAGAAAATTAAACGAGTTGAATATTCCTACGCGACTACGAGTTCGATCCGAATATCCTCCACTAGCCCGACCCGGTGAGAATTTCATCACAAGCGAAAATGCTCATCAAAGTAGGAAGAAAGATGTCGGCGCTATCGTGCGACCCGTTATGGTACCGCCTCCAGTACAATCGCGACCAGGAATTAGTGATGGTCAAGCGAATATTCCCTCTGCTTTCCCAACATCTAGTCCCGGATTAAAACAGCATCAGCCAGTTTGGCCCATACAATCTTCCGGACGACCTATAAGACCAGATCCTCCCACTCCGTTATCAAATGATCTATCCAAACCTAGGTTTCCGTCTAGTGAACATGTAGAGCATCTACCTACGAACGATAGGCCTGATGGTGCCCCCAAAATTCCAACAAGTCACACCGCAGCCTCTGTCAATCTTCCTCAACCACAAGTAGTTCAAGCTCTTGTGAATGACCAGCGACAGCGACAGCAACACCAGCACCAGCAACAACCGCTACTACAGCCGCTACAACACCCACAGCAACAATTCCAACAGAAGCCGCAGCAGACAGCGCAACATGGGGGCACGCATTTAGGAAGTACTCACAATGGCGAGCCGATGGATATCGACCCTTCCCCAGCTACGAAGCTTGAAGAGAAAGTGGCTGTGGTTCACTCGATTTCTCAGGTCGACGGTATCAGCGGAGTTGATAGCGTATCTTCAAATTCAACAACACCAATCCTTTCCAGTACGACAAACAATATGGATTCAGCTCGTGAAAGTATGCCACTTGCGGACAGTGCAGAGGCCAAGCTGGCGGGAATGAAAGATGTGGCGTCGATGAGACAAAATTCATTGAGTTTAACGACCTCAGAGCCATCCGTGGCTGGAACATCCGAAAGCATTCCGAACCGAGTCAAAGACCAACCGCTGCTAGCACCCACTATCGTAACAACGGAGATACCAATTAATACTAGCCCGAAAGTTAACTCAGCCCAGTCGCTCAACAATACATTATCTCCTGCGCAACCTGAAAAGCCTGTGACCACAAGCTTCGACCAGACTACGAGTAGTTTTCATACAATTCCGCAATTCCCGATACATCAGCCTCCTAACAATGATTCCCGTGATTTTCCGATTACGGATACGAGGAACGAGAAACCGCCGACTGATACAAGTACAACCGCTGTCGGGTTTATCAACGGTATTGTTCAGAGTGGAAGCAAGAACGAAGTCATGGAGAAAGAAACTTCGGTGGCCCCTGTTGACGCAACTCCGATTACACCGCAACTTGACTCCGAAGGAACTCGACGTTCCCCCCAACCAGCGCAATCTCATCAGCCGATTCGAGAGCGAAGTAGCAGCCCTACGGGGGTTGCTCGACAGAAACCGGTTGCTGAAATCCTTAGTGAACCGCCGAGGAGGTCAAGAGAATCCCTATCTGATCATACAGCATTAGTGACACCAACATCTCAGTCGTCCAAACAGCATCCGCAAAGTCTTCTTGGAAGGTCTAAGCTTATAGAGAAAAGTAAACGGTCGACAGTAGTGTTCGGTAAACAAACTAAACCTACCGGGGATTCGGATAAATCACTGGTTCAGAATCAGCAGAAGGTTGGGCAGATAGCCAGCGATGACTATTTTACTCCCCTTTTTGTTCAAGCGTTTGCCTCGAATTCTAAGTGGATGAGACCTCTAGACCAGATTTTACATCAGGCCCATAAAACATTGTCAACGCCCGATTCTTACACTCAAATACTTGACAATCAAGCTTGCAAGGTTCTTAAGAGGGTTTATCACTTGCAGCATCATAACAAATGGTCTCTACGCCAACCAAAGCGTTGCCCTGAGCCCACGCGCCAACCATGCCACTGGGATGTTTTACTTAAAGAGATGAAATGGATGAGAACTGATTTCCGTGAAGAGCGAAAATGGAAGATGGCAGCCGCCCGGAATCTTGCTTATGCCTGTGCCGAATGGGTGTCAGCTTCTATAGAAGATCGCAAGACCCTGCAGGTAGATGTTATCATACCTCCCAAGGCGCCACCAGTCGATACTGGAGAGGTGATTATGGGTGACGTGCATAACCCTCAGAGTTCGGATAGTCAACCGACGCCAGACCTTATTCCATCTGCGGACATGGACTCCCCAATGGAGCCAGACGACGAACCTCACGAAGGTATTCTCGACACAGTAGCTCCATCAGCTATATTTGCCCTAGAGAATGACGATATAGTATTTGCGTTACATCAGTCTCCTACTGCGGATCGGCTACTTGAAGAACTGCCTATCTACGGATCGCCGCTGAAAGTCCCCAAGTCCGATCTCACCGCGCCAGAATATGATCCCGATGCTTCGTGGAGACGCCCTGCATTACCACTAAGCAAGTTTGTGGAAGGTCGAATGGAACTCGCACCAATCGAGCCGCCAAAGAAGCGAAGCCGGTACAATTATGCGCAGGAGGACGACGAGGATGATGGAGTCGTTTTCGGCCAGCTGAACAGCAGCCAGCCTCGACTAGAGCCAGAAAGCCCCGATGTGGCGCTGTTTCGCCCTGAGAATAAAAGCTTCAGGGATAGACTTCACGCTGGGCATCAATTCCGCCCACCTAACGAGCATTCTATGCCTTTCCAATCATTTTATGAGTGCCGTAGCCCTTCTCAATGGATACAATCCGAGGATGATGAACTGAAGAGCCTCGTCCGTGAGTATTCTTATAATTGGTCTCTAATATCTAGTATACTCTCCTCCAAGTCCTTATTTAGCTCTGGGGCTGAGAGGCGGACACCATGGGAATGTTTCGAACGCTGGGTTATGCTTGAGGGACTTCCTCATGACATGCAGAAAACACAGTATTTCAAGCTATGGCAAGGCAGAATTGAATCGTCACAGCAAGTTATTCGACAGCACCAGAACGCGATGCAACAACAAGCGCAGCAGCAGCAGCAGCAGCAGCAAGCTAACTCTAATGGTCCTGTTACACCGATCCCTAAGCGGCGGTACAACGTTCCATTAAAGGTAGAGAGGCGGCGTAACCAGAAACACCTGACGATGATAGACGCGATGAGAAAGCTTGCAAAGAAACGCGAGACAGCCATACAAAAACAGCAGCATGCCGCTTCTCTTGCTGCTACGAGAAAGCCAAATGAAACACCCCAACAAAGGGCTCCGACCAAGACCCCGAGAGAATATAGTATTATGCGATTCGAAAGAGATCAAGCAATGGCCGAGAGGTTGGCAGAGAGGATGGCACAACAGCAGCGTCATGAGGCCCAGCGCAGAGTATGAATCTCCCTTTTTTTTCATCTTAATGTTGACCAAATAACACTAATACGCGCACGTAGGCTGTCCTTCAGAGGGCACAGCAAGGACAGGTTGCACAAATGGCAGCCGCCCAGAATGTGAATCAGCTCCCGCAGAATAATCCTCAGATGTCAGCCTCTCATCCCCATGCGGCTATGGCTCGTGTTGGTGCCCCTAGTCAAATTCCGATCAACAGTCAAGGTCGTCCGCGAATGCCCATGCATGCCACTCCCAATGGTACAGGAACCTCCAATCACATGAGCGGCGGTCTCGTTCCTCCTATGCCGATGAATGGCACCTCTCAAGTACAGATGCCTACAGTAAATGGCCAGTCGCGGATGGCAATGCCCACTGCACAGCCGGATATTCAGCTCTTGATGCAAGCGCAACAGATTTCCGAGCAACAGCGCCGTTCGGTGCAGATGCGACAACAGCAGCAACAGCAGCAACAGCAACATCAGCAGCAGCAGCAATCTCAGACTCCACAAGGAAGCATGCCTTTGCAAAGTTCACCCCCCGCCATGCGAGCTGCCGCGATGAATGGATTGAACCAGAAAAGTTACCTCACTAATGCCCAGGCCCAAGCAATGATGGCCCAGTTCAACGCCGGAAATGGTTCAGGAATGTCGACTCCCCCCGCACCAGGCCTTCCCATGACATCTCAAGCAGGGTCCCCGCGACCAAATACGACAATACCTCAGCCGACGCACCAGACATACGTCTCACAGCTTCAGCATATTGAGAGCCAGATTAGACAGCAACATCCAAATACGCCACAAGATATGGTCCGTGAGATGGCAAGGCAGCTGTTAAATACTCGCCACAATAACCACAACCTTGCACAGTCTGCGATGAACGCCGCGGCGGGAGCTACAGGGCATGCTGCTGCTGCTAATGGGCCACATCAATATGCTCAGCTGCTTAGAGCTCAGCAACAGCAACAAGCTGCCGCCGCCGCTGCAGCGCAGGCCCAACAAGCACAACAAGCACAAGCGCAAGCTCAAGCCCAACACGGAGTACAGCAACAGCAACAGCGGAACTCGAGCGGAAGCGCGACACCAACACCGTCAGTACCGAAGTAGGTTAACGGTACACTGTGTCGATTGTCCAACGTAGTGCCTGTCGACCTGTTGGAGGGTACAGAGGCATGATGTTGCTGAACCACTTTCGCCTCATTTTCTCTGAGAGGTACAAGATAGCGATACTGCCTTGAGATCTCCGGCTTTTTCAGTTTCAGACTCGTCATACCTGTCTCGATAGACTTTAACCTTGAAACATTTCGAGATTATCTAGGTAGTGATCGAATCCTCCCCAGAAGGGGTTCCGGGCCTAGGGTCCGAGGGTATACTTGGTCCACTCCTATCACTTTTGAGTCGACAGGAGTTCGAAGTCGCCGCTATACCAAGAGGTTCCAAGCTTGTAGCCCCGTTGTGTACGCATCGTCGTCCGGAGGATATAGCGCTAAATAGCCATGCGGTAAAACTGACCAGTTTTTGGAGCTTGGCCGCCCTCCATTATTATTTGTGCCTGGGTCCTGTAAATAACTGCTGTCTTGGCCAGTAGAGGCATCTTAAGCAGATAGCATTCACGTATGAAAAAAAGAATTACAATTAAATACAAAGTATACAATAATATAATGAAATGTGCATATATGTCATCTAAGTGATATGTTTTTTCTGAATAACTTCCAGTTATAAATCCCTTTATTTTATCTTGGATGTTAAAATACTTAGGTTAGGTACATAGGGAGATATGTATGTACCCGACATGAGCAGCATCAATTCAGCTATCCCACTTTATCTATCAGTCTCCACTTTATTTTTTTCCCTTATCCTCTCTTCAGAGTCCAAATTTTCTTGCGAAACTCAACCATCGAAGCCAGCTCAAATCGAAAACGCAGCAGAATGGGCAAACGAAAGCGGACAGATGCCCCTACTAATGGGGCCAAAACCAAGGAACTGACTATTCTTAAGAAACCTAAAACCACCGAGTCGTTACCAGCAGAAAAAGAGAGTTCTTCCCCATTAACGATCCAAGTCGTTACGGGATCTTATGATCGAATTCTTCACGGATTGACGGCTACTATCTCGAGCGATGACCAAGTCGAGTTTGCTGATACCTTTCTCTTCAATGCGCACAGCTCCGCGATACGATGTATAGCACTCTCGCCCCCTTCGGCACCAGAATCGGGCAAGCTGCAGAAGGTCATGCTGGCCTCGGGTAGCAGCGACGAGCGTATCAACGTCTATAACATCTCGGCGCACCCACCTAGTCGGAAAGATCAGAACGCCTTATCCTCCGTCATGCCTCGAAAGACATTAGAAAACCCTAAGAATCGGGAGATAGGAACACTATTACACCATTCATCTACCATCACCCAATTATCTTTTCCTACGAAATCCAAGCTCATCTCCGCCTCCGAAGACTCTACCATAGCTGTTACAAGGACGAGGGATTGGTCTTTACTGTCAACTATCAAAGTCCCCGTACCGAAGCCTCTGGGTCGACCGAGCGGCGATACGGCGGCGCTAGGTGCGACACCAGCCGGTGTTAATGATTTCGCCGTACACCCAAGCATGAAACTTATGATCAGCGTGAGCAGGGGCGAGAGATCTATGCGATTGTGGAATTTAATGACAGCCAAGAAAGCCGGCGTACTTAATTTTAACCGAGATATACTACAAGAAGTAGGGGAAGGGAAGCATTCGCTAGGGGAGGGCAGGAAGGTAGTTTGGGGTAGCACCGAGGACGGCGACGAATTCTGTGTAGGGTTCGACAGGGACGCACTAGTTCTGGGCATGGACAGCACACCAAAATGCAGGGTTATGCCGGACCCGAGGAAGAAGATACACGAGCTCTGCTACGTTACGATAGACGGCGCGAGCGATTCGTCGCTGCTTGCTGTGTCGACTGAGGACGGGAAAATCATGTTCTTCTCTACGAAGAGCCAAGATCTTATACCGGGTAAATCGTCTACGGAAGGAAAGGGAAAGACGGCGTTGCCAGTAGCCAAGTTGATTGCGGAACTTGGTGGGAAGGAAGCCGGGGTTTCGGGACGTATTAAAGACTTCAGCATAGTAAAAGCCCCCGGGAAAGACGGAGCAGGCAATTTGTTCATAGCTGCGGGTAGTAGCGACGGAAAGCTTCGAGTCTTCAAGCTCGCCGTCGCGGAGCTTAAGGAGGTTAAGGCAACGAAGACGGTGGGCAAACTGCTCGGCACCTACGAGACTCAGAACAGGATAACGTGCGTGGAGGCATTTGCGATGATACCCCGGCCGGAGAACATAGAGGATAGCGAGGACGAGACGGAGGATACGTCGGGGGAAGATGAGAATGAAGATGAAAAAGACGATGAAGATGATGACGAGGATTAAGATAGAAGTAATGAATTGAAGCTTGTGAATAATGACTACTGTATCGCGTCAAATAATAACCTAACCGGTAGAAAAGCTTGAGCTATCATTAAGACAAATTATAGTTATGTTGCAATGTCCATTCCCATGAGGAATTATCTAAATCTCCCAATAGTTATTATCGCTACCGAACAGGATGACACCTACCTAGAGATCGGCATATCCATATCAGAAATCATCTGGTTCCCATCTCTTAAATCTATGGTCAAGTCGGACGATATGCGCAAATCATCCGAAATGAATGCATGGTTCGATTATAGGGGTAAGTTTTTGTCTTCACATGTTTGAACATACGTTTTCTTTCATCTGTTTTCATGAGCTCATCCCATCATCAGCACGTGCTGTGTTACCAGAGAATAAGTACCGTGTAAGCTCTACGGTATAGGAAATACGGGATAAGAAGTTATAGGACAGGACGTTTCCGGTTTGATGCAGGCTGAAACCTCGATCCTTTGCAACGACACGAGGTAGGTTGTATTGCATAAAACGGCTACCTAGCCGAGGTGACCATTGCAGCGGTCAGGATTCATTCATTCGAAGCAAATAACTTGGTTCGATGCCGTGGTACAATACAAATTATTTTCGACCGTGCTGCTGTCGTGTTACCTCAATGCTAACTCGCATGAGGTGTAGTTTTGGGGCATCTTGTGGGATTTGCAGATGAAAGATGCACGATGGTGTCACAAAATGCTGGATGCATGCATGTTGCGGGGTAGCGACGGGATCTACGAGCCAACCAGCGAGATTAAGCTCGTTTTTGCGGATTTCGCATTATAACAAAATAGACGAGAGGCGAGTCACAATGGACGGAGCATGTGATTCCAGGTCGAACCAGGGGGGGCTACTTCCAGTATTTAAATATTGTACCTAGGTACTTCTTAGCCCCTAGTGTATGTACATATAATATGGAAATCACTAGCCGACAAAGTCAAACAGCCACTTCCAAAGGACCCGGAAAGAATAATAACAAAGCCATTCTTCCCTCAAAAAGACTAGTGCGTAGATGTAATACAGAATGTAGCCAAAAGTTATAACCTGCATCGCTAGAGCTTCAATTAGGTACTTCAATAGGTCGGAAGCTTTTAAGTGCTGATGAAGAGGTCAGCACCAAAACCGTCTTAAGGCAGGGGTTGTATTATTAGACAAACCAGCCTGCCAGCCTCTAGGTTAGGCTCTTGCACATCATGAGAGGGGACAACTGGCCGATTCTTCGAATGGCTAATAAGATGAACCGGATTAGTTAGCATCGCGTCCGACGTTTACGTACTTCCATACGTGCAAACAAACTTCTAGGCACCGATATTAATTTCAAGCTAAAAACTTGGACCAATAGGGTAATCAAATATTTTAATCTTTTACCCCCTAAGTATGCAAAATTACATTTCGTGTAAAGACGTTGAAGTTTTTTACCAAGTACAAAGTAACTAACTAACTAGCATGAAAGTAAGACATGTAAAACATCGGGTGCATATGTAAGTACATAATACCTAGGTATCATTGGAAGGCAGTTTTATAAGCGCCGAGTCCCATTTGCATGTGTCGCTTCTCCATCTTACTTACCTCATACCTACCTGTATGTAACTTACCTCAATAGCACCTGCATCTTACTGTTTTTATAGGGCTGCTGACATATATAAAAGCTGGCAAGGAAGGTACAGCTGGGCCAGTATAGGTTATACATGTACGGTTTGTTTTTGTGCGCGTGGGTAATACCTAAGGTACATCCATGAATGGAACAATACCCAAACAAATACCACATACTCCAATCTCTTCTCGTCCTCTTAATATCAAACAGCTTCCTCTCTCCACCAACCATAACGCATAATATCGTCACTATTGCTACTTGTCTTACTTATATATAATCCTATATAATTTGGCTACTTCTACATTTCATCTATCACCAGATTATTTGTTGCAGTGTTGGAGTATTGGAGTATTTCCCGACGTAACACGTACGGCAAGCTGCAGAACATAACCAACCATCGGTTAGACCACCAGATCTGAACCGTTCAAGAGTTTCGTGGAACTTCCAATCCTTTTCATTTTCCACCCCTCTCTTTCTGCAGGGTTCCAATACTCCTCGATTGTGTAGCCAGTCGAATTCGTATTATAGGAACCTTTAGGAACCTTAAATATTAGCCACGCGGCAGAAGTCAGGTGGCATTTTGACCTGCTCCCTCTATTGGTGCTGCCGACTTGATATAACGCCCAATTTTCACCTTACTCGCCTATCTACATTCCATTGTTTCTAAATATTTAGTCGACCTTGGATACTAGATTAATAAAGTGCTTGATTTCGTTACTACCTAACTGCTACCATGTCTAACTCTCAGGGAGACAACGGTCCACCGTTATTACGGCCCATTCCTCGCCGACCTTTCAACCTAATTCCCAGAGAGCCGACACCTCCGAACGACGACTCGCCCGCCCTTATACCATCCACCGATTCGGGACACGTCCCATTACTAAACCTTGAGTCGCTTAACTCTCGACTACTTAGCATGAGGAACACGGGCTTCACTCCCGAATCTACCACCATTAGCCGCACGGATTCTGCACTTAACCTAACGGGCTCGACGTTAGCGGGAATCTACTCGCCTTCTATATGGGGAAAGGATAAATTCTATATGGGACCCGACGAGCCGGGTACGCCTTGGGGAACAGGCGCTGAGACACCCGCGAAAAACCTAAGGATGGACGAGCCAAACTACGAAATACAGAAGGAGAGAGCGCAACCGGCGCGGAGGCGATCTTCTTTACGCCCAGTAGCACGCCCGCAACCACTATCTACCTTACAACGCGTATTATATCACGGCTCGCGCAGTCTGCTCCTAACCGGTCTAGGTGTTCTCTATGGGATACTAGCCGTTCAGTTGCGAGACAGGCAAATAGCTGCAGGTGCGCTTGATGTGCATAATCTGCTCCGGAGCAGTGATGGCAGTTACGATTGGAGGTATATGTCATTCTCAGGCGTGTGTGGAATCGTAATGGGTAGTTTACTACCCTGGTTTGACGGCGTCTGGGAACGAATTTTCGGAGGTGACGATATTGTGGTTGAATCCCCAGTAGAACAAAGTGTAGAAGACGAATCGATTAAAGAGCCTGCCTCTTTCACGGACTGGGCACTTGCGATTAGAGGCATTGGTGCTTTTGTCGGCATCGCCTTTGCAATTGTGCGCTCTCCCTCTTTCGTTATACGGGCAATTCTCGCTAACAACATGTATAGAGAAAACTTCCATGGAGCTCGACCCTTCAAGTTTCGCTTGCGTTTGCCCTCGTGAACCCGGTACTCTGGTATATACTGGACCGATCCATGTCCGGTCTAGTGCTGTCGATCTCCGTAGGACTAGCCGGGTCTGCCATGTTACTAGGACTGAGGCCGGAGGTAGTACCGTCGCCGGCAGCTCCGTCGACGCCTGCTTACGAGGCGTACGGCCCGGAGTACGGTAATGCGACGAGCGGCAATGCTGGCGATCTAGATCAGCAACAACAACTGGCGACAGTCGGCGGGGTGAGCCAGGAGACGATTGCTATGGGCATTTGGTTATGGAGCGTTCTATTCTGCTGTTGCATATGTTTCGGTAACATTGGACGTTGGCTCGCGATTAGACGTGGCGCCACGACGAAAGGACGATGGGCTCAGAGGCAATAATGGCTAACGAAAAGATGGGAGATATAGTTGAGGGGTATTGATCATATTACCATCATACTACCTTATCTAGCCAGAGGTAATAAGGTACAGCTACAAAAAGAAAGAACAGAGAAGAGGAAATTCCTTCTCAACAAATGGAAAAATCTCAGCGGTGAAGGGAGCTATTATTATCACGCCCCATAAAAGCGACTTGGTTGACATTGCGTTTTTTGTTGGAGGGTTGGTCGGAGCATTCTCTCTACTACTGCTTGTTATGGAGTATTAAGGCGCAACTCGGAAATTTTTACGGGCTTGCATCGGGATTGGTGAATTGGGAGCAAACGGAACCAGATGAGCAAGCATAATATGCATATTGTCAGGCTATTGGACTATTCAACTATCGTTCTGGTATATAGCTTCGTATGTTCGGATAGAAAATCTAGTTAGATTTGAGAAGAAGAATATGTTCATATTGGGAATTCGAATATTTAAAGACGTACGTGTTGAAATGAGAAGATGAGAAGATGCGAGAATGATAAATATAAGTGTGATGTTAACTGTCTCTTATTAATGACATTTATCTTATATATTTTTATGAATGAAGGCGGTGAGTTAAGAGAATAGATGTTTGGATTATAGTTACATGACAACTCACGCTCTGGAAATATTTAATATATGCTCTTATAATTAAATAGCGTAAGAGACACTAAATGCACGAATCGGATGCATGCATCCGGGGCTTTTTTGGAGTTTGGAGTTCGTTTGCTCGTACGGTGGAATATGTAGCGTAGCGAATCACTTACATTACTTCTATGATAAAAGAAGAGGGGTTGCTCAGGTCCACTGAGGAGGGGACTGGAGGACGAGCATCTATGAATTTGGTTGGAATCGTAGAAGATCCTCGTATGTTAGCGTCATACATTTGGCTTCCAAGCATTTTATGTATGAGGCGGCTGATTGTTCGTTTAATTACATTAGGTAGCTACTAAAAAAGGGACAGTGGTTAGTATACTAGATCGAGGCTGAATAGAGCCGCCGGGCTGTTGGAGCTGGGCTGGGTTAGGGGAGGATAGAAAGAGATGGTGGCGGTTCGGGTGTATGCGCCCTTCCAATAGTCGAGTATTTGCTTATATTGGGGATAGCTTTAGCTATTTACTATAAGAAGCTTGATTTAGAACCAACTAGTTATATCATGAGTAGTCCAAAGATAGCTAAGCTAAGACAAGCCTCTGTAAGCCCTATGATAGGTAAATCAAGTTCCACCATTGGCCAAAACAGAAATGTGGTTAGACATGTCTCTCTAAATATACGTGCGTACGTCAGTTAAAAAGTCGAGATACACTAGATTACGTACAAGTAATACATTATATACCTATGTAGCGAGGACGATCTCCCAACACGCTGTATTGTGAAGATTATTAATACCCCATTAGTGATAGGTACCTAGATATTATGTTTGAGACAGGCTGAGGAACTATAGGACTTTAGTTAGCGTCGATGCTCGGACAAAATTACGGAGTTTCGAGATCGATTTACACTTTCTATTTACATTAGTAGTTACCGCGAAGAAATAGCTTCAAGTTTGCTTATATATTTCGACTGCCGGGGCTGCTATCGGGGATGCGGGTATAAATTTAGTATCGTCGTATTAATACTAGGATTGTTCTTGGTGCTACACCAAGTTTTTTTTTAAAAGATGATTCGTCATATGTTGGCGAGAAACATGGACTGAGGTGGTACGAACCGATATACCACGTTGTTTAGATATTAACAAATCATCTTTGACATATGTACGTATATGATTATTTGCATTATAAAGGTAGTATTAACATGTTCGTAGATTAAATCGGGAGTAGGTAGCAAGTTTGGGTTAACCATCAACCCGACCGTATCGCGTATAAGTCATGGAATAGGAGAATTTAAAGAATATCCCCAATACTACCGCTTGATAAAATACCAAACTACCGGTACATTTATGTATACTACTACGTACTACGGTAATGGATACCCCAGATGCTTTAGTCTTCTGTCGCCCCGACTCCCCGCATATAATATTAGTTCGTGCTCTCGTTCGACATGAGGTCATTATCATATATATAAGTGTCAAACATAATATTTTCACAGCGTAACTTTAACATGCTATTTGCATAGAAACTGACATATAATTTCTCTACTCATACGAAAACAGCTCTATTATTGGAACTGTTGATATCATCTATTGCTATATCGAATATTAAAATATCAGGACTTGTCTAAACCCTAGCAACTCAAGGGTCCTGCAGATAGATCCACAGCGAAATATTTTCACCTTACCTATTATGGCTTAGATACCGTCTTTAGTACCACAACTAATCGTTAGTGGATTACTGATGGAATGCTGGAAAGTTGTTTCCTTTCCACTTCTCCCCTTCTTTCCCTTCTGCTCTTCTTAACCCCTCTAGTGTCACTTTACTATTGGCTCTACTGGGCTTTTGATTGTCTCATCGAGATCATCAGTCCACGTTAACCGTCCCACGAACCAATCACATATTTCAATTCTGTCTTTGACGACAGCTGGAAGTACCCCTACGACGTCAGGACTTTTTTTTTTTCCCATTTCCTCTCCAACACTCTTCCGACTTCACTCTTCTAACCTATTTCTAGATCTTAGGAGGGAAAATGTATGATGACTTCTATATCTTTTTAACATACAACATGCTACAGACTTGCTATATACCACCTTTCTCTTGACGTCGTCCCCCAATCCTACGCTTTTAGGCGTCCCCCCTCCTGGTTTCTATGTCACCTCCTTTAACTAAATACAACTCCCCACCCCCTATGAGATTTATCTGAGGTTTTAATAATAATATTATTATTTTTACCCATGTTGAATATCTGGATAATTACTTCCTTCTATATGAATCGTTATAAAATAATCGCTCATGATTCAACTACCCATGGAACCCCGTAAATATTCCACTACCACGCGACTCTCTGTTTAACTCTTACGGACCAGCACACGTTAGGTCTTTGTCCTTAGTTAATCTCACTTGGCTACTCGTAATTCTTCCGACTTCGAGTACCACATAGATCTCGTCGTGGTTCTACATATTTATCTCTCCTTTTTTTGTACCTTCCGTTATCGGTTATAAGTAACCCATCCAAGCAGCGAGGCTCGAGAACTGCAAAAGAAAAAAAATTTGTATAACCTATCACGACGGGACACTATCTTAGATAATCCTGGAGACAACTTATCTATTCATTCACTCCCGGTGTCCAAATTATATAACAACATTTTCATGTCCTCGATACAGTCTAACTCGAATACGTCGAGCTCGCCTTCGTCGAATCATTCCGAGAGTCCGACCTCTGAGTCTCATCTCGAGAAAGATGGTTCTCTAACTCCAACCCCTACTGAGGCCGAGCTGCCTTCGACGGTTTCCGAGTTGCATCTTGACGCTGTCAAGGATATCAGGCAAATCGTAAGGCTCATTCAATGTCAAATCTGCTCTAAAATATTGCAGGAGCCGACGACTTTACCCTGCGGACACAGCCTCTGCAAGCACTGTGTACCTCAGACACATGTCCGAACTAATATCTCGTGGCCTGCGACGGCTAACCGGCTTCGTGGGTTTGAATGTCCCTTTGATGACTGCGCAAAGGAACACGCGCTCGGAGACTGCGCTGTTGATGTCACTTTGAAAAAAGCGTTAGCCACTATCAACGGGATTGTCGAGTCGGATCGAGATATGATGGATGTTTCCCATACTTCTACAAGTATCACGGTGCAGGATCAGTGGGACATTGCGGGGATTCCCTCGCTTGCGCATAAAACGAATGAACCTTTCGTGTTAAAAGGAGCTCGCTTTGTCGCGACATATACACTAGCAGAACTTGGCAAGCTGGATTATGGGAGCGAGGTATTTTACTCCTCTGTAGGTACCGGGGCTGATGAGGTAGAGCAGATTGATGTGGCCATGTTGGCGCGGTTAAAGGAATCTGTTAGAACAGAAATGGATTGTCAAGTCTGTTACGCCTTGTTCTTAGACCCTTTAACGACAACTTGCGGTCACACTTTCTGTCGGAGTTGCCTCCACCGCATTTTGGACCACTCATATCTTTGCGCTATATGCAGGCGTCCCTTGTCGATACAGGCTCAGGTCAACCGGCAATCTTACCCTTCTAACGATCGACTGTGTAAGATAATCGATGGGTTCTGGGCCGATCTCGTAGCGCTTCGTGCGCAAGCGTATACACTCGAACAGCAGGCAAATCAGGATGGGTTCGACATCCCGCTCTTTGTCTGTACGCTTTCGTTCCCACGTATGCCTACGTTCCTTCATGTTTTCGAACCGCGCTACCGCTTAATGATCCGACGGGCGATGGAAGGCGACCGAACATTCGGTATGGTACTTCATAACCAGTATCATATGCCTGGCGAGCCTGAGTTTCTGGAAATTGGAACGTTACTTCGCATAGTTAATATCGAATCTTTCGCAGATGGGCGGAGCCTCTTGGAGACAGTTGGTGTTTCTCGATTCCGGGTGACCCGGCACGGGTGGTTAGACGGGTATATGGTCGGTAATATCGAGAAGATCGATGACATCAGCGTAGCGGAGGAGGAAGCTATAGAGGCGGAGGAAACGATGCGCTCTCATAGCGAGAGGGGGTTGGCAACCGCACCACCTAGTCCAGGACAAACGCATCCAGAAGTCGTACCCGTTCGGTCTCTACCGGTATCCGTGTCGCTAGATGACATAGAAACGATGTCAACTAGAGAGTTGGTCGAGGTAGGTGCGGACTTTGCTAGAAGAGTGAGAGCGCAGAGCGTAGCGTGGTTAAATTCACGAGTTTTAGCCATCTACGGCGAATGTCCTGCGGACCCGACTCTCTTCCCCTGGTGGCTCGCTAGCATTCTACCGGTTAAGGACGAGGAAAAGTATAAGCTCCTAGGCACTTCGAGCGTGCGGGAGCGGTGTAAGATATGCTGTCGGTGGATTATAGAATGGGAGGCGAACAGATGGTTAGTAACACATTCTCTTCTTTCACACATGGGCAAAGCCAAACGGTGGTAGGTTATACCCGATACCTCAGAGAGAGGATGAGATAACTAATCTTCATAAAGCTAAGCTCGCTACAGATTGGGTCCTGATTACTGACGCATTGATGGATGCTTCCAGGACCATTTCCGATTGCCTCGTCTTGTAACAGGCTTTTCATATATACATGTTATCGTTACGATGTTGACTTACGACCTATTTAAGGTGGGCTACGAACAAGCAACCCTGTCTTGATCATAGAAAGATGCGGGAGTTATTGTTGGAAGAATTGGCTTTGAAGAAGTATTCATTCATGCTTATCATATTAGTGATACCATCATAGCGCTAGCATTGCCGTGTAGGTATCTAGAGCTGAGGAGTTGTCTATTGCTATTTAGCGCGCTACGCATTATATCACGCATACATCGTCATCGTCGTCGTTGAGGATTGATAGGATTGTTGAGAAAAGGGGATGGATGATATTGTATATAGCTCCCGCATTGAGAGATGAATGAAGATCCCCTTTTTCAAGTAAGACTGTATTTTGTAATACTATGCATTATACGGATACAACTATCACGAATACGTTGGATCTTATTGTGTACCTAGTCTTCGTGCTAGTACGAATACTGATAATATATATACGCTATATGTCTTATGTAATTACCTAATGTAGCTCTATGTAATTTGCGGGGATTTTGCTATTAGTTGAGCTTCTTTTACATCATTTGTTAAGCTTGATATAACATTAACCTCAACCTCAACTGCGACTAACTCACTTATAATCATCTAATCTTCGCAAATACACACTCCTACATAAAGTAAATGCCCATTACTTCATTCACATTATTCCCAGGTCTACTACGGAATAAGTCGTCGCACCTAACTCGACTCCTTGCTTTATCGTCTATCCGTCCAACGGCTTCAAGAGCAGGTTTAGGACATCGCTTCCGGTCGGCTATGGAGTATACGCATGTTGCAACGCCGGAACGGTGTTATGCTGACTTCTGTTTGATTCCCGTGAGTTAACTTGTACCTGGCCTTTATATCCGCTTCCTACACATATCTTATTTATACCTGCTATGTGCGCATATACATATTGCTTCGATACCTTGATATACCTTTTATAGTATTCACAGCACTTATAGCCTCATATAAACTAATATACGTAATGTGCATGTATAGGTCGGCACAGGCAATGTCTCAGTCGCAGAGGAAGTAGCCGAGGTGCAGAAGCTGCTTAAGGCCAGTGGACTCACTTACACGATGCATTCTGCGGGGACTACTGTTGGTAAGCTAGCTCATCTCCAACTCTCCAACTACCATATCTTATCACCTTCTTATTATGTTTTCTTGTTTTCCCGTTATATTGCATGTCTGGTGCTAACTGATAGTACATAGAGGGATCATGGGACGAAGTCATGAAAGTCATCGGACAGGCACATAGTGTAGTCCATTCTAAGGGTGTTGTTCGTGTGCAGTCGTCGATGAGGGTTGGGACTAGGTATGTCTTATATTTCTTTTGTCTGGGCTTATTATCCAGCCTAAAGTTATCGCTCTACTCGTATATCCATCTATAACATCCACGCTTAACTGCTACACCTTCCCTCGACCTATAGATCCAATATTGGCTAATATTATACTCTTACTATCTCCAGGACGGACAAGAAGCAGACAGCGGCAGACAAGGTCAAGCGTGTTGAGGATCTTTTAGCAAAGCAAACTACCAGCTCTTAAGCATTAGTTATTCGGTTTAAAGTAGGAGGCGAACTCCACCATAGCAGACACGATGAATAGTCTTTGTAACCCTTACGTACTGACAGGCAACACGGAGCGATAAGCAACAATTTAAACAAGTTTCATGCATATATTCAAACAGACATAGCTAGCGTACACCTGACATGTTCCACCCCAGGCATTTTCCTACTACATATATACTACATATACACGTCAAATTTTGGGCTCAACGACGAGAACAGCATCAGACCCTACTAGATACGTCTGTTCGTCTCTACATAGCGGCTGTCCTTTTCTTTTCTTGGGCAGGAAAACGTCGCGGTGGTCTAACCGCATGTTACCTCTTAGCGTATTCTACGCGCGGACGGTCTGCTTCCTTGATGACTTGCGCAGTTCCTTCTCCTTCTCCTTCTCGAGGTACTTCTTCTGCGCCTTAGCATCCAAGGCATTGAGCTCGGCATCGCGCTTAGCCTTCCTTGCCTTGTCGCGCTCAGCTTGTCGTTCCTCGGCCTTCTCCTCTTCGGCTGCCTTTTGGATCTGCTTGATGGTCTCGTCTCGGACAACCTTGATCTTGCGTAGGATCTCTGGTCGGAAGTGGGCAGACGACGCTAAGTGATCAGGGATCCGGACGAAGTAGGCCAGGAGAGGGGCAAGATCATCGTAGTTATTAGACGACGGAAGACGGTACCGTAGGTAAAGGCGCTTGCGAGGAATCGTTTCATCCATCCTATAATACATTTAGCAACTTTTCTCTTCGTAGGAATCCAGGCAGTAAATTGTATCGTCTTTGTTATGTGTAACCGCATCAGGTTATACATAACTAACAAAGAGTGCGTACTATTACTAAAGGGAGGGCTTACTTAGTAGGCTTGTCAACGGGTTGATCGCTGATAATGAGGTACTCAAATAGATCACCAGCTTGTTTGATAGCCGAGGCAAGCTCATCTGTCAGTAGCGTCTGGGTAACCTCAGCGCTCTCGCTCATGACTGTTGTCCAGATGGGCAGCTTGGCGTTGTCCTTAGTGAAGGTAATAGATAAGTCATAGCGATCTTCTCGGAGCTTCCTCATATTGTTCTTGTTGACAATAGCCCAGACAAACCCATCGAAAGAGCTCTTGGAATCCTTGCTTCGTAGCTCAGCGGCGCCTGGTAGGGCGGGCACAATCTGAGCCTCCTTGCCATCGAAGGGGTAGATAACAGCCTCAACCGCATCCTCGGGGGCAGCAAAGCTGTCGAAAAAGAAACTCAAGGCAGTTTCCAAACCAGTCATTACGGGGTTGAAGCGCTTCTTCAGGGTCAACTTGATATCCATGAAGGCGACATTCTGTCGGCCAGTCGCATAACTCGCGTACTCAAACAAGCTCTTAGCCTTTAGCAGCTTCTCGGGATCCTGGTTAGATTGCTGCGGCACTCCACGAAAGCCGACAAGCGCGAATTCACCGGTAAGGATTGGAGCGTGGGCTTTGATCCATGCTCTCGCCTTGGTGCGATTGAGTTTCGTACCAATGAAGTGCAGGGTGAAGATGACAGCAATGATGACCAATATGATACCCTCAGCTCGGAATTCGCTTAGACTATGGCGCTCATGAATATTATACCATTTCGTATACGGACGAGCAGTAGGCACAGGGCCACCGAGGCCAGTACCACTAGGGACGGTCTCGAATGGTATAGGCGCTGGTGAAGGCGCATCGGCGAAGTCGGCAAAGTCTAGAAGGTTGAGTGTTAGTTATGTAACTAACTACCTAGATAAGTAGATATGCTGGTAAATGAATTGAGGTGTAAGAGTTATATATTTGTCGGGTATTGACTCCAGGCCAGGTGTTCAAGAAGCAATTCTTGTCGCGTAGTTTGTGAATGCGACTTGGGATATAACTTACCTGAATCGGCGGAGGGAATTGGAGTAGCACTAGACTTGCTACCTCCAACAAAGTTCTTTAAAAAGTCCGCCATGGTTGCGGGACTCGTCGCGGAATTTTGATGTGCGCGGCGAGGTTGAGAAGGCGGAGTCGAAAATCGAGGGTCGAGGATCGAGAGACGTGGAACAATTTGGAGCTTTCTCTACTTCTGGGTAGCAATCTCCAATAAATCGCTTAATTACCTAACCCGCCTGCCCGCAAAACTTAAAAACTATAACTTAAACCATAGAATTGGAACGTGCACACACACCTATGAGTTGGGGTTTTGGGGAGAGTTCTCCACATTTGGCCCTAAACAAATTGTGGCTTAAACTTCTACTGTGCAAAACGTAATGCATTAGGTTTAGACCTGTTACCCGGCAACCTGCAGTCAAAGAACTTAAAGTCAATAATTACCTAAATTATGGCTGTCAAAGTCAAAGTCAAAACCAAAACCAAAACCAAAACGCATAGACAACATTTAATAAATAATGAATGCTATTAGAATCCAACCAGAGGAACAAACAAGAAGAAAATGTCGAAACAAACTTCTCTACGTAAATATGGAAAACAATCCAAGAAACCCAAAGCCGATCGATTATTTGTCGACCTACCAAAGACACCAATGCGAAATCAGCCCCAGAAAGTAATAATAGAACAAGACGATGATAGTTCCGATAAAAAAGTGCTGGAGGAATTGGTTGGAGGGATTTCTGCTATGGCGATACAAGATCAAAACATTACACCACCAGGTTCACTCCGACGCTCTCCTAGACGAAAAGAACAACAGGCTCTCCTAAAACCACCACCACCCCTTACCCCGGCTCAACTCCGAAGACTCCCAGTAATAAGCCCACCTGAGCTAGAAATACAAGATCAACTTAAGGATGGGGAAGAAAAAAAGGAATTACAAGTGCTTTCCTGGGCCGACATATGCCCACCGGGCGATAAAATCGTCAAGATAGCAGAGGCTTCTTATGCGGAAGTCTATCGCGTGACGAACGAACGCGGGACTAGCATTATCAAAGTTATCCGGATGGAATCACCGATAAAGGCACAAACAAAACCTCAACAAAAATCGGGGCTTGTTGACGAAGAACCACATTCCGAGTCGGACTTGATGGGCGAATTAAAGATCTCAGAGTGGCTTGCCGACATACCAGGTTTCGTCGTCTATAAGGAAAGATACATAGTTCAGGGGAAGGCTTGCAAGGAGTTACTCGAGACACACCAGGCATTTCACAGGAAGTTAAAACGGCAGGATCCAGATAGACTTCAATTCTATCCATCGCCAAGCCGATACTTGCCTGGCACCAAGTTCCTAGTGGTTGAGCTAGGTGACGCGGGGACGGCACTTGAGGATTTTGAGCTGGAATCTGCCGACCAGCTATGGGATATATTCTTTCACGTCACCATCGCGCTCGCTCGTGCCGAAGCTCATATAGAATTTGAGGTTAGTAGATCGAGTCCCATTTCACCAGACGCCCTAAACTAACAGTACTAGCATCGGGATCTTCACGAGGGAAATTTATGTATTCGTAAGATGACAGAACCGATTCCCACGGCAGACCGGGAGCGTTCTAGCTGCTTTGGATTTTCTGGTCTCGATGTAACGATACTCGATTACGGGCTCTCTCGAGCTCACGCCAACTACGAGGACGAAGATTCATTACCTATTGCTTATGATCTAGAAAGGGATTTAAGCATTTTCACCAGCGAACACGCACCCCAGTGCCAGGTGTATAGACGTATGAGATCCTTTATGCTGCGAGGAGACCGAGTGTGTCTACCCCCAAAAAGTCACAAGACACCTTACGAAGAGGGAATCGACGGCCCAATTTGCTGGGCTCAACACGAACCTTACACGAATGTATTATGGCTTGCGTATATCTACCAATGGATGGTGAAGCATTTCAAGGGACCCAAGAAAGAGGTCAATGCTTTTAAGCGCGCCACGAAAGAATTCTGGACGTACCTCGACCCTGATGCTGCTGAAAATGTACCGGGCTTCGGAAGTGCTAGTGATATCGTGAGGTTCGCACTGGAGTCGGGATGGATAGAAGAGGACCAGTTGATGGGTATGCGGGATGAAGTCGAGAAATCGATATTATCGATTCTGACGACTAATGACTTAGGAAGGGAGATAGATGAGGAAACTTTTGCAGAAGCATATCTGAGAAGATCGCCTAGAAGGCGCTAACGTAATGCTGTGTAAGCTTGCGGAAATAGATATGTCGATCAACGGCGTTCGGATTAAGGGGCTACAGGATCAGGCTTATGGACCGGTATTGGTCTACAGTGGTTAAGGTTAAGGAAAGGATATAGGATACCATTTGATATAAATTGTTAATCATGCTATGATAGCCTATACGTGACTACGTCTGAAGCTGATATATGATTCATGCTGGTGGATGTAAGAGCGATTTGCTACTATACTTACTGGGGGAAGTCGCATACTCCATCCTGATATCTTGTTTTCGGAAGGCTTAAAATGGCACAAACCAGTTTTGACTTGGTCGAAGCTCGTATAAGTGTCAAGGGAGATCGTATCTCCTCACTGCATGCACCGCTGATCAAGTCGATCTTATCTAGTTATCATCGCCAACACAGACAGAATATAGATATTCTCCGAATCGCACCAAAAAGTAGAAACAGATCGTGCTCGGGGACCTACATGAGATTATAGTCTATTTAATCTACGTCGTCCGGTATTGACCCGGTTCCTTTTCATAGAACCAATCATCCATACACGCGACTTGCTATAGCTTGGTACGACGTTGTGCAGCGGGAGCTATTAATATATTTAGATATATTTATTGCTTCGACCTACAGAGAGACCTCGCGTTACCTGAACTCACCTGATGCGGTGTGAACTATATTCTCAGCCATTATTGTATCCTATCCTATTAGTGAAGCGCTGAATGCGACCCCGATATGGGAGTTATAGTTATGGCCCCTACGAATAATGTGTTTTCGCGCCAAGGAAAGATCAGCGTCTACAGAATCGATTGGCACGCAGATCAAGTTTTCCAGCCGCGCGCAATGGCAAGGCGGCGGCTTGATTTTTCCAATTTTACTTTTCAGCTTGCCCACCATGTCTAGCTTGCCGGGCTGGGTTTAATACGATGAGTTCCCGTCGGGATGGTAAACAATAGCCGGTGTAACATCGTGTCCCGTCGCCTTGGTGGGCCTTACGTAGTACTACGTAACTAAGTGGATGTGTTCAATGCTGCTTGAATATATCAAGTTTTTTCGACGTATGTGTATACGTATGCTCGACTTAAAGGTTGACACGTACTCGTCCGACATGAAGTTATGAAAGAAGGAATAGTAATAACAATAACAATAACAAACATTTATCCCTTTACAGTAAGGGGGGATATTGGGCATATACTCCTTGCCGAGGTTGATGTATAGTAAGCAAAGTATTATGTAAATAACTACGTGGATAGGAGGTTGGCAGATTCCAAGTTGTAGCCTCAAATTGGTAAAAGGGGTCTTAGGGGTTGTTATGTAAATGCTTCCAGGTACCTTCCTTATGTATGTAATACCCTAATATCTACCTACCAATAGCGGTAGCATCCGGTCTCTAGGACCAATAGAATAACCATGAACAAGTTTATACTTTTCAATGACCCACATTAGTGTGTTTCAGATCCCACTCGATCTTAATAGAGATAAAATATACATAGGTACCGAGTTCCATGCTTCGTACCTGGCAGGACTGGGTTTTCCTTTTTTTTATTAAGGGGGAAATGATCAGCGACATCTCGTCGTCATCCCACTAAAGTGGCCCTGTAAATTCTAGCCCTCCAACCCGCCATCCCGCTTCGATCCTCGACAAGGCGGAAGAACAAGACAATTGCCAGGCTACCAGGGAATATGGAAACTAATATAGAAACCAAACGAAACTTGATCCCGGCTAGTCTAGTCAATCGATCCCAGGTCCTAATCGATTATTCCATAATACTTATTCATTCATCAAGAAAAAAAGGAGCTGGGCGGAGATGAACAAGATGAACAAGATGAACAAGATGGGGACCCTCTGTTTCGATATACATAGAACTTTTTAATCACGCATTCAAGCATTGCAATAGGGGGAACAATGTAGGTCTTATGTTGTTTCTTACCACCGCCAATCACCTACCTACATACATACATACAAACGTACTTACATCTGTATGTAGGTTTTTATTTATATTGTAAAAGAGGGGGAGGACCCTTACCGCAAGTCTTCTTTTGCTTAGATTTACATAGAGAGGGTTACCTTTTTTTTTTTCCCGGCTCAAATCCTCGAATTTCTGGTTTCTCTCTCGGTCGTTTTGGGGCGGATTTGCCGCTAGGCCCTGCTGCCCTGATGCCCTGCCATTCCCCTGCATGACGAATCGACGAATAACTTCGCGCCAACCGTTCTCTACTTAGCTTTGCAGGCGTGTGGCATGGGATGACTGACCTATCATGCAATGTCTTCCAACCCAAACCAGCCCAGCCAGTCCAGCCAGTCCAGCTTGACCTACCAAAATCCACCAAAGCCCACCCAACCCCTTTCTAAATCTCCACCTTCACGTCAATCTACCTTAACCTACCTTGCCTACCATGGCATGTCTGAATTACACCTGCATAAGGTACCGAAGCTACTATCAGATGGTTTCTATTTTCTTGCCGAGCCGGCCTGTCTACCATACGACCATACCCTACCGCCCCATAGGCTGAAAGATCATGGTCCACTAATTAATATACGAACCTCCTCCGTAGTCTTCTAATTTTTCTTCTCTCCCTCTCTCCGCCTCTTCACCTTGCAGACCTCTATCCGCTGTCTTGGGTTTTAACCATTCGCTCATTTGCTTGTCGCGATTTACACTCTTTCAGAGCTCCGCCGGCTGAGTCTACCGTTCATTTACCAAACAAATATATTGTTTGTTCCTTCTTTCTTGGACTGGTCCCCCCTATCAGCGCTCAAGTCGAGACTTCAAATCACCGCCCACAGACTACTTCGTCAGTCAATCCTTATTAAGGGCTTGGTCCGGTGTTAGCATTTAAAGAATATCATTCCCTGAAACAAAAAAGTTCTAGGCACTACAATCAGTTGCCCATCACAATAGAGCAGATACTTTGAGGCATACGAAAAGCAAAGCAAACATGAAGTACGCAACTGTTGGTGCTCTGGCCTCCGTAGCCGCTACGGCTGCGGCACAGAAGACGGACTCGACCTTTGCCGTCCTCCATTTTACCGGCCAGCACAAGTTCTTGACCGAAGGTCCTATTGATCCTGTCGTCAACCCCGGAACGGAAGCAACCCATTATCATAGTATCATGGGAGGTAGCAACTTTGGCATTTCCACAAAGGGTGACGATCTCTTAAGTTCGGAATGTACTACGACCACCATCAAGAACGACAAGAGCAACTACTGGGTTCCATCTCTCTTCTTCCAAGATCCTAAGGATGGCAGTTTCGAGAAGGTACCCCTGTTTTACATGAATGTGTACTACTTGTATGTTCTCCTATTATAATGTTTATGAGTGAGATATATTGGATTTATCTAACAAATGTTTAGCTTCGAACCCACTAACAGCACTATTGAGCCGTTTCCCGTTGGGTTGAAGATGCTGAGTGGTGATACCAAAGCCAGGGATCCTCCCAAATTTGGAGGTGGTGGCAATGTTGACCCTACCAGGGGCCCAATCCAGCCAGTTCAATGGACTTGCCCTAGACAGAGCTACGATCCTCCGTCCTACCCTGTGGATTCTGACGGAACCATGGCCGGTCTTCAAGATCCCCAAAACCAGGGCGCAGGTGCGGGTTTCCCCCTTTACGACTGCGACGGCACCTACTCTCCCCTCCGTCAAGATATCCATTTCCCTTCGTGCTACAACCCAGAGGCTGGTCTTGATGACTACAAGAACAACATGGCATGGCCTACCCCTGAGAACGGGCTACTCAACTGCCCTGCCGGATGGATCCACGTCCCTCACCTCTTCTATGAGGTCTACTGGGATACTCCCTCGTTCAAGGATAGGTGGACCCCTGATGGAAAGACCCAGCCTTTCGTTCTGTCCAACGGTGATGCTACTGGTTACAGCTCACACGGTGACTTTATCTCCGGCTGGGACCAGGACACCCTCAAGACTATTATCGACACTTGCAATGTTGGTACTCTCGGTATGGAGAACTGTCCTGATATTCCCGGCGGTGTCAACGACAACCAGGACTGCACGATCGAGCCTGCTGTCGGTACCATGGTGAAGGCTTCGCAGACTCTCAAGTCCCTCCCGCTCAACTGCCCGGTTACTGGTTGGGGCAAGGGTTCTTCCAGCGACTCTGACTCTGACTCTTCCTCTGAGCAGCCTGCCACCTCGACCGTGAGTAACTCCCGGACCCATTTTTCTTTGACAACTTGTTTCGGTGCCTTCTTCCTTTGCCTCTTGAACATAACCTAGTACTCCGGGAACGGACCAAGTTATATAAATGTTGTTACTAACACTGGATGCCATAGTACAAGGCAAGCAGCGCCGCCCAGGAATCTTCTGCGCAATCTTCGACTGTCGAGTCGGGTTCTGTCCCTAGCGGAAATGCGTTTATTGAGCGACCCAGCTCATCTACTGTGGCCGCAGCACCTGTCGTCACCGCCGCTGCAGTAAAGGAATCGTCCGAGGAGAGCGATCCCAATGTTGACACCGTCTGGGATGTCGTATACGTCACCGAGACTACCACTGTGCAGCCCGAAGCCACGCCTGTGGCCCGCAGACGCCGTGCTCCCCTACACGGCCATGGCCACATCAAGCGCCACCAGCACAACGTACACGGCCGCCGATAAGCAAGGGCGCGAGTGGCCAACCAACCAGTCAATTATTTGATTCTATGTCCATACACGAATTTGTAGGGATTGCGTGGCGCTGTCGAGGGTCGGTCGCATCATAGAGGATCCATGGGAGGGCATGTGATATTGGGACGTTTTTGATTTGCTATTATTCTTGGATATGTAGGGCGGGAAAAGTCCGCGAGACATAGAAAATTCTAGCGACGCCTCGCTGTCGATACCTTGATCAGGGACGCACTTAAAATTGGGCGATGTACGAGTCACATTTAGAGGATACGTAGCTTGCGCTCATCTTCACTTCTTGATGTATCATATTCATATACAATTTATGAACATGATTGTTCGATTGACTATACATTTGCATAGAGTATATCTAACTCTGTACTTTGAGCGATTCATTTATAGCTGGCAGTTGTCCGTGTGATTAGTGTTCCCTTTTGTCCCGAGCTATGCTCGTTGGAATCCAATTTGGACTTCAGTAAAAATGTTATAGATCTGAATATAACTTAGATAATTCATAATACTTCGTAAATATACATATCAAGCTTCCTGCAATCTATACCAACTAAATTATACAGTAGTCAACCCCTCCACCCTATTCAAGTCTCACTCCGCGTATATCGGGCTTAACGAACATTGTTTGAATATATCAAGCGGTGTCTTGATCATAAACGTGATCTCTATCCTATATTTGAACTATATATCTGAGATGTCGTGGATATACATTGGACTATTGGGTATATCCATCTAGGCATGGATAGGTGTGTATGAGATATATAAGCAAATGTAGTAATGATTCTAGCATACCTACACCGTTAATAGTGATTCATCCTTTTTATTCAGGTTATGGAACAAGTTGAATATCATCTTATACAAATGGTATCATAGATCATCAAAACCATTCCACTCCTCCTCATCAGAATCGCTTTGGCTACTATTGTCGCTGCTCAAGTCGCTTGCAGTTTCAGAATCCATATCATAGTCTTCTTCTCTCTCGTCCTCTTCCTCTTCCTTCTCTCCGTCGTCCGCGCCATGCCGAGTGACATCAGCTTGTACAGATTGATCGACCCTCTTACAACTCCCCGTAGAACTAGGATCATACCCCGGCTTATACGTCGGCATACCCATACTGTCTCTAATAATGCGACCACTATCATCGCGAATATAAGGACCATCGCCATCCTCGAAAGCAGATTTCACATCGCGGACAAAACCAGCGACGAAGAATCCCATGACACCCCGCCCATCGTCTTTATAAGATCTAATACACGCCTCGGCAACCTCGGAATCTCCGTCGCTCGCCTCAACGGATCCCCGAACCGGCCACTCGCGTAGACCTCGGACTTGCCGATCTCGCCGTAATATGCGCCAGCCCCTTTCCTTGGCAACGTCGGACTGTAGAGCCTTCAGGACAACTTGCTCGTTCTCCTGGGCGTGGATCGAGCAAGTTGAGTAAGTGATCTTCTTTGCAGCAGGAAATTTGAAGGCGTGAAGTAGTAGAATAAGTTGGAATGATGATAGTGCTTCTAAGCGTGCCTCTAATTCTTTCTCGGAGGTAACTACCGTTTCCTTCCCATCGTCATCGACCATGATCGGCTGTACCGTATTCTTACCAGCCTCAGAGTCATCACGCTTCCGCTTACGGTTTGTGTTAGGAAGCGGCTTTTTGAACGCGCCTGGGACGTCAGGGAGGTATATCGCGGGCATTTCATCTCTGCCAACTATACCACTACCTGAACAACTGGGATCTAGAAGCAAGCAACCAACGTTTGCGAACAGTTCGGAATTTGGATCAACCCTGAGGAAATCCTGGCCGAAGCTCATTCTCGTTATTTCCTTGGCGCCAGCTATTTTTACCATCTTTTCTAGGGTCCGCGAACGCTTTGGATCTTTCTCAAATGCATATACAGTCTGATTGCATTCTTCCTTCTCTGGGACCCGAGAATGTACGATGGCTGCAAGATGTGTTGTCTTATTCCCAGGGGCCGAACAAGAATCAATGACGTCGCCATCTTCAGCGCGAGGGTCCAGTAGATATGCGGGAAAGCAAGAAGCTTTGTCCTGTAATATTATAGCTCCAGATGTATATGCTGTCGTCTTGGTGATCTCAAAGCTAGGGGGTATAGCTACCAGGTTTGGGATATGCTCGTCGACATATAGGAATTTCCCAGGAGCAGCCGTGACCTCACCAACGCTTAGAACCCTAGTGAAAGCAACGAAAGTGGTTGCTAACTGATCCTCAATGGTAGTCTTTAAGACATTCACACGCACCCATCGTGGATAAGCAGCTGTCCCGCCTAAGAAATCGGCGGTTACTTGCTCCCTAAGGACTTCGATAGACCCAGCTTTCCTCCGTAGACGCGCCCTAGTGAACTCGGCATTCAAGCGCGCTTTATGCCGCTCAATAGAGGCCCTGAGACCGTGACTAGCAGGAAGTGCAATGCCTTTCTTAGATAGTATGAAGTCATGGACAAGCAGCAGAGCCAGCAAGGGGCTAAGCTATGTATCCCTAGGTAGTTAGCAGGGCTGGGGGTAAGAGGCTAGCAGTTTTCCTATTGAGTAACTTTTAAGGTAAGGGTGCTCACCTTGCGCTCGTAACGCAAAAGGTCCGAATTATCAATGACTTCTTTCAACACGGGACTCCATTTACAAGTTTCCAAAGCCAGGGCGTAGACTTGCTGCTGAGGAGACTTTAGGTCCTTCTTCCCAAAGATGCGAGTTTTCAAGTTGCCGCCAGTAGATGGGGTTGCCGATAATATATCGGCTGTCTCATGATACAGAGACATTCTTCCCGGAGCATGTTCAGCCGCATGCTCAGGGGTACAGGACGTTGGTTGTACCGTATATCTTGTACAAGGGGTTGTAAGAGTGAAGGTTTGCGACGTGTAACTCAAAATGTAAAATCTTGGGTCGGGATCTTTAATCGATAAGGAAATCTACCATGCAACAATTCGGCAATCTACGCGCTAAGGATAGAGCTATGGACCTAACCCAGATTCATATTGTACCTATAAATTTAACTTTGTACATATTACTAGCCACATCTGATAATTATTACCCTGCGGCTGATTTGCCATCTTTGAATCTTTAAATGTTCCAAGGTTTCCAGGTTGCTTTGATTGTGCAAGTACTTCGTACACTACACATTTCCACCAACACCTGCATTAGCATGTAAGAGTAGGATCTTCGAACTATTACCCAGCTTGCTTAAGACTTGTTTAGGTCATCGATAAGTACGAGACATACCTGACCATTTACCGCCACTTTTCATTTTATCGAGAGCACTTCACCTAGGCAACTTCGATAAATCATTCCCCCCCAAAAGCCTAGAAAAGGGCATCGTATGTTTTATATCCTCAAGGATCGAGATCCAAGCGTTCATTACCTAGCTTTGTTGTCCATGAAAGCTGAAAATCTAGGTACTCCTCGACGCTCGTCCGGAGTCTTGGCGTCAAGCTAGGTACCTCAACAGTTGCGATCGTTGTCCGGACTAAACCATGAGATTAGGTACCTACGTATAATTATCTCACGCAGCTAAACAGACAGTCGTGTGTTAATACTTTTGTGTGATGAGCCTTGCAGGTTGGGGACCGTAAGTGGAAGGGCCGACTGTATTGTCAATCAGATGCAGCCATGTGCCCTCCCGAAGACCCAGATCCAGTGAGGAAATCGGAACGGGTTTTTGCAACATTGCGAATCGAACGGGGTTGTCTCTTATGAGTATCAAAATTCTGGTATTTATCACGGACCCGAAATAACACCTCGAAACTTGTAAACGAATTTCTCAGCTCGGTGATGTGAATTGCTATTTGTTGTAATTATCTCAATCTTATCAACTTTCCGACATACGACTAAATAAGTCAGTGACGTGTATTCCAACCAATCAAAATACAAATAAGGCTCAATTTTACATATGTGCAGATGAAATAGACAGAGATGGCGGAGGGTCGGCCAGCCAAGTCCGCATCTACTAATAAGATCCATTATTGTGCCTCACATTTATACAGACATCTTCTTTATTGAGAGGCAAGTCGGATGGTCGGAGCTTTGATTATACCGTCTTCATAAGACTCCATAAGATCCTTCGTAAGCTTGATAGGTCCACGCGATCGAAGGGACGCCACGCAACTGCGATTCCTGTTTTAGACCTCGGCTTCGGTAGATTTACTTTCTCTCAATTATCACAAAAATACAGCCCCGAGGGCTGCATATGATATGGAAGTTGCGCCATCCTATCGATTGGTGTGGTATAAGTCTCACACTCTCGACTCTCGGAAAGGGGACGGGTTTCGCAACCAACACAAACGTGCGGCTACATATTCGTCGTAATTGAATCCCGTCCTGTGCATCTTGTACGTCCTGTCAGTGCGGTATAACAAGCAAACACTATAATTTCACCAATCATAAATAAGGGAAAGAGAAGTTACCTAATAGTAAGTTAGTGGTACTTGGCTTCATTAGAGTTATTTTATAAGTCGTTAATCAAATCGTGAAATTTTATGCTTAAATCGAACCTTCATAAAACGCTGAAAATTAAAATAATCATCAAGCCCTTAAAAAACATTACCAACCAACATATTGACAGATATCGGTATGTAACTAAATATATAGTCGGATCGGTTTTAGAATAAACCCCGTATCATCATCATCATCATCACTGTCTAAACCTGTAAAGGTCCCACGGTCCCGCCAGGTTGGGACCGATTAGTACGATTAGTACACGTTTAGACGTTGATCAAGGTTAAGAATCCATACGATTTACAAATATTGACGTCGCTTACTCCGGCAAGTCCCGTTTGGGAAGTGTCATTTGGTAACAAGTATTACATCTGGTACTACATCTAGAACATTGAAGGATGTAACAATGAGACTCCGGAGCTTATGTCATAGATACCCACCAACACCAACATACATCCATGACATGGTGTAGGTATTAGAGGTATTCCTCGGACTCAACAGGCACGGAGAAGAGTTAGGCAAGGCTCAAAAATAAAGTCTTCAGCTGAATCACATTGCATAACTTGTAGACCAAAGGATGTATCATTCCAAACAAACCTCACATAAACCAGTACTTTTACCATTAAATCAATACCTTTTTTCAGTAGACTCGATCTGTACCTAAGAACCGAGCAGCGAGATGCCGGTTGTGTTACACCAGACGGTATCCATAAGTACCTAAATCCGTGTCTAAACAAAGGAAATGTAATATGCAAATATTTCCCCAGCAGGACCTATATATTACTTTGATAGCTCGTCCGCAGGGGCTTCCTTGGCTGATCCCTCTGGTCGGGAATTTCTCATATACAATATACATTTACGATATACATTCATACATACCTACCGAGGTATACATACCTCATAGATAATATAAGCTTCCTCTGCTCTTCACTCAAGCCATAAAAAAAGAAATAAATATATTTTTGTAAGTTAAATAAACACCTCGATCTTATACGAAACTATCACGACTTATCCATCATGTCGTCGCCCGAATCGTCTTCGGACGAGTCGTCCGCCACCATAACGGAACAACAACCTCCTCGGCGTGATGTAGAAGCACAGAAGCCAAACGAGAAACTACCATACTGGAAACGCCAGTTCGATCTTCCCGGAGTTACTCCAGCGGTGATGGAATGGAACTACAGGGGAAGCGGGACGACGGACGACCCTTTCATAGTCGACTTTCTACCCGAGGATCCTAAGAATCCGATGAAGTTTTCCACGGGGAAGAAATGGGGTATCACGGCCTTACAGGCCATCGCCGTGCTCGCGGTTACGTTCGTCTCGACGGCTTACTCAGGGGGTATTGGTGAGGTTATTCGCGAGTTTAGGGTCGATGAGGAAATCGCTATTCTGGGTATCTCGCTTTTCGTCCTCGGATTTGCTGTAGGGTACGTATCGGGTTATATTATTCTCATTTCCTCCGGGGTATTATCATACTGACTTGTCATCTATAGGCCGCTATTATGGGCTCCGTTGTCTGAGATGTACGGTAGACAATTACTGTTCTTCGTTACGGTGAGTTTATTATTGGCTCCATAACCCCTTTACCAGATAGCTACCTATAAACAATTACTGACACTAAATTTCTATAGTATGGATGCTTAACCGCGTTCAATGCCGGCGCGGCGGGTGCTCCGAATATTCAGTCCCTTATTATCCTCCGTTTCTTCGCTGGTACCATCGGAAGTTCGCCCCTGACTAACTCTGGCGGAGTCATCGCCGACATGTTCACCGCCAGGGACAGAGGTTTGGCTACTGCTATATTTGCTACTGTATGTTCTTCGCCCAATCTAGAACTACAACTATACGAGAACTAATTATTATTCTTCTCTAGGCTCCTTTCCTTGGTCCATCTATTGGTCCAATCGCTGGTGGTTTCCTCGGTACAGCAGGAGGATGGCGATGGGTACGTAACCAACCATTCAACTCCCTATTCTCCTCAAGTTAATATCTACTAACTCTTCATTCATGTAATAGGTTGAAGGTCTGATGGCATGCTTCACCGGTCTCCTATGGTTTATCTGCACCTTCCTCGTTCCTGAGACATACGCACCCATCCTCCTCCGCAGACGAGCAGAGAAGTTATCCGAGATGACTGGAAATGTTTACGTGTCCAAGCTTGATGCCGGCAAGCCCAAGAAGACCGTTGGTCAGGAGTTCAAGATTGCCTTGTCTCGTCCTTGGATCCTGCTCTTCCGCGAACCGATCGTTCTTCTTACTTCGCTTTATATGGCTATCGTGTAGTATGTGCTTCCTAAAATATTTCCTGTCCAATGCAAAACTATAAAATAATATACGAGAGTGCTAACCCCTATCTTCAGCGGAACCCTATACATGATGTTCGCCGCCTTCCCAATCGTCTACCAGCAGAATCGTGGGTGGTCCGCAGGTGTCGGCGGTTTAGCTTTCCTGGGTATCGCCGTCGGTATGATAGTTGCGGTCACGTACAGCATCTGGGACAATACACGATACGCCAAGACCATGGCAGCTCATGGAGGGAACGCTCCGCCTGAAGCAAGGTTGCCGCCCGCTCTAGTCGGCTCCGTCCTATTACCCGTCGGGTTATTTTGGTTCGCATGGACTTGCGGTCCCAACATTCACTGGATCGTATCCATCATCGCATCTGGTTTCTTTGCTACTGGATTAGTCCTTGTCTTCCTCAGCTTGATGAACTATATGATTGACTCATGTAAGTCCTAAATCCCCTAGTTATCACAAAACAACAGCACATGTTTCAAGGATGTATCTAACCCAGAAGCAGATGTTATCTACGCCGCCTCAGTCCTGGCCGCAAACTCCGTCATCCGATCCATCTTCGGCGCCGCCTTTCCGCTATTCACGACGGCCATGTACAACAACCTAGGGATCCACTGGGCGAGCTCCATCCCCGCGTTCCTCGCCCTCGCGTGTCTACCCTTCCCGTTCCTCTTCTACAAGTACGGTAAGCGTATCCGCATGAAGTGCAAGTTCGCCGCCGAGGCTGCTCAGGTTCTTGAGAAGATGCGCACGAGAAACGACCACAGCGGCCCGCCGGGTTCGCCGGTGAAGCCCGAGAAGTTGGAGAAGTCGGCTGAGGAGTCGAATTGAGTTAATGCATTTTATACACATCTAAGTAATAGTATCATGGGGCGAACGAGATGGATTTCCTAAACTGCTAGTACATAGCACCCGATTTTGGAAAAAAAACAAATCAAAGTCATTTTGGGAATGCTATACGTAGCAGTGGTTTATCATCTATCATCACGCAGCATTTGGATAGAGTAGGGCGTTCGAGCGGAATAAGAATAATTTTACTGGGCCACGACGGGATACGAATACCTATCGAATAGAGTCCTGGTGGCTAAGATGTTTAGCTATATAGTTAATTACAAATCTCTACTTTGTCCAGTAGTATGAATAGTCTTAGAGCTCATCGCGACCCGCCACCTTGATTTTGACACCTGGTATATTTCTCATGGATATCCTTTGCGTAGCTTTGATCCGCCCACCCAGGTCATCGTATGTAGTCGTCACGCCGGGTGGCGTCCAGGGCTTGATACGTCCTTGCCAGACATCTAGACCCCAGCCTTGAACCTCACTCGAGGTCCACCCCTTGCCCTTGGGGTAAGGATAGATCCTATCCTTCGAAAGCTGATGGACTGCACCGGCCGGGAGCACATTTGGATCAAGACCGAGCTTTGCAGGTAGATCGGGGAACTCGAGGGGATCGACGGTGACCATGGTTAGGCTCTTATAGTTCCCACGAGCCATCTTGTTTAAGTCTTTTCGTATCCCAGCACGCTCTGCCTCCGTAGCAGCAAAAACGTAGACCATTGACCATCCACGCTACATCGTTTTTAGTAAGTTATCGCTATTTCCAGTTGAGGTATAGATATAACTATATCATTGGTAGATACATGAAGGAACAATTCTGAAATAAACTCACGTCGAGGAACCGCTGGTGGTTATGTGGTAGAAGCTCTCCTATGACTGGTCGCGAGGCCTCCTTTACGAACGCCTCTAGTGCGGCAGTATCTAAAGGGTTGTTGAAGTCATGTGTGTCCTCGTCGAGTGGCTTATAACACTTAACGGCCGGCGCAGCCACCCTCTCTGCCTCCAGAGCATCGTCATCGGTAGCCACTCCAAACGTGAATTCTTCGTGGTACCGACCCGCCACATCGGCGAAAGCAGCCTTGGATGCCTCATCGTCTATGCTAAGGTAGGCGATAAAGACTGTCTCATCTACCTTTTTGAAATCCTCTAACGTCGCAGTACTAACCTCTGAAATAACGGGGCGCCGTACGCGGTCAGCCCAGGCGAGAAGACTGCGAGTAATCAGTTGACTTCTACTTTTTATATGTAGACTCAAGTCCCAGAGAATTAACGAACGCTGTCGCTCTTCGAGGGCCTGTGTATGTCGACATAGGTTTTCCCTTGCTAAATAATTTCACAGTTGTAGATGAAGAGACTCCGTGTGAAGAACATATGGCAGCATTCGTCGTACAGTCGATACTAACGAACGGCAGTTTCGCCTCGGGAAGGGCTAGTGACCATTCCGTCTCTAAATATTCCGTCTTCTTACTTTACTCATATTATATTAGCACTTGGCCTAAATTAATAGGGATTGTGAGAGTACTAACTCTGAAGGCTTTATCATAAATAAATGTCAGATTCCGCCTAACTTAGAATACTTTTCCCCGGTAGAAAGACTCACATATATAACTGTTTAAATGTTAGTCTTATGCCGTAGGATAATCAAGCCAGGTCAAACTGCTCTTCACTTACAAGCGACTACAGTTGCTGTTTTGTCATTCTTGAGCATAGATTCAAGATCAGACTCTGAGAGATGTTCCCATGTATATGCAATACTAAAGAATAGTGTATAAACACATAGAAGAATTGTCGCGAGTCGTGACATGATTGCTAGTTGCTCGCTGGATTTGAAAGATCACTAGGCGATAATTTCGAATCCTAATACTCACATACAATAATTGTGAACATGGAATAAAATAGGATCTATCATATTGGAGCTCTCCTAAAGTCATTAGCTACAGGTGATGAGGTAGTAGTCTAGTTTCGACTAGTTCGTAGTGTATGGAGTTATATTGGATAAGGGACACTTAGTTGATTTAGCTGACGGTCCGTCTAACACTGTTAAGTCGGCCATATCTTGGCGTATTATATGTCGAAGCTGCATTCGCCCCTATTGACGATCAAAGTTGATGAATATAGTAGGAATACTAATTCTATTTACACTAATTATATGGTGACTCCTTGATGTATCGAAATTGTCAATCTGGAAAAATATCAATCACGGGCGACATTAATTTGCTCTAAGGGGTCTCATGTTAAAAGGCTATGGTATCTTATAAGAGGTACGGAAGGGGTAAAAGTAACGATATGAAAGCTATAGAGTCTTACGAAAAGAGTCATGTAAATACTACTAGTTAACTTGTAATAACAAAGTGAAATGGGTTATAGCGCCTATAGATAGCCACATGGTTTAAAGGGCTAACAAAAGAAAATGATAATATATGTAGCTAGAATGATAGAACGGAAACATGATGGATTAAAGTTACTAGACTCAATAGGCCAGTATATGTCATTAGTAAATGGCTAGTTATAGTGAAATGATAGTACCTGAATCACACACGAAGGCCTATAATGAAGTGAATACTGACCGTCTAGACTCTGGTGATGTCGTCTGGTGCTAGTCTTAGGATAGGCCTGAGTAAATTATCACCATAAACAGACAACGACGTAATAACTCAAAGATAGTCGTGCATAATGCATATATTAGTGAAGTTTCCTAATGGTATTATATCGGAAGTAAGAAACGTTTCCATTGGTCTTGAACTTGCATTTAAACTGAGATATCCATACGTAACAGGAGAATGTAGCGCGTAGACACAGCTAAACGGTATATCTGCTGAGGCTATGAGGACATGCATAGCGCATTTTAGATTCAGGGGTGACATCTAAACGCCCGAAGCAACTGAAATTTGCCTAAGCCGTGTGACGTTACTTACAAAAGCTATGGGAAACAGAACACAGCCGCGAATGTGTTACTTCAACCAACGAGGCCCAATAAACGCAAAGTTACCCTCGAATGAACCCTCTTCGCATAATTTCCCGACAGCTAACAAGAATAACCGGTACCGAACTCCAATTGGATGGCTCCCGACGATCTTACATCAGGGATCGGAAATTAGACAACGAAGGATCAGATGGAGATCAGCATCCACCTTACCGAATAGGAAATTACAACACTACCCTGCCAGACGAGTTACAACTAGAACCTACAATCTTAAGCTACTATTCTACAATTCACAGCGAATCAAAACCAGTCATTGGAAAACAAACATCGAATGAAGTAATTTTCGTAGGCATTCGAGGCCTATTAACGCTATTAAGGATTAAGTACATATGCAACCGAACCGTTCTAGTTCACGCCTCATATTGACATTGCCTTCACGGCTTTCGAATCATTAACAGAGAAAACCAAGCTTGTTCGCTTAAGCGAAGAGAAGAGCGGCGACACCGGCAGCAGCGGCGAGGAGACCAGAGCCGGCCATGGTGGAAGCACCGGCAGTAGGGATGGGGCTGCCAGTGGGGTAAGAGCCAGTAGGAGGGTTGCTGATTTCAAATATTAGCTTTGATACTTAGAGATAAAGTTGTAAATTTTATAGGATTACTCACGAAGCAGTGTACGAGCCAGTGGGGTAGTTGCCAGGGGCACCGGGAGCACCAGGAGCGCCGGGGGCAGTGCCGACGGGAGCAGAGGGGCTGACGGTGATGGTAGAGTAGCTGACACTGGTGGTAGGGACACAGGTGGTGTAGGTGATAGGGATCACCGAGGTAGGGTAGGGAGCAGTCTCCGAAGGAGCGCTGGGAGCGGATCCAGAGGGAGAACCAGCGGGGCCGGTAGGGTAGCCGGGAGCAGTCTCAGAAGGGCTGCTGGCCGGGCCCGAGGGGACACCGGGAGCAGACGAGGAAGGAGTAGCAGTAGGGTAAGAGGGAATAGTGCCGTTGTTGAAGCTGGAAGTGGTAGGGACAACGACGCTGGTGCTGCTCTCGACGGCGCTGCTGCTGCTGGGAACAGGGCTGGAGGCGGGCTGAGACTGGGAGGGAGTCTCAACGGGGTAACCAGGCTGGGACGCAGAAGGGACCTCAGCGGGCTTAGACGCGGAAGGAGTCTCGACTGGGTATCCAGGGACGGTCGCGGAGCTAGACACCGGGTAGACGGTGCTGCTGGTGACGGTAGACCGGGCCGGGCAGTTGGTGACAGTGGGACCGCAAGAGGTAATGGTGACAAAGTCAGTCTCGTAGAGGGTGCTGCCGGCCATGGCGGCACCAGCGAAGAAAACGGCTCCGGCGAAACGCATTTTGAAGGTATTTGATATTGAACGTAAACGAACAAGTAGTTTAAGTGGTTTTAAAAAGGTGAAAAGAATGTAAAAGCTGAAAGCTTATAAGAGTACTGTGAAAGAGTGGACGACCGAAGTCAAAGCTGAGTTAAATCACTAAAGTAGCGGTGATGGCTTATTGGGCTGAAGGAAAGAAGAAGGAAAGACGGTGTTGATGGAGGCGGTCGAGTATTAATAGCTTGAGCAGCACAAAGGATTCCGAATAGGGGACGATCCTCGCGAGTTGGGAAATTAAACTGAATTGATACCTCCATGGTCCTTTCAGCTAGCGTGTCCAGGGGTTTGTACAGAAGAGCACATCAGCAATGCATCGGCGGTGGAGGTTGTAGGCAAGGAACCGGCAAGGAAGCAAGTTAGACTAACTGGGGTTATGTCGAAATGCTATGGGATTCGCTCCACTCGACTTTTACCATCCAATTTGAACGACAAGGCCTACCTTTTTTCCTTGTTCACTTTGAAAGCTCTAGAAGAAGAAGAAAAGTTAATTATAGAAATACGTTTCAAAGACTTCTTAGAATACTTTGCCATTCTATTGACTTGTTTACTTTCATCTACTTCGGCTCATTGTTAGGTCATATTGTCATATTCCATGTGGCGCAACGGCGTCGAACATGTACCATCGTTTCAAGCAAAAGGTGAAGGTGACGGATAGATAGAGACGGTCGGTTGGTCCGTTAGGTGGCGGACGCTGACAGGGGGGACTAACTCCGCAAAAAATGGTAAATCTTTACCACTTATAAAATGGACTAGGATCAGGAACAACAGCGGAGCTGAGTACCACCGAGGAAGTATTTTAGAAGATCAGATTGGCCCTTCTAAGAGGCCACCGGCAAACAAGCATTGATTGTGTAAAATGACCTCCATATTTCGTAAAAGAAACCTAAGAGAGGCTAATGTTTAACTCACTTGGCGGTCTGGAGGGGGTAAAAAGAATAGGGCTTAAAGTCTATGTACACGAGATATATCCGGGTATATCGCTGTTGATTTTCTTAGTACATACACTTACATACCTATGTAGGAGGCCTTTGAAGGCGTAATGTATCTACCACTGCATACATCTGTCACATGTCGATCTATGCATACGCGTATGTATATTCCAACTGGAAGACGAAGAGAATATCACATTACAAACGTGATGTATTCACTTTCCGTTAAGAGGTGGGTTTCCCCGCGGCGCATCGCTGACTCGCCGACTCACTCGTTCGTCCAATGTTTGCTCTTTTGCTCTTCAGGGGTGTCTCCTTTCTAAGCTACCCAATTCCCACAACAAACTGGTGGCGGCAAATGTGCACCAATGCATCCCCCGGCGTTGCAAAAGAGTACGCTAATGCAGGAACACATGTTGGTTCTCCCTAGATATGATGAGATCTACGGACCTAATATCCAAATTAAACGGGAGGCTTGATTAGATCCTTTTGTTCCCCTCCAGTCCGTTTACCTTTGTTGTGTAGTGTAATAGGACATCCAACATTAGAAGCAAGCGCTTGGTCCAGCTTAAACGCCCGCCCTGCTACCACCTGACATTTCGCCTCAGATGTCCTTAGTTCGTTGGATTCTATCATTGGATATCGAGTCAAGGGTTTGCTACCCAAAGTAAATAAGACCGAACAGCTTAATTAGGCAAGTAATGAGTATGTAGCACTACTAAAATGGCGCACGAAGAGCGGCTCCTCGACAATTTCTCCCTGACGATCCTGCCCATGTGGATGGATCGCTAGAGCTTAGAGCGTCTTACGTGTTATGGTTTTTACCTACCGAAAAAAATCATCCGAAATAGAAAACGGGTCAAGTGTTATGCCAAGGCTAAACTACGAGGGATGTATAACCCATCTGTTTACTGGGTCTTGTGTCTCATTGCCACGTTTTGAAATGGCCGTTTACGGGCAGCGAGGCGAGTTAATTAAAGTACCGTATCCGATGTAGGAATATGATTAATGGTAACTAATAAAAAAAGAAATGTCGTTCAAGGATGTATGTGTAAGAACGTTGGAATATAACGTGTATCTTAGAAACACTTCGAAAAGCCACTTACATATCGAGTTTCTATGTATATCCAACCGACGTGAGAAACACTAATAGAGGTACATATGTATTAAAAATGTCTTAAAACGCAAATTATTGTACTGTGCATGTATGAGGTAGTATAAGGTGTCGTCACGTTCCTTCATCTGCAATCCATTATACAAAATCCTACGGTTGGCTCCAACAAGCTTTTCGTCAGACGGCACATGTCTAATTTTAATTAGATCGTTCCGCGTATCTTGACATGTGCTTCACGAAACCGTGGGTGAACGTTACAATTATTTTATTCCAAGGCGCTCGGACTCTATAGATGGTAGATGGCCCCATCACCCCCGGTTTCTTGGAAGAGCTTACTTTTCTTAGGGCACGACTAAGAAAAAGGAGTATTAAGTAAATTTGATTACATGATCTCGTTTCTATTTTGTAGATATTAGGAGGGGCATTGCCAATGCTCATCTTTTTTCTTTCATTTATCCCATGTGGTTCCCCTTTCTTAACCTGCGTTAACCCTCGTGTAAAATGGCGACATGAGAGATCTACTCTTCCGGAATGAGCTTTGGTTATTTTCAGCCTGTTAGCCATAGTCGTGAGAGCCATCTCGAAGATTGGTCTGAAGGCATCAACAGCAAAGACCAATCCAGTGTCGGGTTCATCGAATACTAGCCGAGTTTTGTATATTAAGAGATCAACATTACGAAAAGACGACCACTAAACCCGAGACGCCGTCCTCAAGTACTGATATCGCAATCATGGTCCTATGTCACGGTCGGGAAAACCTAGTTACCAATTGGTCACCATCAGTTAACTTATAAGTCCGATGAATAACGGCGGTCTTGGTGTCTGGGCTATCATTGTCAACCCATCAGTCTTCGTTGATCGTAGCAAAAGAGTATAATAGTTGATCTGATTTACTACTGGTGCTATGTTTAGTTTCCAAGTCCGATTTCGAGCCGATCGATGCACATTTATTCTTCCAAGCCTCAATATCCGGTATCAACCGAGCTATTGATGGTTTAGATCCAACGGGCTATATCAAACTTCCCTACTCAGGTGTTTACCTGGTCTTACGAATGAGAGACGAACCTCGAGCTTTGGGACACATTTTCACTCTGTCTCATTGGATAATATCTTGGTGCTAAAGATTCCAATATGAATGGCACAACAGCTTGAATGCGATCCCTATTGATGAATATTCGAATAAGGCTTGGAGAATAGCCATGCTTCATGAGTATAGCTAGGTATTATCATAGATAGGAGCTTAAGTCTTGGATATGAGGAAGCCAAAGTGTGATGTGGTCTGTGACTATAGTATGTGAGCAGACTTTATGGTGATGTGATGATACATTGGGGATAAATCTCTTGGTCCGAGGTTGATAACCCAAGCAGAAATCGCTATTATTCATGTCTCGGCTCTAGTAAGATCCAGTCCCTTCATTAGACAGGTCTGAGGCGGAAGATATGATTTCATAAGGCTGAGGGGAGAATGTGGTACTTTAGGGCAGCGCTAAAGATGTCATGCCATATAGAAAAAAGCCTCGTACGGTTTACTCCGTCGGTCTAGAAGATACGAGGTAGAGTTTCAACAAAAAGTGATAGTAAGGAAAACCCCGATAATAATAGTTGAGGTAAACTTAGTATCTACCTAAACTTAGAATATAGGTAATTTTCCATTAGTTATTAATAACCTTTGATACTTCTTTCATCCGTAATATTAACATTTAGTAGAAGGCATTCTTTAAAAGGTCCCCTCCCGCTTATTGACTGATAATAATATGATAGTTGCATATATGTATTTAAAGCATCTATGATTTAGGCCTATGTCTAAGGTCCACTGCGGGGAGAAAGGCCTAATCAAGCTCACCGCCTACCCAATTACGCCTAAAGTTGACATATAGAAAGAGATTTAACGCTAAATCGAGTAAGTGGGGGAAAGGAATACCTTACAGGAAGGCTCAGAGCGGGTTAGAAACAGGTAAGGCAAGTGGGATGGCGGGCAGCAAAAAAAAAAGACACAAGAATGTCATCGCTTTTTATGACTTGAATTGACATCAAACATAAAAAAAAAGAACACCATTCATAATCTAATAAATATCAACCCTTGCGATTTTCCGCAACTCGCGACCCGCGACCGCTACTCCTCTTCTTGACTTACTAACAAAACTCTCTGGCATTGAACTCTGTTACATTCCAACTGTACATACATTATTAGCAACAACCACCTTTACCTAACAACCTTCTTTGTCCCCGGATTCTTTGTCTCTGGATCATGGTAAAGCAGCATGCTGCATGAATCTATCGTAATCGCCATAGCATCCTCAGATATTTTTGATACGTGATATATAGCCTGGACATAGTTGAAGGGCTCGGGTCCGGCGTCTTAGCAAGATGGAATCTCAGGTAGATGATCTTTCATATCCGTATCCATATCCGTACCCGTACCCATCGTCGTCGTCGCCGTCGCAGAGCTTAGTTTCATCGACTGACCTGACTTTCTATATCATATAGATCGAGAATGCCATTGAGATCGCATGGAATCCTAACTCCGACCAAGCCCTAAAAACACAAGCTTTCGATTATCTACATCAACTACGTGCCGATCCTCATGCATGGCAAGTCTGTATCGGTCTGTTTGCTAGAACCCCGAGGTCCTCCGATGTCGTCCGACTCGTCAGCCTCGAGATAGTTAATAATGCTATACACGTACAATCCCTCGACACCCAGGCCTTGCTCAGCCTTAGAGATGCTCTCCTGGCCTACGTACAATCTACCTACGGCACCAACCAATCCCAGATAGATTCTCCTACCTTACAGAACAAACTCACTCAAACACTCACCTTACTTTTCGTCTCATTATACAAGCAAGGTTGGGAAAGCTTCCTAGAAGATGTACTAGCTCTCACGACCCTACCTGGAAGCAACCAACGTGACAATGTCCCGGGTGTCATACTCTATCTACGCATTCTCAGCTCCATCCACGATGAGATTGCCGACGTCTTGCTTGTGCGTCAGGACGTCCAAGCTCGTAGCCATACCGAGCTCAAGGATCTAATGCGGGCACGCGATGTTGGAAAGGTGGCCCAGTCGTGGCAGGACCTTCTTGCTCTATATGGAAACCAGGATGATGCTATCATCGAGATGACTCTTAAAGTTATCGGCAAATGGGCTAGTTGGATTGACATATCTCTTATCATCAACGACGGTATGCTGAGCTTGATCCTTCCGTTAGTCGGTCGCTCCAACAACTCTGGTAGCGAGGACAAGGTCAGGGATGCTGCAGTCGAGGCATTCACTGAGATTGTAGGCAAGAAAATGCGTCCAGCTGACAAGGCCGAAATGATATCATTCCTCAACCTACGAGATATCATATCCCAGATCATAGCCAGCCCTCCGCTAAACGAATTTAAAGGCACTCCCAGATATGATACTGACCTGGGCGAAGCCGTCGCCAAATTAGTTAACGTCATCGTAGCCGACATCGTTAGAGTCCTAGAAGACCGATCTACTGATGATTCTACTAGAGCTAAATCGAACCAGCTCCTTCACGAATTCATCCCCTTCTTACTACGATTCTTTTCGGACGAATACGACGAGGTATGCTCTACCGTTATACCCTCGCTCACGGATGTCCTAGCTTATTTCCGTAAACTCTCTGAACTACCCCCTTCCTTCTCTGAAACGCTGCCTCCGATCTTAAACGCCATCATCATGAAGATGCGGTACGATGAGACGTCGTCTTGGGGAAACGAAGATGAGCAAACAGACGAAGCAGAGTTCCTAGAGCTACGGAAGAGACTTCAAGTACTACAGAAAACAGTAGCAGCTGTTGACCAAAACCTTTATGTCGAGGTTCTATCTAATCTAGTCGCGAATACCTTCCAGACCCTAGATGAGCGAGGGTCACAAATGGACTGGAGAGATGTCGACTTGGCCCTTCACGAGATGTCTCTATTCGGCGAGCTTGCGATGCCCAATCAAGGACTAGGCCCCAAGAGTCAGCCCTCTCCAGTTGCATCAGAACGACTTATGGCAATGATGACCAAAATGGTACAATCTGGTATGTAAAATTCGGGATCTGGGCTGGTGGACATGCTAACCGTTATCCAACCAGGAATCGCAAATTTTCCGCACCCAGCAATTCTTTTGAATTACATGGAAATCTGTGTCCGCTACTGTGCATTTTTTGAAACTCAACCCGCATTGATCGGTCAAGTTCTCGAAAGTTTCGTCCGCCTTGTGCATCAGGATCATGTTAGGATTCGTACACGCTCGTGGTACCTCTTCCATCGTTTCGTGAAGCACCTGAGAGCCCAAGTAGGGAATGTGGCCGAGACAGTCATCCAGTCTATCAGCGATCTTCTCCCTATTCAGGCGGAAGTACCAGGAGAGGATGCCGACGATGATATGTCCTCCGACCAAACTGATAACTCTGCAAGTGCCGTCTTTAATAGCCAGCTCTACTTGTTCGAGGCTATTGGGTGTATTTCGTCTACCAATGCGACCCCAGTAGAAAAACAAGCGCTTTACGCTCGCTCAGTCATGGACCCCTTATTTGCCGATATGGAGCAGCACCTCCCTAGAGCTAGGAATAGTGATGCTCAAGCCATACTTCAGATACACCACATCATCCTAGCTCTAGGTACACTGGCGCATGGGTTTTCGGACTGGACACCCGGGGCGAATTCTTCGAATCAACGGCCACCTCCGGCAAAAGCCCTATCCGACGAGTTCGCACGCGCTGCCGAGGGTATACTAATCGCGCTCAGCGAACTGAACACTTCTTCCGAAATCCGCACCGCTTGTAGGTCGGCATTTTCGCGCCTACTTGGCGTGCTGGGGTCCGCTGTGCTTCCACAGCTTCCTCAGTGGATCGACGGCCTCTTGTCTAGAAGCTCGTCGAAGGACGAGATGGCTATGTTCCTCCGTCTCTTGGACCAAGTCGTCTATGGTTTCAAGTCGGAAATCTACGAGGTACTCAACCAATTACTAACACCCTTGCTACAAAGAGTCTTCGGCGGTTTATCAGAGCCAATTAACGGTACTGACGATGAGATCCAACTCGCCGAGCTCCGTCGCGAGTACCTAACGTTTATTGGAGTCATCTTAAACAACGACCTCGCCGGGGTACTCGTGTCGGAGGCAAACCAAGGCTTTTTCGAATCACTAATCACCTCCATCCTTACCTTAGCTCGAGATATCGGCCCAGGCTCGGGAAGCCTCCCGGCGAGTCGATTATCCCTCGGGTTACTCGCGAAGATGGCGGGTGCCTGGGGCGGACCGGATATAGCAAACATCTCGGCAAATCCATCAGCACCTACTGGATCTCCATCACCTGCAATCCCCGGCTTCGATCAATTCCTCATTGATAGGTTTCATTCCGTATGTTGGGAAGTTCTGCGTGATCCACAGTTTAACCCGGCCGGGGACGCTCAGGCTAAGCTAGTCCTTCACGAGATCGCCGGGCTAGAGCAGGCCGTATACCTCAAGACGGGAGGAACATTTTTGGAACACCTGCAATCAACCCTTTTCCCCGGCCTCGGTATCGATGGGAATGATTTCCTGCGAGCCATGACTACGTCGACAGATAAGAAGGCCTTTTCAAAGTACCTACAGGGTCTAATGAAAGAGTCGAGGTGATCTAAGGGATGGAAGACTATGGCTGGGAACAGATGATATGGACAGAAATGATGTCCAATTGCATAAACAGGAGTTTGGCTCACTATACCAACCGCAATTTCGTTGACTATAGATGAATGTCGGAATTGAAGCTAGTTAGCAATGGCAAGATGCCGTTAGCAAGTAAATGAACAGAGAAATAAAATCACAATATCACTCTCCAAGTGGCTTAAAATAACTTTCATTGAAGTAGAAAAACCCTGTTTTTGAGTAACTATACAAAATGACCCCTTAATGTAGCCCCTATTCTGGCATGATGGGTACAACGGTCATTGTGATGACTATGCTCCCTACCTACTACTAGACGAGGCTAGCTACATAGGTAGGTAGCCAGCAGCCATGGTCTCGCCAAAAAAAACCCCCCGGTACTATTATCCTTTGATAATAAGTAGTAGAGTTCTGTCAAAAAAAAAAAAACCTTAGGGTAGGTAGTTTAGGGATCAGTTCACCTCGGGGCGAAACCAGCTAGGTAGGCCAAGCAAGTTTTGCCTTTCACCACGAGCGATGTGGTAAGAAAAGGGAAATAAACTTTCCTAAATTATCGACGTATAACCAGTATTAGATACTGGATAATTTCGGATGAGCCATAGGATAGATTCGTCTAAAGTCGATGGTGAAAAAAGATGAGAAGAGATGATGTCGTATGAGTTAGGACCGTATGGTTGAACCATCTAAGGCTGAATTCGTTTAGGTTCATCCCGATGCCATATAGTCCAGTGTTCTAGGTCTGTCATCCATCCATTGAGGTTTTCAGAACCCTAGATCTCCAACCTCCTCCCTCTCCTTTTTTCTTAAGTACTTGTTCTCCCTCTCCCCTTTCTAGCTTCCTTCCTCCTATCCTACCTCAACACCCCCAAAAGTCCAAACGGGAAAGTAAAGCAAACGAGCAATCCCGAAGTAATCTTAAAGCAAGAAAGCATCAATACCTCAAACCCCCAAAATAAAAAATAAAAACAGACTCCTCATCTCCATCTCCGTCTCGCACTCATTGCCAAGCAGCACCACGGTGCGGACAAGATCCCCAACGCCAGCCTAGTACGCTGGTCTTCCATCTCCTATAGCCCCGAACGCGCCCGCATTAGCCGCTGCCTGGTTCGCCGTAGACTCGTACTCAGGCGTACTATCAACATACAAGTCTATGATTCTATTCAAAGTCGACGTCAAATGGCGCGAATCCCGGTACCGGATTCCGCCATGATGCACGTCGCGCGTACTCAGACCGGCCAGGACCTCGAGGTCGTCGCGCGTTTGCGCGCGGACCAGTAGGCAAAAATGGAAGCCGCAGATGAAGGCCGCGGCGTTCAGGTTATCCTCCTTCATGCACATGGCGCATCCGGCGTAGGTGTGCTCGGCTGGTGGATACTGGGGGAGTGGGATGCGGACCGGCATGGGGCGGCGGGTGATGATCCAGTAGGCGTCCAATCTGGTAAGACCTATGGACTCGAGGATTGAGCGGGGAACGTAGTAAGGACTGGAAGGGCTTATTGGCCGGCCGCAAAGGATAGCAGTGTCGTTAGGGAGGATCCGTGACGGCACTGAGTAAAAAGCCGCACGTACAAGTACATTGGAGATAGGTAAGTTATGGGGCATATGTACCCATGGAAAAGTGGTAGCGCCCTGGTTGGCTTCGGTCGTGTCGTTATGCTGGGAATCCATCGTTACTGTTGGTTATGTCGACGGTGATCCTCTCTCTCTCTCTCTCTCTCTCTCTCTCTCTCTCTCTCTCTCTCTCTCTCTCTCTCTCTCTCTATGTCGATTTGCTATCTGGCAGAAAACCTGTCGGTACTTGACCCTATGGGTAGACTGCTATCCTCAAGCTAGTCGACAGGGCTACTAGCACCAGGAGACTTATCGGCAGCGATGTTTAGCTAGAGCTGCATCTCTTTGGTATGCGTTAGAAGCGTCGAGATAGGGGCGACGAGGTTGAGAATAGGAAAGGGACCGATGCTTACTTAATATTAATGTATGATTTTTTGTATCCGGGATCAGATTTGAATTATTGATAAATATTTTCAAATAAAGATATATGCTGATTCCTGTTGTATATATATTGTGTGTCGACGTGCACAAGCCCTTAGTTGTCTCTCGTTTGGGGATGACCCGAGTGAATATAGGGGGGACGGGGGTTGAGTGACTGACGTCAAACGAGAGCCGACGAGCAGGTGAGCAAATGTCAAAATTGAAAGCAATTATTATTGAATTATATTAGCAAACGCACATAATCGTATCAATTCACACTTGTATTTTGGAGTGATGGGTAGAAGATGGCGAGGATGACAGCGTCGAAGACGATGAATAGTTGATGGAAAATGACCGAAGCCAGGTAGAATTACTTTATGGAGAGAAGGGTGGGAGAGCGGAAGAATATATATATTCTATTCGAAATAGCTTGTGGAAAGCGGTAAGACTCGACTCGGCGCTCTTATGTTTCTATAAGGGGGTGATTAAGGTCGTGGCGTTTAGCTACTGTATATTCACTTTCTCTCACTATAAAGAGGTGAGTCTAGGCCGCCTACTCTGCTATTACCTCTCTAGAGGTGGTAATTAAAGGCTTCTATAATGGTGGACTCTCGGTTATATAGCGTATACCTGTAGTGTATATTTCAATCTAATTACCCAACACACGTCCCTCACGGTCTCTGATGTGGCACTAGTGTGTTTTATAGTTGACTGGAAAGTTCACTTTCAGAATCGAGAGCATGTTATATGGTTGCCATTGTTCGTGCCCAAATAGTTCTAAATATTGCTTTTGTAGAAGTATAGACTCCATGACTATGCCCATTCCTTATCACAATCCTATGAGGTACGTCGACCTAATCAATAAATATTTTAGCCTCGAGGTCCGAGTAATGTGACAGATACCCATCAAATAACTTGATGGCATGCTCAACATCATAGGTTCCTCCAGTCTCCCGGATGCTATGCATGCTTAACTGGGGATTACCCAAGTCCAAAGTGCGAACACCAAGTTTAGCAGATAGCATAGGTCCGATAGTGCTGCCGCAAGACGAGTCATTCCTAACAACGAATAGCTGTAAGGGCACGCCCGCATACTTGGCTGCTTCCTGCAATAAAACAATACCAGGAGAGTTCGTGGCGTAGCGTTGGTTTGCATTGATCTTGATTACAACACCTTGAAGATTTAAAGTTAGGGCTAACATTTAGTTTTCTAAAGATTTAGGATCATACCTTTGTTTATTTCTGGCTGATGGTTTGACTCGTATTTACCAACATAGTTAGGATGAACCGAGTGAGCCATATCGGCCGAGACCAGGAACGATGCCGCCATTGTCTGCTCAAAGGCAGTTGACAGGTCTATTTCAGGATCAGAGCTAATGTGCTCCCAAGATTTGTCGGATGCTGAATCCCCGTGCCCCTTACCAGCAAGAATGGACAGTCGGCGGACAACAGCGGGTAGTAAATCTGAATTTGCGCCCTGGGCCGATGTCGAGCCAATTTCTTCGTGGTCAAAGCAAGTGATCAAGCGAATACTAGTCTCATCATCCAGGGTTCGGGACGAGACCGAGTTTATCAATCCCATTACGCTGCAGTAGGTCATGTTTAGGTTATCTAGCCTGGCTGAATATATGAATTCCTCGTTCAACCCGCCAAGGCATGATTTTTGGACGTCGTAGAGGACCATTTCAAAATCGACTACATCAGTCACCTGCACTCCGGCGTGTTCAGCAATCAGTTCGATAATGTACGGGTGGTGGCGGTCAGTTATCTCCTTCAGTGGCTGGAATGTCTCTTCGGAATCCTGCTTCGAACCTGTCGGCTTAGGAGCTTCACTTTGGCCGGTCCTGTTCAGCTCGGCAGCCACCATGCCGGCAATTGGAAATAGTTCAGTCTCCTTGTTAGGATTGAACTCAGATGACCGATCGAGGTGAATAGCGAGAGTAGGAATACGAATGATGGGGCGGTCAACCTTGACGAGCTTCTGAACAAAGTTCCCCTTTCCATCCTTGACCAGGGCACGACCGGCAATGGACAGGTCTCTATCGAACCAACTATGCCAGATGCCACCGCCGTAAGTCTCAACGCCAACCTGTAGAAATCCAACGCTGCTCTTCTTACTGACGGGCTTTATACGCAGGCATGGAGAATCCGTGTGGGCACCTAGCATGGCAATTGGGTTTCCAGGCTTCCACTTGGCGCCTATAGCAAATGCTACGATAGTCGAGCCATTCCGGGTCATATAGTACTTTCCACCGGGTCGGAGAGTAGAAGACCAGTTATCACGTTCCCTTACAGGAGCGAAACCAGCCTTTGCTAGCCGTTCAATGGAGTTGTGAACGGCATGATATGCTATAGAGGGGGGATTGTTAGCGGTGAGGGAGAGGTGGGAATTATGAGAGTCATACGTGTTGGAGAGGCGTTGACAAAGTCTAGAAAGTCCAAAGCTGATCTAGGCGGCGCCATTCTGTAAGCCATGAAATTTATGTATCAGGTAAGTGTATATGTATTGTGGCAGTACTAATAATAAAATATAAGAGTTGATGTAGCTGCCTCACTTTAACCTTACTGACCTTAGGTAGGTACCTAATGTATGTGGTGGTTAGGTAGAGGTATGTACTATGTATACCCGATAATCAATGAAGGATAAAGATAAAGATAGGTGACTAATCATTACGCTAGTCTAAGTTTGGTGCTAATACTACTAGGTACCTATGTACATAGATATGCGATCGACCGGGGGGTTCTCTCTCTCTCCACAGCCCACCTACCGGTTTTAGCTTCCTGTTATCCGTCTGCCGTCGTGTTACCGGTGAATTCGATCAAGTCGGGTCGATCTTGAAAATCCCCTTGTAAAAGTTTAAACTTGTCGATTATTCAATGATCTTATTTCTTATTTGATCCAAGGTTTAATTCAATACTGTTACCTAACCTAGGTAATATGTTATGTATTAACTAGTTATCCTATAACTATACTATGCTTAACTCCTACCATACATTCTATACTTAACGATAATAGCAGATACATAGGTATAATTGAGATCATCTAACCCCCCATCAACCAGACTTATATCATTTACGTCTATGCGCTCCTTTTGCTATCCCGGTGTCTGGCACTCAGTCTCGCGAGTAAGTGGTTGCTCATGTAGTAACACTAATCGCTTGCATGTTTTATGTGTTGTGCCGCATACATTAGAGAAAGTGGCTTCTGGTGATTCTAGAAGGGGGAGACCGAGGGTAGTAAAATCGAAGCCACTCTTTTCTTTCCTTTCTCGGACGCCATGACCTTTTTTCTGATGCGTTTTGTGCGACACACAAGCAAATAAGATGGCCAACTTGGCCCGGCAAACAGAACTGGACAGATGCAAACCGACACATTTGGAACATCAGGCGCTCGCCACGCCCACCGCCCGCATTCTGCGCATATTCTGCTACACATTCTGCAGAATGAAGTGGCGCTTGGGCGCTTGGATTGGATTGTTATTAAACATATCTGTCATTCTATATTCTCTCTGTATTTCTTTCTCTCCCTCTCTCTCTCGTATACATAATATTTGGAGAGTGAAGAGTGAAGCGAAGGGAGAGAGAGAGAGAAAATATAGAAGAAAATCCAACAAATTTACCAAGATACTTTTGCGCAACCCACAACGATGCCAGGCACCGGATGAGCCAGACAACCATAACAACTGGACAAGGCCAAGCAGACAGGGCTCTTGGTTGTTGGCAACATTTCCATTGGACCCGGTAAGCGAACGTACCCTGTGGAGTAAGAATTCTAAAGACTAAAATAAGATGATCCGCTGTCAGGGCAAGGGATTCCCAGCTTCTACCACACTTAAACCTAGCTCTCATTTATTAAAGATGGAAGATCTCGAGGGCCCCAAAACTTCTGTCCGCGTCTTCGGGAATCTCGAGAGTCATCTAGTCTACCCGGCCGGATCCTCTCTTTTCTTTTTCTTTTTCTTCTTCTCGCATAGGTACCGTAAATTCACCGCCTTATTTTTCTTTGAAGTTTTCCGGCGGAGAGCCGGGTACATTGATGCCATCCAGGTGTAGATGTGTAGATACATACATATCTGTCACACGTATTGAGTGAGCCCTGTTGGTCGCGGGGTTGTCGTCCGACCCCTTCTTTACGGCGGGATCCGGAAGATGTCTTCCCAGTTTTTGGTTCCTTTTCTGAGTTTTGACCAGGCGTCGATGCATCTTACTACTATGTACTATACTACTATGTACTATACTGTTATGTATGTACTATGTTATGAGGTACTCCGCCCACCCTTTTGAGATGCACGCATAGTAGGCTAGTAGTCGTGGTACAATTGCCGACTAATGTATGCTCATATTGCAAACACTCCCTTCCTTTTATTAGTGAGATGTATATATGGGTATATGGGGTATAATACAAATTGCCATGATGCTTCATATTAGGTTCTCTTTGGAAATATTTTTTTTTGGTTTTGTATAAGATACGTATGCTCTGGGATAGACGTGGTCTTGATTCGTACGTAGGGTAGGCTTTGTTAGGTAAAGACGCATACAGTATGAATTATCACCAAAATTTCAGTCATGTATCGTATGCAGTTTGGTACTTCATATGGAATTTCGGTACTTGTCGATATGCCCATTCGATTCTTCCGAAAGGCAGCCAATCAAAGTATCTAACCAGACTATCAAGCCCACTCTAGAAAATCAGGGGT